GCACTAGACAAATGAATTATGAAAAAAAAAAAAGGCACAACATTTCTCATTACTAAATTGGGTCTGCAGAGGACAAAGTGCTCGTGAAGAATTTCTTTCGTTTATGATGAAAGAGGAAATAATCTTTCATGGCTGGTTCCTTCACCAAAGCCATTTATAAATCTGAATGTGGCCATTAAGCAGGGCAGAGGGAGGGGGAGCCACTCTGCTCCGCTGTATATTACCATTAATCGAGAGAGCTGAGGCTGAACAAGCTCCCTCAACTTCCTGTAATTAGTAACTGTCTCTTTATTAAGAACAAAGGGGATTACCATAACGACAATTGCGTCATTTTAAGCAACATTCCTTCAAGTGATGTTTGTTAAATTCCTCTTGTGTTTTGTTTGGTATTTCTGACAGTGAAACATTTTCATGAGAGACAAGATAGTAAGGTCAAGTGTCTCTGAGTGCAATAAATCCATCCTGTGACAGTTATTTCACTCTAAAGAAATGGAGAGGACCATAAGTGTCCTGAGAAACAAAACAAATCTGTGCCTTGAATACTTCATGACCAAATATGAACTTCACAGTCCTAGTAAAATAGTTATGGCTGTAAAGGCAATTAACTTAGCTCCTGAAGGCTCTAATTTAGGATTCTCTGATGGTCTCTAGGGCAAGGGACTTGTGGTGGCGGCCAAACCCTATGAGCCTATAAAAGCAAATTAGTCTTTGTTTTAAAGGACGTCAGGAATGTGACCAATCAGTTGGGTATTTTAGGCAGAAGAGGCCAGGGTTGATAAACGAAGACTGCAAATAAACCCACCCAGTCGCACGACACTCTGGAAAAATGTATTGCATGTGCACAGCAGGTCACAAAGGGCGCGAGAATACTGGTTCATACATTAGGGAAGTTGGCCTAATTTGGGTAGATTAGCCTAAAGCAAAAGCATTGCTGGAATGTTTTACTTCGGGAATGTTGGCTGGTTTACAGTTTGCCAATCTGGGAGATGTGACTAATTCCATAAATACAACGATAGTGGAATGAAATGATTTGATATATTTACACTGTCCTCAGATTTGACTTCTCTCATATATTTGTGCCCTATATTAAGTCTAAATTTAGCAACTTGTTTTAAGAGGCAGACATCAGAAGGAAAACTTTACAACAACATATCTGCACAGACTCAAAGTGGCGGAATGAAAAGTTGGTAGAGTCATGGGGACTTTAGTGATGTCATCTGCTTGTGTTTCAATTAGGCAATTTACAAGAGAACAATAACTAAGCTTTGTGACTCTAACGTTTAAAAGGGTTTTAGAGCTTGTATGAAGGGACACTTTACATTTCATGCAAGCACATCAGAGTCAATACACACATAATTCCTAATAATAATTGAAAAGCAGACCGTTTTTTCTCTATGCTTTGAAACGGTAAAAATATTGTAACTTAAATGTCTGTGCATTAATGAGCCCTCTATTACAACGCTATACTGCGTAAGTCAAGCTGTGATACGGTGTGTGCTTTAATGTGAGAGGTGATGAGGCCTGGATATCAAATCCAACCAGCTGAAATGAACACCTCAGTGTTTGTGGAAGGAGAACGAGTGTAAAATAGTATAAAGTTGATGTCTGGAGAAATAAGAAGCAGAAGCCATGCAAATTCACCAATTTCTTTCATGCTACCTACCTCATAATCCTCATTTGATTCATGTATGAGACAAAAACAAAATGCATATTGATGAAAATTATGGTAAAGGGAAATTATAACATGCCCCTAAGTGTCGACTATCATGTGTTTACATACTTCTCCCATTGAACCAGATGTGGAGGACTTCCTTATGGGACGAGAATCTTCGAACGAGGATTGGTCAGCTGCAAGGCGAGCTCTTCGTCCAGACTTTGCAACCTGGGAAAAGTGCAGGAAAAAAAAAATATATGTTGATATCAGAAAGCCAGAGAAGCTGGCTCTTCCAAACACTACCAAATACTTTGTGGTTTGCTTTGCTTTAATTGTGCCATCTAATGAGCCAACCAAATGCAGTAGATCAAGATATTTAGCTTTCATAAATCAACCAGGTTTAGTACTTCCACATTTTTTAGGGCACAATGTGCAGATGTCGCAATATATATATATTGTTTCAATAGAGGATCATTTTGTTCAACAGCTTTCATGTCATGTGATCCATTGACTCCAGATTTATACCAGAAACTTTTACTACACTGAAAAATGTCCCACCTCTTTTTATTGGATTTTAGGGCTTATTTTTTATGAATATTCTGCTGTTTTTTATTAAAGGTCTTCCATATCCTATGACCCAGTGACTCCAAATCTATTCATCAATTTGCATTGCTACACTGGAAAAGTAGACACTCCTCGTTTTATTGGATTTTAGTCCACCTATCATTTTATATAAATAAATATCTCTTTGAAAAAGCAGTTTTTGTAGGGGAAAGTTGAATTTCTTTTTAATAGCTTCCATGTCATGCGACCCAGTATATCAAAATGAATGCAGCATGTTGTTACACTGGACACGTAGGACACACATCGTATTTTGATTCACTGGGTCACATGATATGGAATTGATGAAAGACAATCAAACTTCCCAAAGCCAAAACTAGCCTTCTCATTACAAAAAACTGCTTAATTTCAATAGTCATGTTCATATATAATAGAAAAGGCAATAAAATACAATAGAAAGTCTGTCATACTTAGAAATAAAATTAGGAATTGATTTGTGTGACATGAATGGGCGCTATTGAAAAAAAAATGGAATGATCCCCTGAATTAAAATATTCAATCAATTCATGACACGTAAGTTATCATCAACAAATGTGTGCGAAATAAAGACACATTAGTGGTTTCTATGTTTAAGCATAATTTTCTCTAATGAGCAAGTAAGCACGCAGGTATTGAAAATAAAATAGTGTTTTTCATTTTAATTAAGAGTATTGACCATTTATTGATGGCCCCTAAGTAAAACACCTGTGGTTAAAAGTGAATGCTAACTGTCCTCTGAAGTCATAGTCTGTGAGACTAGGAAAGAAGACTGGTGTTAACGTCTGTCAAATATCCAACCTAACACTAACTTTAGTATTTCTAACACTGTGTCAGAGCAGTCCACTGATATATATTTGTTTTCTAGAGAAAGGTTGTGATAGCATTTGTATTACAGTATAGGTACACGTACACCAGAAAAGGAACGTTTGTTTACGTTTTCGATGGAGTTCAGCAGTCACAGTTGGAAAAGAAAAAAAACATACAACTTAGCACAGCATCTGCTAATTATGTATCCGTGCTTTGCATGATGGGAAATTTAGGCTAGCACCACTTAGCTAGTCAACGTTAGCTATATGAGCAGACAAACCTTCAAGCTGCCGTTGTTGAAAAACGGTAAATGGTAATGTCTCTCCGCTGCTAACAGGTTTGTTGGTTTGTTAACTTATTCGCCGAGTGGCTAATATTGACGTCTCATTAGTTAGCTTAAACGCTAAGTAGCTAGCAATAGCCTCGCTTCACAGGTTCTTCTTCAGGTACTTTATGCTCCCTACTCTCTATTTACAGCGCACGAGTTTAACGTTACCTCTGCCTCTTATGTCTTGCTCCCTTCTCTGCGATTTACCGAGTCACTCACATTTTTAACTGCTCCAGTTTCTCCAAGCTGAAAGTTATCTTCCATGTCTCTCCTCAAGTTGCTACCCCTCCAGGCAGGACAGCGTCTTCCTGTTAACTACGCGTCACATGGCAACGCTCTCCATGGTAACGCCAATCAGTAGAAAGTGTGTGTGTGTTCCAGTGTGTCTCCGTGAAGTGTTCACGGATTTTCTACGATACACAGAAAGTAGGGTATGCGTATTTTTTACTCCACTACATTAATTTTGTCACATCAGTTACTACATTTGCAGGCAGCAGGTTCATACTATTAATTCATAAATTAGACCCACTAGTACGATGTGCAATAATATGGATGGAGATACCTGGCAGTATAAATAGTCATTATTATCTCATCCTTTACCAGCTGCAAAATTAAAATGATAGCCACATTGATGTAAAAGATATCTGAACTAAAGAATGACCCTGGCCTCATAACATCAAGTGACTACTTTCCTAAAATTAGAACGCTTATGCCTTGCACACTAAAGCATGCATGCAGTTGTAGTGAAAGCTCGTGCCAAATATTGACTCAGTGTTGTTGTTGGGTCAGTAAAAAACAAGGGAGGGAAAGGTTAATAGAAGAATGATGTCATCTAAACAATCAGAGTCAGAGTTTGCCTTACATAATCAGAATCGTTCCCACAACTCCCACGTCTTTGTCATCTTCCTCAGCCATAATCAAGTAGAGTCTCGTCACATTTCCCGTCTCCTGCATTGCCCTGCCACAGTGCATGTCCTCAGTGTGAGAAAGGAATTAGTGATGGGACCTGAACCTCCCCCTGTTGTCCGCTAGATGTCCCTTATGCATGTTGTATGATGCTGATGGGCTCTGAACAGTAGCAGCATCCAAAGGATCACAGCAGCTGGCTGGAGTCCCTGTGCACCTCCAAGATCTCTTTTGTTAACTTTAGCCTTCCATCTGCATTCAATTTGTCTCCAAAACGTATTTTGGATGCTGCCAATATTGTCAAAGGACTCATAAAATCAACTCAATGACCCTCCAATCAGGCTTATGGTCCTTATTTGATATACATTAATAAGCAAACATAAACACAATGCAACTTCAGTCTTATTCATAAAATACAAATCGTATTTGTTTTATATTCTTATAGAGGAAAGAAAAGAAAATAAGATCATCCTATCAACAAAACAGTGCAATCAGAAGTTTTTTTCTTTATTCACTGTTGCGAAATCCCACATTGCCCAATATTACGCACATGTTTTGAAGTTTGACAACACCACATTTGAAGTCTTTTTAAGTGCATTTCAGAATAGGACGGATCTCATTGTCCGTACCGAGGCTAATAACTTGCTGCCCCTCCCTCTAAAACGTCACCGCTAGGGACTATAAAGTATGAGTGAGAGTGGAGAGCGTTTGAGTTTGTTTGAGGCCGGGACTGCAGCGAGAGAGCAGAGGCGCACTGACTCCTTGACAACAAGTGGATGGAAAGAGCCCAGTGCAATGGAGAAACTGAACCGCAGTGCAGACATCGGAGCCCTGTAAACCCACGAAGAATAGATGAACTGCTTGCATAAGATAAGGGGGAATGAAGAGTAGAATACATAGTTTTAATGAAGATTTGAGATACATTTCCAAAATGGCACGGATTAGCTCCAATGCAAAATCGCATTTCGCAAAGATGACATAGCACTTAAGAAAATGGGATTCCTCCAGGAACAGAACTCACTCACGACCTGAATGAAAAGAGAAAGGGGACTCTATTCAAATCGGAATTTTGTTTTGTTTTTTTACTTGACAAGCCTCGGTTGTGAGCGAACGCAGAGTGAAATATGAATCTGGGAAAAGCACTTCTGTTTTTCCTCCTCTCAAATTGTGTGACAATGACTTTGTCGCTATCCACTTGCACCACTGTGGACATCGACCACATAAAGAAAAAGAGAGTAGAGGCGGTCCGGGGACAGATCCTCAGTAAACTCCGGCTGACCAGTCCACCTCAAACAACAGGTCCGAGTCAAGTACCGTTTCAGGTCCTGGCCCTTTATAACAGCACCAAGGAGCTCATTGAGGAGCTGGGAAGAGACAGGCATCAGAGCTGTGGACAGGATAACACGGAGACTGAGTACTATGCCAAGGAGATTTACAAGTTCAACATGATCAATGGTCCGCCAGAAAACAGTAAGTTGTTTGTTTTTAATCATGGTCAATAAGTGTTTATTTTGCACTAGTTAACATGTTGTGTTCTAAATGTGGGTGATTGAAAAACATAGGGTGGAGTAATTATTGGTTTTGCCAATGCGCCATGCTGCCAACATTTTTAATAGGTGCCCAAACTTGATCCAAATGCCTTAACTTGTACAAATCTGTGTACAGTCGTAAAAGTGAAAACGTGTATGTGGCCTCAACACAAAATTATCATAGGTGAGGTAACAATATCAACAACAGGGTTGTGACTTTCCCAGCCAGCCGTAAGTCCACTCGTGTCTGTGCAGCCTTTACGCACAGACGCGCCTGTGAGAAGTGGAGCGGTGCGCAAAGGAGAGGGCAAAGTAAACAGTCTAATTGGAATGAGCACCATTCCTCATACATACCTCACACCAAAGCCATGGGAACTCCAGCCTTAGTCTGACACATTCCTTAGCTAGGAAAATTCTCAGGCAGTTAAGTCTAGTATTTATTGCCAACTCCAATACCTCATTTCCATTTTCTGGCCGTGAGTTTCCCAATATGTTTCATCCAGTGTAACAACTCTCTCACTTCTATTTCCCCCACTATTTCTCTCTAGTAGCAAAGAGCGAGCTGTGCGTTATGATCTAATTCCCTTGTTCATCCATATTGGTATTTCCTGTATAAACTATGGTCCATTGATTGTTCCAGAAACCTGAAACAGAAGCTCACTGAGCAGCAGATTCTCCAGAGAAAGTCAGTTTCTTTGTGTGAATTGGATTTGTATGCCGGTCAGAGGCCAGTTCGTGCACAGTGTAACCAGCTTAAAGATCAACAGGTGTTTATGCTGTGCTGTGACACTCAGCAGAGCCTCTGCCCGTTCCAGCATAAGTCGTGAATCAAATCCATTTCACAGGTCCCACAAAGTGCTTCTGACACTCAAAATACACAGCTCAGGGTTTATCCGCTGGTCAGAGGTAGCCAGAGCTCCCAAAACAAACAGAGGTCTAAGGAGTGGGATCAGTGATGGCCAGGTGCCCAGGACACATCACGCCGGTCTCATACTGAAGGCCCTTCTGTAGGTGATAATACGAGACATGAACTTCACTTACTACTGGCAACACACTGCACTAAACAGCTTATCCAGGAAGGATATTAGGAAATTAACAGAATGTGCCAACATACATTAATTAGCACTCTCCCTTTCCATTCTGTAATTTTAAAGAGAGCAGGGCATGTTGCAGACAGTATACAGTAACATAATGTCTGTCACCTTGATCATTTTGTAGTTCATTTTGATTCCTGCTGGATATAATGAGTTTTACATGCACCGCTTTTGGAAGGTGGGAGTGTTTGGGAATAAAGTCAAGTTTAGCTTTTTTTCATGCGCAGTTAAAAAGTTAAACAGAAACTTTTCGGTCATACTTTAATGTGCCACTTGCTCCAGAGCCACAACTGTTCATGCAAATCAAGGCATTTGCCACACAGTAAATGACTAGATGAAGCATAACTGAGACTGAGCAGCAACAGATTTTCATTTTCTGGTGCATCAGGAGGCCAGTGTGGCTCATTATATTGTGTTTCTGTTGAAGAAACAAGATAAAAACATAATGAAAGGAAATAATGACCTTTGGCACAATAACTTAGCTAAGAATCCACGTACTCTTAAATGAGAAAGATGGTGCCTTGCACACTGGAGCATGCGGTTTCAGTGACATTTCAAGCCAATCATTGACTCAGTGTTGGGTCAGTAAAAAAATGAGCACTAGCGCTGAGACAGCAGGGTATCTGATATATGGGATAGTAGAAAGATGATGTCATCTGAGCAAACAGAGACAGAGGTATCTGGCCAAAGAAACTGCATCTCTCCCCCCCTTAACTCCCACGCCTTTACCATATTTGCTTCCTCATCCTTAATCAAGTGGAAAGAAGTTGTTTTTAACTGCTGCAGAGAGGTACTTGACATTTTCTCATCACATGTAATGACATGCCACACTAGGAAGCAGAGGAATTAGATGATATGATACAAAACAGCATTTAAATTCATTATTTTTTAAACTAATTATCAGTTTTCTGCATCATGGGTGAGTCAAAATGAAACCATAGCAGCATAATTAAAATCCTAATTTCATATACGGCTATTCAACTTTACAACAAAGCTTAACTACTTTATTTCCAAATAAATGGGTTGTTGTCCTCTACAAGACCTAGACACCTCAGCAGCTGGCTAGCACCTGCTGCCTTTATGCGTCCTATTTCCTTTGTTTACTTCCAAAAAGCTCTGGAGAGACTGACATCACAGACAATCCTCTGGGCAAAAGGGCAAAGAGAGGTGATTCCTGAGAAATGTTTTCATCAGGAAGGGTCTGTGTCATGAGAGGAGAGGATCGCACACACTGGAGGGTACGAGGTGTGGTCGACAGCGTCTAGGCGAGGCACTTTATATGAAGCTTTACTACAGAGCCATGCCAGAGTCTGTCCCCGGGCCTTCCTGAATAACTTTACCCCTAAATCCCTCATTTAAAGCCTATAGGCTCAAACTCACTGAGTGATAATACGAGAAGGAAGAACGTGTATACAGTAGGTGACTATAAATATACTTTTGCAAGTGTGTAAATGAGAATGCTTGGTAAAATGATATAATTAATTTGATCTACAGTGTGTTTTCGCTATATCCGAAGTTAAAACAATAGGTCTGATGTTTTTCTTAAAAAAGGTTTACAAGATAACGAGTACAATACTTTAAATTCTTTAATATAAAAAACTCAAAATCCTTAATTTCTGAGTGGATTTCCAGGTAGAAATAAGACCCTTGTGAAGCTTATTAACATAAATCTCTGCTGCTTCAAATAGTTTATAGGTCAAACCTATGTCAGCATCTTGACAATCAATCTTAAGACCGATAGTGGGGGTCGGGAAATTGGTCAATGTATATCATTTTAATTATGCAAGCCATCCCCTCCAATTACCAACATGGAACAAATTACCTTTCAGACCCTTGGCAAAAATAAGCCATAATGTGAAATCCACCTAAAACCATTGCAATGGGAAAAATGAGGTCATCCAAAAGGAAACCAAAGACTTGATTAGAATTTCAAATCTCCCTTCGAAAGTGGGGCTTTCCACCTTCTGTGGGGGAGGCAGAGGGGGGACAGAGCAGTGGGTGAGGGGAGGAAAAGGCTACTGAGGTTTCCTCCTTAGATATCTGGCTTGGGATGAATGCTTAAAAGGTCACCTATAAATAGGGAAAGTTGAAAAAGCCTTGTGGAAATATAAGATAATGACTGGGAGGACACTGAAATTGGAATTTGGGTCAAATGAAGTACAGATACTTGGAAATGTGCAAGTTCTTATTGCATGACACAGAAACAACTGAACTTCTGAGTTTCCATTCGTCCCAAAACAGCTTGAGGTGCAAATCAGCTGAAGGTGCAATACCCCTTTCAACCACCAGCAAATCTGAGGCTCAGTAATAAAGTTTAAGCTTGGGGTAATAAATTAGCTATGGCTTGGCTGTAAACGACTGTTTCCACTTGGCCCATAAAAAGTTTGCTATGTGCTTGTTTTGCTCAACACTGCATGTGCTTGGCCTGTTAAAATAATAAACTGCTCTATAATATTAAGGTATAAAAAAGAGAAATGCTTCAGTGCACTGGGAAGCTTTTTACATAGATCACATTTTGGCTATTTATTTACCAGATTCAGCTAAAGCTCAGAGTGATAACATATGAACGCACCATGGATACAGCAACTTACTGCTAGTCAAGCATGCTCTTACTGGCCTTACTGTCACAATGTAGTCGCCCTCCTTGATGGTTTCTCAGGTATTGTTCTGCTCCAGTATGTGAGTCCACATGCTCCGGATACATTTCCAAGTTCCAGAGAATACTTGGCATCTGGCCGAGCCCTCGGAGCACCTGTTGGTCTCAAGAGCTGGTGGGAGGAGGAGGAGCACGCTGCCGTCCCTCTGCAGCCCGCTCCACCACCACATGGGACATTTGGTTTTCATTTCATGACTTCAACTTGTTGCTAACTCGGACCGCACAAATTATAAGCAGATGGTTTTCAGTAATGGCCCACGTCTCTCAGGAAATAGAGAAGAAAACGTTTTTTTTAATCTGCAAACTATCTCAATTTATTTAAACTCTTGAGAGAATCCGCTGCAAAAAGCTTATCAATAATCAGAAGGTAAACATCTCCCCCTGTTAGGATGTCAGTGGAAAATAGGCGTTGATAACATGTACACTATGAGGTAACAGATGGATAAGAGCTTAAAGGGACTCTGACAAAAGAAACAATGAGATTTCCAGTTAAACAAAAAAAAGAGAGATATCAAATAACCCATTTAAAGCAACTGTTGAGTCATCATTTCCATTTTTACCTGCAGATGACCTCCCGTACTGCCCTAAGGGTATCACCTCCAAGGTATTCCGCTTCAACGTCTCCACCATGGAGAAGAACTCCACCAACTTGTTCCGGGCCGAGTTCAGAGCCCTGCGGATCCCCAACAGCGGAGCCAAGAGAAACGAGCAGAGGATTGAGCTCTACCAGGTGTGTGAACTGACCGTTCATTTCCACTGTTAGCATAACGCTGGAGGCTAATGTGCTCTATTTCTCTCAGAAGGCCTTTGTAGGTCAGCGAGAAAGATGAAAACATTTACATTAGGGTGTCCAACTTCCTTTCTCCTTTTTTTCATGCGCTGATCATTATTCCATGTGCTTACAGTCAAATGATTTTACGTTAAGACACATTTAAGAGCTTGTACAGCCATCTTCTAGAAACCCTAGATTATTTATTCTTTTATGACTGTCAATCTAATAATCCATTTTTGCCAGATCAAGTAGGGCTTTTTTCATTCAAAAGAGGGTTTGTAGATTTGCACCTGCATTTGTGGGTTTCTAAGCATTTTTGTGTTTGAGCATGCATCTGCTGGATGTCAGCGTGGGTGGGGTATGGGATGAATTATTTTGTTTTGTTCGGTTTCCTCATTAATCTCCCGTGAGACACTTGGAGTAATGATCAGGTTCCAACATTTCCTGCCAGGGAGACAAGCGTCTCCGGACTGCATACCGCCTCTGAGGCAAGGCTCTGGCCAGCGCTGAATACAGGCTGTCAGGCCCTCAGATTGTTTCCAGGGGCCTAGAAGGAGATAGAGGCAGGGTCACCCACTGGGGGAGTAAATGGAGCCGCCTGCTCGCCCCCACACTTTCAGGCTGGAGGTTGATTGGCAGAAGGCTGACGCTGGCCCCTTGTTCCCACAGGAAGACAGATTAGATGCTGACAATGTTCAGGAACCTGGTTATCCATAGAACTGCTGTGGGGCTCGGCGCTCATACCCACCACCCAAACACACACATTTCTTACAGATAAACACCTTTGTTCAAAGAAGTGCTGATGGAGATAGGAATGTCTGAACCACACGCTTTGCATTTCCCTCCATCGTGAGTTCTGGGGCCTCAACACGATAACGCAGTCAGTAACATGAATGTCCGCAGTGTTACCTGCAACCCTGCTTTTTTTCCCTGAACTGCGTGACACTGCATCTGGGAGGCCAGCTAAAGTCAAAGTTGAAACTGCTGACGTGAAGGACAGCCAGGTCCTCATTGGCAGGAGGGTAACACGCAGGCATTAACTTGCAAAATGGGGATATCAACACAGGGAGTCACTTTTTCCATAAAGAGTAGACATTTGGCCCAAGGCATCCTGGAGAGTCTGGCTCAGACAGACAGCTCTGGTTCTGTCTGTGCGAATGTGTGCGGGTGTGTGCGGGTGCGTGTGCGTGTGCGTGTGTGTGTGTGAGTAAAAGAACGAGAGTTTATGCAGCTGGGTCACATTTTCGTCTTTCCTCGCAGATCCTCCAGAAAGACGACCCCAAAGCCAAGCAGCGCTACATTGGGGGCAAGAACGTCCTGACCAAGGGAACGCCTGAGTGGGTTTCCTTTGATGTTACGGAGACAGTGAGAGAGTGGCTGATGTACCGACGTGAGTGGGACACCTACTTAAAACATAACCTGCCAAATAGCATTGGTTCATTGGAAATGAAGGATCACAGCTTCAGGGGAACACGTCAGCTCCTTACATCCCTCTGCTCTTGTTTCCCCCTCAGAGACCAATCTTGGCCTGGAGATCAGCGTGCATTGTCCCTGCCACACTTTCAGGCCTAATGGGGACATTATTGAGAATGCCAATGAGGTGCTCGAGGTCAAGTTCAAAGGTGAGACTGCATTTAAAACCTTAGCGATGCGAAAGACAGATGGTTGGGATTTTCATCAGCAAGATGGGTTTTTACTGTACGTCAATTTCAGTGAGAAGTTCTTATTATTTGTTCCTCGGGTAACTAATGTGACATAGTTTGGGAATATTTTCTTTCTTTCTAATAAACAGGTCTAACTACAGTACCAGTAAGAGAACCGTTTTTCCCCGAAAAATGTTCCTAAACTATTCCTTTAAATATTTTGCATTTATTCTAGATTAGTCTTTAGACCAGGAACCAATCAGTCCAGTTTCTTTGAGTATAATTTTTCCCATTTTAAGAGCACATCTCAGTCTCAATCTTGCCTTTTGTATAGATTCCCAGCTTTTTCTGTGTCTTATGGTCAGACTGTGGTCTCTGCTAAGTCTGGATTTCTCTCTGCTTTTGATCTCTCACATTGAAAATACATTCTGCCAGTTTGTATTCATGATCAAGAGCCAGATAACATTTAATTCTGTTTAATTTCTTTGATTTGTCTCATGCTATACTGATAGGCATCTCAAGTTTGTTTCATTCTAATTAGTGCTTCTGAGGCAGTGCTGGTTTTAGGATGATTTGCATTTGTGGGTCTTAAGACCAGTTTATCCTTGGAGTTTGTTTTGGGCTACAGTTTTAGTTATAGTGCTTGTTTCAGATCTTTCCAAATGTGGAAACAGTGAAATCTGGCATGCTTTGGTTGATGTTTTTCTGTTAATTGTAAATATGACCCTACAAAACTTAAACAGAGGCTCCCCATCTGGTTTGTACTATATACAGCTACAAATGGCAGAGGATTTGATGAAAGTAGACATTTGTTAGATTAAACTCTAAATGACATGTCTTGTCTTTGTAATTTGCATAGAAGGCTCAAAAGGCCTTTTGTTACCTAGCGCTCACAGCCAAATGAAAGATACCGGAGGCGTTTATTTAGTCTTTTATTGCTCAGGGAATATTCTAGAAGCACAGTTTCCTTAGATGATTGAGAATCTGGTTATAATAATACAATAACACTCACAATACTCTCCTTTTTATGAGCCTGGTAAAAAAAAAAGGTTCCTTTTCATCCTGTCATCAACATCCTCATCATGTTCCTCCAGCAGCAATACCTATTGAGGTCTTTTTAGTAAGATAATGGGTTTCCTTTCTAAGATGAAGAGAGAGACAGAGCATGGGAATACAATTGATCTGGTATCTCACTTAGCACTGGGGCCCCCGGGCCCTCGGCCCTGGGAACACTCCCGACTGGCTTGGCCACAAGGAATGTGCTGCCACGGCGCTCAGACGCTTGGCCCCGAATTAAAGAGGGGCGTACATATCCAACTGCAGCATCTCTCTGGAGATATCCACTGCTTTAGCTATCAGGGGCAGATTGGATGAGCAGACGCAGGCTGAGGTGGGGGGGGAGAGGGATGGAGAAAAGAAGGAAGTCAGGGACCAGCGTTGAATAAGGAGAAGGGTGAAAAGTGATCCAAAAGTGAGTGAAGCCCTTTCTGGATCCTTCTGTAAAGTAGACTACACTGATTAGAGTTTGCTTAAAGTCTGCTCTCAAAGACATTTTACAATTGTCAATAAATCTGCTGTGCAGTTTTACCTGGTTCCTCCAGACTGAAAGGCTCTCTCCTGCAGGTATGGAAGTGGACTATGACGATCTGGGCCGTGTGAAAAAGCAGAAGGAGCAGCTGTACCCCCACCTCATCCTCATGATGCTGCCCCCCCACAGGCTGGATGCCCAGTCCTCCTCCCGCAGGCGCAAGCGGGCACTCGACACCAATTACTGCTTCAAGTAAGGCACATTTCTCCGCCGTGGAAAATGTAATAAACTGTTAGACATTTGTCTTTAACTTTGTAAAATAAGGTGGATTTAACACTTGGCTGGGTAAAATATTGCAAATAAAGACTAGCTGCTTCTACAGTGTTGCAGCAGAGGAAAATTGTCAAGCGGTGCACCGGCCAAGGCAACATATCAGGTGTCACGCCTCTAAAAGATGGCAAGGAAGCCGAGTACATGGGCAAAGGATAGGCTTGTTAATCATCTACACGAGCATGACAGAGGTATTAGTTAATACAAGTCGGGATCTGTCCCAGTACTAGCAAACACCGCCTCCTCTTACACTCCATCTCCTCAGCTCTGGATTTCCTCTGTCAGGCTGACAGGCAGTACCAGAGACACCTGGGCTGAGTCCAAGAGGGAAGATAAGGGCACACCTAGGAGAGGAATTTCTGAACTTCACACTCATCTCTGGCTGCGTGCCCAGGGAGAGGAAAATGTATACAACCCCTAAAATAGCACGTTATCTGTGAAGTGAAATGAGTGTAATCCTCTCTGTCCTCTCTTGTCTGCAGCAACTATGAGGAGAACTGCTGTGTGCGACCACTATATATTAATTTCCGGCAGGATTTGGGCTGGAGGTGGATCCATCAGCCTGAAGGATACTACGCTAACTTCTGCTCTGGTCCCTGTCCTTACCTACGCAGCGCAGACACCACCCACAGCTCGGTGAGAACAAAGCACCACAACACATTAAAGGTCCCCTATTAGACAGTTTTTCATCAATATATTATAGGTCTCAGATATATACAAAGCATGTCTCTGAAGTGTTTGGCTCGAAATACCAAACAGATCACCCATTGTAGCATCTCATAAAGCCCTCTGTTTCAGCCCTGTTTCTAAAGTGCTGATTCTGTGTCTGTAGCTTTAAATGCTAATGAGCTGCTGCTGGCCACGCCCCTCTGCAAGATATTTGGTTTTAAAAAAACACAATGGTGCTCTAGGAGGAGAGTCAGGTGATAAGGTGGGGGGGGGGTTACCTTGGTTGGTTATTGGCTAATGGTTACACAAGCCAAAAAAACGTTATGACATCATAAAGTGGCCAAAATCTGATCATCTCATTTTCAGACAGGTTTTTATATAAATGGATCAGGACAAAAACTCAGCAAATCTTTTTTCCTGAAACTTTCAGAATCTCTTTACACAGAGGGGACGCATGTTTATGTGTATACGACATGAAAAAGTGGATTTTGCATAATAGGTGACCGTTAAAGTTGAGATGATGTTCTGTGAAACACCCCTCCTTATCGTCTTCTACTCTTTCTTCCACAGCTGCTGAGCCTGTACAACACGTTGAACCCCGAAGCGTCGGCCTCCCCCTGCTGCGTTCCTCAGGACTTGGAGCCCCTTACCATCCTCTACTACGTGGGTCGCTCCCCTAAAGTCGAGCAGCTCTCCAACATGGTCGTCAAGTCCTGCAAGTGCAGCTAGACTTCAGGGCGAGACGCGGGACGTGGCGGCTCCCAGCACTACTCAGGAGCGGGTACGAGGGGGGAGAGGGGGCGCGGTACACTTTGCCCCCCCCCACCTTCAACCCCTGATTCAGCCCTGGTCCAAGCTCTCTCTCGATCTCTCGAAAAAACAAAAGATGAATTCCTGCAATCATTGGCAGCGTTTACTAAGAAGACTTGTCAAACACCACTTCACTAACGGGCACTCTCAAACCCATCCAACCTCTTCAGCAATCGCTTTTTGACATCAATGTTTTTTTTTTGTGTCATATTCCAGCCTGTGACCAGCCTGTACCTCAGTGTTACACAACAGGAAGAATGACCACTGCATTCTTAAGAACATACAATAATTGCAGTCCAAAAGAGGAAAAATGACTGAGAATGCAGACTGAACCAATAGGAATACGTCAAAGAGGGTGAAACTAACGTGATTGTTTGTTGAGGGCAAACACATCCCTCGCCTCTGACGCACAAGACATCTTCGAAATGTCCGAGCTGGAAACCGCCGCTGTGCACGCCGCAGCTCCGACACTGTTTGTTTAGGATTAAAATGCTATTGAATTCAAAATGACTTTAGGACAAAAAGAAAAATACATGCTGGAAACCAACCTTTATTCTAAAGTAGTATATCCGTGGTTATGTTTACCTCTGTAATACAACAGGATGGTGATTCCAGGGATAGTTTTGTTTTAAAGTGAAGCCTTTCTGTTGTATGAGACGACGTATGTCACTAAGTGAACACTTAAGTAGATCACAATCTGTAAATGTTTTTTGTATTACTCTTGGAAACACCTTTTTTTTTTTATTAAAAAAATTGACTGTTGGATAGAGTTGTTCATATTTCATTATTGTTTGAGTTTTTATGTTTGGGTTATGTTTTTTAGAGCACTTTATTTAAAGGGTAATAGGGTAAATCTAGACAACCAAGAAAAAAGAAATCATAGTCAAGTCTAAGACAAACTTCTGTGTGTGGTAGGAAGAAAAATACATTTACTGACACTATCAGCATGTTTTAATGTTTTCTCGGTTTTCATTTCAATGTTGTTTGATACCAATATGATTCCAAAAACATGACATTACCATGCATGTGTGTTGTAAACATCAGCGACACAACAGATCAAATGATCAGACTGTAAACAACTTTGTATCACCACAGGAGAATATACATTGATTTGGATGCCACTGTTGAATATCTGTAACACAGCATGCACTGGTGTAGTAAAGTAGACCACAACATTAAGTTTGCCATCGATCACTACAAAATACAATACTTTCAAGTGTATTAAAACCAGTTCTAGTCTGCATGGAGAACTACTGTACCATCTGTGCAAAATCCCTGTGATGATGATCATCAGTGGATATGACATGCATGACATTCAAGTATTTCTGACAAAGTCATCATAAACATATTCTGAATCTATTGATATATAACAGAGATGTTTTATTCTATTAACACGCCCTGAGTTAACTCACTATATGGTCCCAAGCAACATATTACCTTCATGGATATTGATCTGCTGGTACAGCATTAACCTTCATATAGGCAAGGCTGTGCATAACCATAATTCCTCTTTATGTTATGCTTCAAGCTACAGAAACGGCCAAAAAGGCCTTTTGGTGGACAATATTCAGTGAATAAATACTAATACAACTACAATAATTTACTTAAAATATTACATTTGGTCCGTCCAAGAAAAACATCTACATCTCAACAGCTTACAGGAAAAATCACAGGTCAACTGCATTCTTGATATTTGTTTTACATTGTCCTTGTAAACGTGGAACAAGGCAGCAATCTACCGTCATTTATGCTCCTTTTTACGCCTACAAGCAAATCGTTCTCTACTTTAACACATCCTTAGGCAATGAGCACAGCAAATGTTTTGGCAACGAGTCAAGGTGTGTAATGCCAGAAGCTTCTCACAAAAGAACCTCCTCTGTACGCTTGTCCGTTTGTATATAAAGATAACATCTACATGAATGGGTAGTGGTGCATATGTTACTGCAGGAGCAAAGAATAAAAGGTTGGATCCTGAAATTAAAATGCCACTGGGGCATTAAGGAACCATCTGCTGAAGGCTATCTGTCAGTGAAATCTTTCTGTGGCATCAGTAGCATGGAGAGAATGAGGGCGGACAACTGTTGGGATATAGACTGAGCGTAGCCAACGGGGGTGAGGGGAGAGGGAGGGGGTACACAGGGTAAGGAGCTGAAAAGGCCAACTGATGTTGAGCTGAGCAAATAAAATCTCAACCTGCGTCAAAGCTGGGCATTCCTGGCCCCTCTCGAATGTCTGTGGCTGTATCAGAGAGAAATTAATAGGACCCTGTTCGATGTCTGGCACGCTTTGATCTGCTGCTGTTGTCCTTTCCCAGAATACACCTCTGTGAGGATGTAGTTACATGCAGAGACACCTGTCAGGCCAGCAGAGGGGCAGGACGGGCCTCTGGTCGCTTTCATGTCATCTGTGGCCGGGCTCCTGGCCCTGGAGCAGCTTGTGGTACACAGAGAGACCTGGGGAGCAACAGATGAAAGTAGAATTAATACAAAAAAGAGGGAGAAGGGCAGCACAAGGTTTCCCCCACAGAACCCACATGTGCACAAACAGAAATGCTAAGGTCAAACCTGAAAGAATTTCCCTTGAAAGGAGAAGGCTAAAGACCTCCTGGTGAATGTTTTGTTGATGGTTTTTCTGGAGGCTGTTACCAGGGGATCTGCTCTGTCATCTCAGCGCTCAGCCTTTTGTCAGGCTGCCCCCCCCCCCGCTCCTCGTCCTATCGGCTGGCTGACAGCCAGGCATCTAGTAGGAAAGGCATTCCAAGTACAGTAAGAGCTGCCGTGTTTGTGCTCCCAAACAGTATTCCCATTCATTCCTCCTCTCAGCACTCTGTTTATTTTGGTGCTCTTTTACACCGTGGGGCCTGACGGAGCTGAAAAACGAAAACATCTCCCTGACTTCCAATCTGATGACATGACCGCTGGAAGCTTCTCCAGCTCAGCGGGGAAAAAAGAAAAGATAAAAGGGGACAGTCATTTCTCTCACATTTAACACTTAATAAATGATTTGCTCAATAACAGCACAACCACTTCTCTACCATAATTACTCAACCATTTGGATCTTTGTGTGAGATGTATCAGTGATTGCTTTGAATCAAACATCCAATAACTTACATAATACATCTGAATAGGGGATGACAGCCAATAACGGCCTTCCTTTCCCAACAGGGCACCGCACTCTCTTATTTTGATAGAGAGAGGCCTAAGCTATGCGCCCTGACATGATCAGACTCCCATTAAAATGGCACAAGTGCAGCATTCATTTCCTTCTCAAACTGAAAGCAATAAATCTCCACAGTCACCAGCTGTGCAGCCCTGAGAACTTCAAGAGAGAGGTTCAAGGGACGCATTGTAAAACACATGTGGTTGATATAATCTAGGTTTGTTAGCTTTGATAGAAACCCTCCCTTCATCTCATGTCAAAAATTAACATAGAAGAAGTAGGGAAGGAAAAAGGGGGAACGGGGTGAGCGGGCAGGAAAAGTTTTTGGGGGATAAAGGGAGAGTTGTATGAGCAAAGAGAGGAAGAGATTAAGAGAGTGCACAAGAGGGAGATAAAGGGAGAGTGTGATTAATGACGGTTGACAGCTGATCATAGAGAATGCTCTCCACTTGGACCCGCTCTAACTCCCTGTCAGAGTCAATCAGGGGGGCTCAGTCATCTCGCCACAAAGGTACTCTGGGCAGGCAGAAAGACCTGACGCACTCCTAAGCTCCACAAAGGCTGTTCCCTCTCTAATAACACCCCCCTCCCTCCAAAAAGCCACACTGAGTCTCTGTTCGTCTCCCAGTCCCATTCTAAAAAGGCATGGTTTGACCTGCCTCGCTAACTGGTTTTGGTACTGGGACTTTTTTTTTCCTTTTTTTATTAAGTCAAGAGAGAAGCATCTCCCCCACCCTTTGAGCCCTGGACGACGGAAAAATGCATACATGAAATTCAGAAGCTATCCCAACGGATCCAGTTACAGTAATTGATGAGTTTATAAGATGTTTGTTAACTTAAGCCAGCCTTCAGAGTTTAGGGGGAGAATGAAAAAATAAATGTTCTGGTCACAGACACACACACACCCAATTTTTTTTTGGGGGGGAGGGGTGCAGAGCTACTGTGTTTTTCCAACAAGATGATTCCTGGGTCGGCTTGACTCTGACGCTCACGTGATGTAATGAATGCTATGATTAGCTAATGCTAATGTATGGTAGGTCTATGGAAAGAAAGAAAAAAAGCTCCTGATCAGGAAAAACAGATGTGTGCATCAGCGCTAAATATCACTGTTACTGTAATAACCTCAACACTTCTGTTAGAATGGAAAGAGTTGTGGAAATAGGGCAGGATGACAGGGCACACGTGAGCGCATGCACCCACGATTGTGGCGCATAATAAACGCAGCAAAGGCTAAGATACATTTTTACTTTAAATGTGATTTCTGGGGTACAACTGGACATCCCTTTTACAATTGCGTAGGAATGACCAACAGATGGGAGTACCCACCCAAACTGTTCCCACCACTAGATCCTATTTCAAAAGAAAGATGTCATCACTGTTAAACCTATTTATCTTCAGCAGTAATCTGACCCGTGGTTTTGGACACTTATAATCAAATAGCACTGTAGAGTTTGTTCATGGTCATTCAGATCTGGCAGCGTCAACTCTGCTTGGCACAAATAGGGATATGACACTAGGCATTGTAATAAAATAACCAATAAATCTGCACTTGTACTCTTCTAAGAAATGTCAAGTGTGTACTTTATTTATCATTATGACAGTAGTAGTTATCTGCTACAATGTGCAACATATATTGCACCACTATGCAAGCAGGAAGCTGGCTAAAGATATCCAGTGGTGTCTATCAGTCCTCCATGGGGAATGTCCACTATGCCTGGCTGCAATCACGGCCACTGGCATATAGAGGGCACACCCCCCCACCCACCTTCCATACTGCACCACCAACAGGCCAAGTTACAGCATGTGTAGAAATACAGCATCAGACCCACCTGTTTTACCACAGATGGCTTCGTAGACCACATGCTGCCCGTTGGACACACTGCCACTGGCTGAACTCTCCGTGGACTTCTGCCTGTTAATCATGAGACGAAAAGTGTCAGAGATGACCAAAAAGATCATTCCCCAGGGGTGAACAGCATCTGAATTCCAAGGCTTCTCCCCACAGTCTGGTATAAAGCTGTGGATGTATCCTAGTGTATTGTCCAAGTTTGAGCTGAGTACATCAATAAGTCAATAATAGCTGAAAACTACGTGCGAATGTTAGAGCTAATATGATGTCTGATGAGTCATCCTCTGACAGAAGACAAGTGGAGTCAGTTTAACTAGTGGGTGCGTGTGCATGTGCGTGTGCGTGTGCATGTGCGTGTGTGTGTTTGCAGTCAGTGGAGGCCACTGGGGGTTAAGTGTTTGCCGAGTGGCCCTCATGAGCTCATTTGTGACAAGAAGGGGGCAAATTCCTGCTCCTTGTCCTGGGTGATTTCCCAAGATTATTGTGTTGATTGCTGATTATGTAGACCTGTCGTCAGTCGCTACAGACACAGAAGGGGCACACATGGGCCTTCTTATATGCTGAATAGTCAGTAGTGTACACTTATCTCACAGGATCCCAAACAGGGAATTATATAGCCATTTGCACATAATCAGACAGCAAATACAGTGTTTTCAGAGAATAAACCATTATAGGAACTGGCGAAGCATAGAGCGGGAGCAGACACGTCTGTAACCTTATACATTAAATCTGTTAAGCATTTTTTAGGGGGAACAATAAATAAAGCTTAGTTGGCATTAACCTCTCACCCCATAACAGCAGCGTGCCAGAGGAGCATTAACAAGGTAATGAGGGTACACACTGCCTCCTTGTAAGGGACTGCACAGTTGTTCTTTCATACCATTACACAACCACAAATAGAACTGGCCCACTTTAAGCGTGGCATACCTCGACAGGAAGCAACCCCTTTCATATTGAAAGGGGGGGAAAAAACTTGACCTCTCGGTTCTTCACATCACTCTCTTTGTCAACAGTCTCTCACTCGGTCACTTCAAGACTCAGCAAGCAGAAACAAGAAACACTGTAGGAGAGATCTGAACTTGCAGGGTACACAGATGAAATATAAGCCTGAAGTTGAATATTTTGAACTACTTACTTACTTGTGGCAAGAGCTGAAGTCCTTATGTAAAAAAAAACAGATTTATTTTTTCTGCATTCAGGTAGCCAGCAAGACTTAATGTTGACCAAAAGGGATAAAGTTTAACCATAAACACACGTTTGGCAGCTTCTGTGTGTATGCAGTATCCTGTGAAAATAACTACTGTTGTGGCTGATTAATAGGGAGTGAAAGCAGCAGCCAGGCTGACATTAATGGTGCTGCTGTAATTGTCACCCTATTAGTAATGCCACACGACAGCCCGGGTTTCCGTAGTTACAGCTGCGTCTAGCCAAATCTCGCAAACAAAATACCAAACAGGCTCATTTATTTGTTTTACAAATTGCTCCTTTCAAAGCCTTCACTGAAGTCATACCACTTTGAGTCCTCGCAGCCCCTCCAGTTGGCAGCTGTGGTATGTTGATAGACCAGAGAGCCCTGCCCTGCTGAGTTGATACCAACATGAAGCACATTGGGTTCGAGCAAGTGTACCACATGTTTGTTGAGCTTAAAAATCAAAGGCGCTGGCACTCGTTGCCCAGATCTGTCCTGTACTTTAATCTTCAATTCAAACTGAATGCTGACTCGTCACTGAGTCAGCATATTCGGACATGGTTGATTAGAAAGCACTCTTGTAGGATTTGTCTTCAAACAGAGGAAATCATTTTGCTGAATGGACTGAGATCTTCACTCCAGACCAAAATAACAACATTCTGATAGATAGATTCAGCTAAGAGCAGTCAGTGATCAACAATGTATTACTAATGGGACAATGAGTCAAGGCCATTACTGGGAAATGTGTATAGTGCAACAGTTTTACAATTCAACAGCTGGCTGGAGGAAGGTGTTTGGAGGGCTGCATAACCTTGAACTGTGTGAATACACCCAGCACAGTGATTCTATTATAAGTTGGAGGAGCTTACGCCGACACTGGGATGCATTTCAGATGTGCCTCAATAACAGAGGTATTGAGTTGCCCCTAAAATGAGCTCTGGAAATAAAGGGAAGCAACGTATTATCCCCCCATTTTCTGCAAACAATCATCTCCTTTCTCCTGGACAGAGTTCACTTTTCCCTGTCATTCTTACTTTTCCCCCTCTCTTCATTCTTTCGTTTCCTTGTTTCCATCGGTGCATTTTTGGTGCTGAAGCTTCCGTTTTTCCCACACTCTCCCCTGTCACACTGGTCGACCGCAAAAATGCAGGACAGAGGAGAGTGTGAGGGGGGCTCTGGAATTCCACATGCAGAGTGTAAACACGGCAACTGCCAGGAAAACACACACACACACACACACACACAAAGGAGCAAACACAGCACCTATCCGGCTGCCCTAATTTATTCTACAACCCCTGCGCTGCACCTCTGCCTTCTTCCCTTTTCACTTGCCAGCAACAGTTTGCCCAGTCAAGCAAGATGACTGAATGTAACACGTCAGCAGAACCAGGGCTTTGCTCAGGGCGATCTGCTACTCTCTGCTACTACTGAGGCTCACAGACAAATGGACAGTTCTTTATGCCAATCCGATTGTGCCCTTCAACGTGATTTAAACAAACATTCGGTCCCGGTCACAAAGACTTTTCTGTTGTTGTGCAATTTGGCCAGATGTTGTAGTCATAAAGTCATAAAGTAAGTGAGGGGAAAAGCTGGCAGTTCAGCCCCGTTTCACTCCTTTCCTTTTATTTTCCCTTCTGTGCTCTTCAGCTTATCTCCAAACCAAACAGGAATTAAACGGCGCTCTGAGCCCGGGGCCCTTCCACTGAACCACGTTCTGTTTACGGTTCAGGCAGAAAGCAGGCCTGTGATGAGGTTGTTTACTGAACAGGCAGATACACCCTGTGGCCAAAAGACTGGGAGCACTCCACTGCACACATATTCTAACTCTCATTAGCATCAGCCATGTCCTCTGGAACTCACCGCTCCCATGCTCTTTTGTCTTAATCCACAAGCCAATCAATGCCATTCCCCACTGCAATCTCTTCTATTCAGTACATGGTGACTTTATGAAACTCAAAGAAGTAAATCAGAAATGTGTTCAGTTGAAAGGCCGTACTTACTTGATGAGGCGCTTTGTTGCCGTTTTCCTGATCTGTCCCTCTCTGGCACTGCTGGGCGGCTTGGGGGCGAGAACAGGACTCACACAGGTTTGGCTGTGGCTGTGACCGTGGCTGGTTCGAACATGAAAGCTGGATGGAGGGCAGCTGGATGAGGCTGGGGGAGTCTGGGCGAGTGGAGCACCCGTCTGGTCTGGATATTGAGCCTAAGAAAATATAATTTAAGGTCAGTATTGTTAACACAGTGAATGCTTTTATTAACTCAGTTTGCCATGATAATGTTAACTGTAGTTTATCGTTATGGACAGGCAGTATAAGGCTGTCTGTATTTGAATTACTATGATCTCTCAATTATAAACAAATACATTGAGATTGGGTAAAAAAAAACATTTTCTATATTCTTTACAAGGTTAAGTATTTAACAGCAGTGCGTGTTTGAAATAAAAACAGAACACTTTAAAAGCTCTTGTTTGGGTTCTAATTTAAATTCAAGTCAAAATGTAGTAACAGTGGTTTTGAATTAGGACGTGAATCCTTATTTATGTAAATATATAGTTTATGGGTCCTTTATTTAGTATTTATTAGAAAGTATGTTATGGTATGTATTTACTCAACTGTAAAAAACAAATCCAATTCCTAAAGAGGAATAGGGAAGTACTATCACCTTTGGAATGGGTTAGTCATGGGGAAGAAATGTTGTCTTTGAATGAAATATCAAAGTGATTGACATGAATAATATATTAATGAAATGCCATCCAGTATCAAAACAACAATATTGGCTGCACTGATAAGAAAATTCTTTACATTATTTATTTGTTTTTACAAGATTTTTTCACAGGCTTGGGGAGAGGGGAAATACCGTTTTTCTTTCTGACATCATATTTTAGAGTCCCATTTCACTCTGTCCTTCCTGGAGAATGCATTGCATGCATTCCTTCCACGTCTCACGTCTACGCTATTTTCTCTGCAGCTTCCTACGGCTATCTGACAAACTAATGGTTTTCCAGCTCCACAGTGCAGCCCCTCAAAGGGCCGGCGGTGTGACAGGGAATATCTGATGTAATTGGTCTGTTGATAAATGAGAAGCTGAGTTTCCAGGTTGCGAGGCCTATGGCCGGCAATTCAGTCTGAGCAGGACCAGGAAGGCCACCTTTCTCTGGCTGCCAGTTGGCTCTGAGCCAGGCCAGTAGAGGAGCCGCGCAGTCTGCACCCAGTAACTGGAACGTGGACTGCAGCGTCGGAACAGCCCCTTGAAGTACACACTCACACACATAGAGCATATGAACAAGAGCACTCACAGCACTTCCTTTTGTGTCTTTAGGTCATCCTAAAAGCTCAATTACTTTGCTAATGAGGTCAGAAAAGCCAGCAAGGTGATCAAAAAGCTCAAAGAGTAGTCAAGTCACTGACTAATTCCTGGACCAAGATGTATGTGGGGCAAAGAAACATTTTAGACTATTCCCTTTAGGTAACAAAATAGGTGTCATAGTAAAACGTAAAAAGAAGCTGCAGGATTGAAGAACTTATTGTCAGTAAATATACAGATTGCCAGAGAGACCCATTTGGTTGGAACGAAGGGGGAGGGACGGCAAGGATTTTAGGGAGGGTTTGTCTGATTTGATGGTGAGACAACCATATCCTGAGTCAGCCTCCCGATGACCTCAGTTTGTGAGAGTTGAACAACAAGATGGCTCTGTTGTGAAGAGCTCATGCAGGAGTATGATGGGACATGTCAGCAATAAAAGGAAACTTTGTCAACTGTTTTCTGACTATGAGACAAAATGAAAAGGGGAACGGAACAGAGGAAATGCACGGGATCACTTTCATAAAGTGCCTTGCGTAAGGCTGCGGGCCCAAGCCAAGAGAAATATCACCTCAATTGCATTGAAGCAAAAATGATGAATAAACAATGACGTGAGAGGAACTGCTTTACCCCGGACAGATCAGGAATAAATGGGTGCATCCACCAATCTGTCTCCATTTCTCTCCACTTTACAAAACACTTATAAATACATTCTTCCTGTTAAGATCCTCTTTCAAAGCAATTTACAGCAACAAAAAGAGGGCCTGTTTTTATATTAAAACATTACAATTATTTTGCGCAAAATGACCGAGACCACTCTTTCTAATCTCCCTCTACAAACAGCCAAATCACATCGGTCACGGCTAGTGAGGCATGACTAAAAGGTTTTTTGTCGCTTCATTACTACTGCTGAGAAAAATCATATCCCAACATTTGTATTCATGTGGAACACAAATGAAGCTCAAATCTGATGTGAACTGTAAAGACATAAACCTAATAATGGATACTGCAGCAGGGCCTCTCTGGTGCCCTCGTGAGCAGCTTTCCTTGTTTACTTACCTTCCAATAGAAACCCAGAGTCACTCAGCCAAACAATGCAATCTTAGGGTGAGCAGTCATGTTTGGCTCTCCAGGAATTAGCTTCTGTTGAGGAGGATATTCCCACCAAACACCATTTTGTTAAGTGGTTTGGAAAGAGAATCTGAGAATAGCGTTGTAAATGCTAACATGAAAGCTTTCCCCTTGATGTGGGCGTATTTTGTATTAGTTTGGACAGCACGGTGCTGAGGTAAGGGAATATTCTGTACAGACACAAATATGAGGGTTTTCCTGAGGTAAAGCTCAATACTTCTCATACAAGTTCAGTTCATCCATGTGGTGTTGATATTAAAGCAAGGCATCGAATGAAAACAAAAGAAGCTGAACAAACTCTGAACTCTTTAACTACATTTTAATTTAACAAAACACAAAGGGCCTGAGCATTTTCAAGGAACAAATCATGAGGAGTTGAAACAGAATCAACAAAGGATTCCAGTAATATGACGCTGTGGCATGGAAACCATTTTTCCACAAGGCATGGCAAGGTTATTTAAATAGCAGATTTCAGACACAAAGGCAATTCAAAGTGCAAATAATAAAAATAAGGACAAAAAGAGTCTGAAAGCTAGGGTGTACTTGAGGATAAAAGTTGGCCATTACCAACTCACATCGCTCTTTGGAAAGGACACTTGTGGGGTGTTCCCTTTTAACAATAATACATCTAGTCATTAAAGTATCATATTTATCATGACATAATGAGGAGGTCAGGAGGAACACAACACAATCTGTTATATACCTGGTGTCTGCAGTGGCTCTGGTCCAGAAAAGATCGGGACTGGAGTCTTTGCTGTTGCAGTTTCTGGATTGCAAACTGCAGCTGGTAGCTTCCCTGGGTGGGCTCGTAGCGCTGCTGGGGGTTCACTCCTGTCACCAGGCTATAGGCACTTTGCATCTGCCCGTCCCACAGATCCTCCTCGTCCTTCAGCGGCCTGTGGCTTGGAGAGCAGAGAGGAAGAGGTCAGCAAAAAGTTTAGAGTATCAAAATTCTGCAAAACGCACACGCACTGACTTTTAAATCCAAATCTCGCAAACTGTTCTGCTCAGCAGTTAAAGCCACCTGTGTTTGTCACAGTGTGTCTTATTGCATTCTGATGACAATTAAAGGGGCCTTATTATGCTTTTTTTTTGGTTTTGCCTGTCCTGTAGTAGGTTTTTGTACATGTAAACTGGTCTGGCTAATATCCCAAAGTTCCCTTCAGAGGGAGTTTCTCTACCAGAGTCCTTTGTTTACATCCATAACATCGTGATATCACTACGTAATGCTCGTCTTTCTTTTGGATAGCGCTTCAACACTAGTACGTGAAATGATAATGGACGGGACATCACTAAGCGGTTAACCAATCACAACAGAGCAGCCCAGCAAACCAATCAGAGCAGACTGGGTTATGGTTTCAGACAGAGGATGAAGAGAGGTGCTGCAGCACAAGCAGTATGAGAACAAATAAAGAGCTTTTTGAATATTAAATCATGTAAACATGTCACAGTAGAAGACAAATATGAAAAAAAAGCATTATTGGTTAAAAAATAGTTTGTAAAATATGTCTTTTAAGGAGAGTAAGATGAGGGTACCAATACCACATTAATGTCTGTCTGTATAATATTAAACTCTACAGCCAGCTGCAGGTTAGCTTAGCCAAGCAGAAAGAATGGAGGTGGATCTTTGTTACCTTTGGAAAGAGCCAGCGTAGCATTTTCCTCTTGTTTCCAATATCTAAGCTAAAATAACCACCAGTTAAGATAGTGTTTTGTGAAGCTGAGATTTTACCTGATTCTGCCCTTTTTTGATCTACTCGTAATTTATTGCATTTGGTGAGGATTCGTTTTACATTAGACAATATAAATATGGAGGGGAGACAACTGACGAAAAGGTATGACGAATAAACATTGTAGCATTTATTGAGAGGTTGGCATTATGTTTAAATAATTCCCTAAAAAAGTCTTAAATCAAGCTACTGACGCACTACTGATCCATCTAAATACTAATAATTACCTGCAAAATTGCAAGATGGTGAAAGCTTTAGTAGCCATAATAGCACAGTACTTGCTACTTCTTGCCAGATATGTTACCATCCAACCAAGGAAGAGATGTGGTAGCAGCTAATTAACTCCCATGGTTCCCAGCACCGGCAAGAAGTAAAAAAAGACGAGACAGCTCGCAGCGTCCCTGTGTGTGGCTGCTGGGCCCACAGAAGCCTCAAGTCAAAGTGTGCAAATCAGAGTCAAAGCAGAGGGCAAGCCTGTGGCGAACACAGGCTGAACTGAAAACCTTTCCTCTATGCCTCAGTGCTCCCCGAGCTTCACGTTCCATTCACATCACAAAGCCACAACCTGGAAAGCAAACCTTTTGACGAGCTCCACGAGTTTGTAACTGGATTATCTGTCATTAGAACTAAGCCTGTTTCAGCCTTTCTTTTTTCTTGTTGGGCCGCTGTTAAAGCAATGAGGTGAGCCTCCCCTTCAGACACGCTTAAATTGAGTCTACATTGAGTCTGGTGTGCTGCTGTATGTGTACCACTTTAGCCACAAAATAATGCCATAAAGAGCAGTGTTGGGAGGCACAAAATGAGAAAAAAAAGAGTACAGTTGAAGAAATAAGATCCCCGGGGGTAATCATCACAAAAGAAACTCTTGGAAAGTACTCCCATTAGATGCAATAACATGTGTCCACTCTAGAGTAGGAGGAAACACTGTAGACCTAAAATCACAATAGCTGGGATATTTTAAGCGCCGAACTGTGATAAGCTCTAAAATTAGAACTCAATTAATCTTGAACAATACACACTGTGGGATAATAATCTTGTGTCGCTCAAGTGAAAACATAATCCTGCCCTGTGTGGCCAAACAAAGACACAAGGGATCTTAAACTCATGTGAACATGCTATCCGCCCATGCATTTCTCAGTTCACATAATGGCACATATATTGCAAAAACAACTGGTGTGACCACGAGCCAATTCAAAAAAAATTAGCTTCTGGAAACAAAGGCTTGTCTGTGAACCTTGCGAGGCCAGAGAATCCACAACGCCAGGAGACAAAACAAGAACTGCTTCTTTGTTTACAGCAGTCATTTCCGTTAGCCTGGCTACAGTTTGCACACTGGACCACAGGGACCTTCAGCGCTACCATTTTATTAGCATATGGTCTAAAACTGATTGTTCCTCCGGTCACGAGCATATGCTTCCTGAAGTAGAATGTCGCAGCAGGGCCCTGAGAAGAAGTCGGTCCAGACAGGGCTTGTCAACACAACACCACGCAAAACATATTACAGATCATGAATTTAAAAACAGCAGCAATAGTTCTCAGTCTCAGATCTGATATTCTCATCACTAGTACAGCACATGTGTGGAGTTCCAACATGGTGGGACCGCCCTCTCTGCAGGACTACTGGTGTCACCGAATCCCCGCTGTGCGCGCTGTCCTTTAATACACTGATATGACTTACTGTAGTGTAGAACAACACAGCAGAGCAAGTGGAGCACATGTGCTGCATCAATCTAACTCCGTGTGAATGTGGGAGAATGGACGGTCGGAGATGACATCATACCACAGTATCTCCGCGCCCCAGTGTAAACAGCAGCCGCCTCAAGAGTGAGAGGGTATTTCCAGCTATTACTGTTTGTTTACTTTGTTTTATTGTAATGACATGACACTCAATAGAACTGCCTCTCAAATATAAAAAGGACCAGGGTTTGAGCATTTGTTGTGGAAACAGTCTAGACGTGGGTGCTGATGCTTTAGTTATTGCAGAAGTGAGTAATATAGGGTCCTGAAACTACCAGAGGTCTGTTCTAAAAAAAAGAGGTTTACTGAAGGAAAACCTAGAATATTCTGACATCCTGAACATGGTCTGATGTAAAGGGAACAATTTAAAAAAAGTGGCTAAGGTATTTAATGGGTTTGACTTTCAAAACAAATTGTTTGCTGATTATTATTGTAATTTCAACTTGAATTTAGGGGGCCGAGAAAATATTGATTTACTTGGTATTGCGATATTATGTTGTGTGATACTCTATTCAGTATATAATATATATAATAATATTCAGGGACTACAGATTAAAAAGAACCTCTTGACTAACTCTGGCAAATGTACAGATATGTTTATTAATGTGCATTGTCCCTGTTAAATAAATGAATAAATAAAATGATACTCTATTGATTCTCCAAAATGTAAAAAAAATTCACAATGCACTTTTATTTGATCTATTTCTTACTAATATATGCAAATGTTAAAAACGTTGTTCAGATTTCACAAAAGTAGTGCTATGATGTTTGAAAAGCAAATGCAGATCCCACTGTTCCTTAAACTAGATTTTAAAACAATTACAATGTATTGCCTGTAGTTTAAACTAGCTTAATTTCTAAGAGATTGCATAGGAACAACTTTATACAAAAAGGTAGTAATAGGTGGTGAAACTAAGGTGTTTGTATCTGCTGAAAACCCTCCATCCATTCCCTGGAATGTCACTCTTTCTTACCTTAAGGGTTCTCCCTCCTATAACCACATCTGGCTCCAATCAAATGTGAATAAAAAACTCTCTTTTCTAAATTCAAAGGAAGAAAGACATCGAACCAATTTTGTGTGCCCTCCTTCAAAGAAGTTTTCAATTTTCACCAGTGCTTTTCTGATTAGCTGGGTTGTTGGTTCAGCAAATGTGCTGTCATAAAATCCTTTGGAATGGTATGTTCTTACAAGATTCAACCAAGTCAAACATCAATCCAACAAGTATTGAACAGAACTAAAAATACCCTGCATAAGTAGGGTTGTGGTATTTCTCAGTTCTAGCGGTGCTGGAGTGAACACAGTAGAGGTAATAGGTTTGCGGTCATTTGTACATACAGCTAGAAGATAAATATTGAGGCAATTTTTATGGCCAGGGACAAATCATATTAATGGGAATTCACATGACTATTTCAACGATTCTGTATCTCTTTTATGCATGGTTTTGATGAATCTGTTATTCCATTGTGTTTATCTATTGTGTTCCTTTCTTTTGTGTTCTTATTAAGTGTTAATGTTGATGTAAAGCACTTTGAATTGCCTGTGTCTGAAAATGCGCTATATAAATAAACGTATCTTACCTTACCTTACATGACTATTAACTGCTAGTAACTTTATAACTTTAAGACCATATCTGTAAATCTAATCAAATCACCCTAAAGATGCTACTTTGAAAAACAGTTACAAAACACAGGTTGTTTTTGAATGTAGTCTGAAAGTCGGAGTGTTTTAAACAGTTTTCATCATTTACGTTAAATGGAAATCTTCATTAACGTTTCAGGAACACCGGATATGACCCCCCCCCAGCTCACTGTGGCTGTGTGAGGACGTGCCGTTTGGTTTCAAAGCCCTCCGGTTGTCGGCACACTGCAGTGAGGCAGCAGCTCTCATCAGAGTGCTGATGAAGCATACCTGGTAGATCCTGGCAGCGGCACTTCAAAGAGCGGCGCTACTCTTTGAAACCCATCATACTTCACCCCTGTGGTTGCTAAAAGAGCCAGTGTGCTTAACAGTTTCAGTATGTTTGGCACAAACCATCAGGCCTGAGTGTAGGGGGGGAGTAGGGGGGGGGGGGCGTGCACACAGGAAATGCTGTGTTATAAGAAACAGCTCCGAGGTGAAATCAAGGCAATTTATCCTAATATCGTATTAAAGACATTTCAGTGCAACGAGAGGTGAACGTCAAACCAGGGGCAGGGGGGATCTGGGGTACAAGAGAGCGTTTTGTATTGGAAGCAAGTGACAAATGGGTAGATGAAGGGAGCTGTGTATTTTCTGAAGACATTTAGAATAAGCTTTCTAACAAAGGGTACTGTATATTCCTCCTTCTATGAACTTGAAATGTGAAAAGCTGAAAGGTGAAGCTTTACTAAAAAGTGTTTTGTGACGAATGAAGTGCCAAATTAATACAGGAAAGGCGGAAATAGTCAAAGGGAAATGACTACATTCATAGAAGAAATGTAGGATCCAATCAAAGCAGTAGAGCTGTAACATGGGAGATCAAAAGGCGATTTCTGTTTCCACAGTTTAATATATAAAAGCAACGTGAGGCGATCCGTGAAATTATAAATTCTCATAAATCTCTCTTCTTGGTTTGTGGAAATAAAAATACTTTAAAAAGGGAAAAGGCCAGACATTCCTGGAATTCCCTGACAGCTCAATACATAAGGAAGGGCAGGACTGGAAAAACAGAGTCCAAGATCAAGGCCAAGCTGTCTGAGACACTGTCACTCACATATCACGACAAAAATAAAACACCACAGATGCTTACCCCTCAATGAGTTACACCTTTAAATAGCCGGTCAAATATCCCAGCATGGTACCATAGAGCAGGACCTGTGATCATATTCTGTCCTTCTGTTTCCTTCCTTCTCCCCTCAGAGCAATGTGAGGGGTGAAATATGGGGTAAGGATGGGGGGGGGGGGCAGATCATGTGGGTGTTGACATTGCCCTCTCACCATCGCCTCCACCCTGCCAATGCAGTGTTTTAAGCTGCCAGCATGCTTCACACACTCCCGCCACTCAGCAGCCAAATCTAGTGCTACTTAGCTCCACAAAGCACTATAAAAAAAGAGGATACAATGCCAATTTCCAGGCATGTATTGAACTTCCCTGCCCAGAGGAGTGTTGGTGCTTGGCAATCCTTTTCCAAAAACTAACACTCTTCAATCTGAAAATTCGACAGAGACTATTAAAAAAGCATTTAGAATCTATTGAGTGTGACCAAATAGGCTACCACAATCTAAGTGTCTACAGTACAGACTTGAGTAAAGTTCATTAGGCAGAAAATCCTCAGCAATCAATTGGCCAAAGTGAGGAGTACTTAATAGGTAAACAGCTTTCTTTCCTTGCAAACACTTAAACTTAAGAATGATACTCAACTTTAGGATTTAAAGGCCCTATGACATATTCTACAAAACTGAAATGTTTGTTATAACGAACTAAAATGTCTGTGTGTATATCACACAGCTACTCAGACTATCCGAGGGAGATTTGCTGTTTTCTTTGGCACTGCACTCCATTGAGACTGTTACACACTATTCCTTCCCTGCTGCCTCAGGGGAGGGAGAATAAATGGTGCATTTGAGCACAATACTGAAATTTGACCATAGGGAGAACTTGAACAGAGATGTTTGCCAAATGCAAACGTGGAGCAATAGAGGAACTGTAACCATTTCCAAAAAAAAGTCCAACTGAAATCACATTTTCTTTAAATGTATTCCAATGAATGTATCATGAAACTTTTCTTGGACAACTCTTGTAAGTTGGAATGAACCATTCAGACTTTGTATCTATCAGATACTCATTCCAATACTTGCCGATTCCAAGTACTAATCTGATACCAGTTATTCCACGGTCTCCAAAGATCTCTACACCACACGGCGTAAAGCCCTTTGGAATCATCTTGAGCTAATATAACATGAGGCCAGGGATTTGTGTGGCACTAAAGACTGGGTGAGCCACCCACTGCATTTTATTATTACTTTTTGAAAAAGACACGTCATTTCATGAAATGTCCGGAGTTATGTATTTCAGATATGCTTGTTTTGAACTTGAAAAATATCCCCTGCAATGTTAATGCCAACCACTTTCACCTGTTCTGGGAATGTCCATCCATAATCCCTCTTTGGACTCAGGTCCACAATTATTGGGTAAAAATACTTCATGCAAAAGTACTATTGAAATTTGAAGTGATGTACCTGGAGAAAGTAGACTTCGATACAATGGTTAATGACAATAAGTAAATTATTTACATTTTAAGGGTGGAAACCAAAAAAATCTATAACGAGGAAGTGGATGAGCCAAGAGGTTCCGACGGAGGGAGAGTGGATGGACTCATGAGTTATATGTAATGGAAAAGTCGACATATGCACTGAGACTACAGAGTGAAAAGTTTGAGAAGAGGTGAAAGGGATGGTGGGATTTGGCGAGGCCCACAAGGCCAGATTTTGCTTCGCTTAAAATAGGAGGATTGCTGAATGACTGTTAAAGAACTCTTGCCTGCAAGCAAGAGATACATGTAAATAGCCCTGATGTGATGTCTTTTGTGTTTTAATTAATTTTTTGTCTATGCATAAGTCTGTCTGTTTTCTGCAAGTGTTGTTCCTATGTTTATTAACATGTAAAGAAAGAGAGAAAGAAAAAAAGAAAGAGCACGAAAAATATCCCCCTGCATAATTCCACATGTCTTTGGACTCACCTAGTGCTGCTACAGCGATCTGCTGCAGAGTGAACAGCCTTCAGAGGGCCTGGTGGTGCAGCAGTGGGCCGCACTTTGGGGTTCAGCGTGGCGCTCTCTTTGCCCAGCATCCTGTTGGCCAGGTTTAGGTTGGTCAACTGTAGGCAGTGGAGAAAAATTCAACAGATTATTAAATTAAAGCCAGTTTTCCTTCATAATGTATTTTTAATATGTAGGTATTCCATTTCAAAAGTCACTAAACATTCCACTACTAGTCCTTAAATCAATGGGAAAGCTTGATGAATAAGCAGTCATATTGTGTTCCCCCCCCCACATCGACCACCTCATTATCTTGTCTCTGGGGGCTGTGTGAAATGTACACACAGCACATGGCAGAGCCAGTCTCTGCTCAGCACTAAATCCAGGTGGTCCGTCCCCCCCCCCCCCACCCCCCCCTCCCCCTCCACCCTCCTCCACCTCTGACAGAATCAGCTATCATGACTCGCCAGCTCAAATCTGTTTACGACTACTGTACCTCTGTGCTGCTCCGTACTGCCCTGGGAATTATGTTCAGTGAGATCTAATGGGAGAATAAATTACACTGCTGTGGCGTTTTATTTACTTTATTTCCTCCTGTGCACTAAATAGTCCAATGGGAAAGTTGTAATGCTGCCAAGCCTTGTACGACGTGAAAAATGTATCAGCATGGTGTTACACAGCCTCAGCTCTAAGTCACTTACAAGGTACACTGGGCGTATTCTTATTATTTGATTTAAACACAAGTGCCTATATTTCAGTGCTTACATTTTTATGACAATAGATACAAAATTGTATGTATATCAACCATAATACATATTTATTTTCCACACAAGGCACAGTGACCTTCATCTAGTGTTTATAATTGCCATAATGCCCCATTGTCTAAGGTCATGTACACTCGCTTGTCCAATTGGGACACAGTGTTAAAGGATGTCTCATAATAATATATTCTACAAACAAACACACATGCTGGATGGATTTTATTCAGTTTATTAAAAGGCGACTACTGTGTGTCTGCATTTCCTCAAGTTCAGTCCCTGTTTTGTAAACATGGGATCTGGCATGAGAGTGAGCAATTACTTGAACCTTAGAGGTCAACCAGAGCAGCAGGGTGTTGTTCGTGTTTACAATGTTCCCCATTTAGTTCAGCCAGTGAGTAAAGGACTTCAAATCTCAGCCCCAAAATAAACAAGAAAAACACTTTGAGTCTTTAAGTGCAAAACACCGGACTATTTTACTCTGTAAAATAAATTACTGCAATGAACCCAGAATAACTAATCATAAGAAATACAGCAAACACCTTTCAGATAGACAGAATAACGTGCAGTGGAAAGGAAGCCATAAAATCTGCAGTCTGTGTGGTCTGGTGTCATCACAAAAAACTTTGACAGTGAGGCAGAGGAGAAGGTGGAAGAAGAGGAGGAGGGGGGGGGAGGTGGAGGGGCTCCACACGCTGTATGACAAACCTCTGGGGAATATAGGAGAGGTGGTGATGGAGCCAATGTAGCTGCCGCTCCCCTGCTCAGTGCCAATTTGCTACATTCCTCTATTTATAAGCATCAATTACCACAAAAAAGTGGCTGCTTGTTAAGTATCAACAGAAATCACTCCCCCATGGTGCATCTGATAATGAGACCTCACACAGAGGCTCATGCGGCTCACCACTGTTTAGGCCAGCCAGCTTTAAACCCCAGTTTCAGACCCCCCCCCCCCAGCACCAACCCCAGCCCACAGACTGCAGGCGAGCGGAGGACAGAGAGAGGAAGGTGCACGGTGCAAGGCAGCAGACCCTCCACATGGGGTCAGAGCCAGGTTTACACATCAACATAGAGAAATGTCAGAGACCTCACAGTGAGACACTACTGCAGCGGGCCCAGATTCTTCTCCCTTATATGAAACGTTACACAGATCACTTTACAATCGCTTAATAACTCATTGTAGCTTCCTATACGCAATGAAGACTTCCTGCTCCGGATGGGAGTAGCTGTCGCCTCAGGGAATACACAGGTAAAAACATAATGAACTCACGTGCTGTGTCAGCAGGTTGATGTGACTGGAGCTGGTATAGTGGCGAGCTACCTGCTTGTCAGCAAGCTTCTTCAGCGCTGAGATGAAGGCCTGCTGGTTCGACTGGGCCTGGGAGTTTAACTCCTTTATCGTCCCAGATGAGTTTGACTTCAGTGTACTGGAACTGCTCCTCTTGATCACTGACAGAGAATAACAAAGACTGATGTGAGAACATGGGAGTGAATCTGTTAATTACCAGCAAAATCCATTATAATCCACCCCCAGGTTCAATCTTTTTATCGTCAGTTGATAGCCCAAATATATCCATTTTATATGATATAAAACAGAGAAAAACAGGAACTATTTTCTCTGTGGAATCATTAAATAGCATCTTGGTTTAGTTGATTACTTGGTGCATTTCTGAAGCACGTAGAAAAGTGATCTCACCTTGGCCCGCAGAGGTGGGTCTAGAGAGCTTCTGACTATAAATGTGCGTGGCAGTCGGGAGGGAAGTGGCAGCTCCGGGGGTCTGAGAGGATGTGGTAAAGGACTGAATCCTCCTTAAAACATGGGTTGATGTTCCAGCGCAGGCCGTGTTAGAGCCGGTGGACGTCCACGTTGCTTTTGGTGGCTGTGTGACCATGAGGGTGGGGGCGTATGCAGGAGGGTCACAGAGGGTCTCAGAAAGACAGAACTGAGACTTAGCCAGGGACTGTGCGTAGGACGGCGGCTGAAGAGGGGGTGGTGGTGGCGGACAGTGAAGAGGCAGGGACCTGGGCGCAGGGCAGTCGTGCAGCAGGGGGATATGTGTGCGGTCTAGAGTCGCAGGAAAGCCAGAAAAGTGCTGGAAGGCCTTGACTTCTGGCTGGATTTGACCAGATCTAGCTGCTGCCGGTTGGTCTTCAGTGCGGACAGGAGGCTGTCTCTCAGTGACCTTGATGTCCGGGTCACTGCTGAATTTCCCAGTGGAGAGCGAGGACTCTGAAGCGCTGGAATCCTCTTTGGCCACAGACAGAGCTGTTCAAAAGAGGAAAGAAGCCAGAGCTCCTTTATCATGAGTTAGCCATTCCTCGGCTCTGACACACATTTGTTTTCCCCCAATGAGTTCTAATCGTTTGAAGCTGACCTCTTCTTCACCCCAGATGACTCAATCTTTTTCCCCTTAACTTTTTTTTTGGGCTTACAAATCTAAACAATTCCTGTTTACTGTGCTTGAATGATAAAATATTAAACATAAACCAGACCTTCAGTAACAAAAATATCGGGGGGGAAAAAACACAAGGGAGAAACTCACTTTTGGAATTCTCACAGTGGCCTGAATCTCTCGAGGCGTTTACTTCATGAACGTCTTTCTTAACACTGCTCACTTTTGTTCCTAGGAAGACATTGGCTGATTTATTTTTCTGTGTGTAGAATGTCAGAACCTCCTCCAGATCGTTTTCACTGTAGAAAAAAGAGATACATGTGTATAGCAGATTGAAAACACTCTTCAGGCAGTAGCATATATTACTGGAAGAGTGAAGAGCCAAGCAGTGAACAATGGTCAGTGGGCTCGCCAACTCACTAACCTTGCTGCAGTGATGTACTCCTGAAACACACCAGGGTTAATACAATGCTCCTCCTGGCTGTTCTCCTGTTTTTTCACAATATGTTCAGTTTCCTAAGAAGATAGGAAAGAATAAGACCGCATAATGTGGATAATGTTTTCCAATGTTTTCCAATGTTTGCATCATCTCCTAGATTTGTGATGTTGTGGTAGTCTGGGAATGGGCACCTTGTTGTAACAGTGGATAAACTCTCCTAGCTGGTGGGACAGGATGCGTCTGCGGTCTTGGATTGGAAGCTGGCGACTGGGCAAGACCACCTTTATGTCTTGTTGAAGGTTACTGGCTGCTCGTCTCAGGAAGCGAATCACCAGCTCCTGTGCAGACAAAAAACATTCATGAGCAATATCTTATCAATTCCCTGAAACAACAGATTTATCGTACCACACCTTTTCTTCTGTCAGGGTTCAAAGCCATGAAAAACATTGAGACCTTTTAATGTAATCACCTACAGATCGACATTGAGTTTCCCCCGAAGGTTTGAGGTCACTGATGATGATGTATGTCGTATCAATACAGACTTTCCAAACTTTCTACAGAGACTACGTTTTCCATGATGTGGCCACAAAATGTCTCGAACACAGCTACAGCCAGGGTACATATGAGTAACAGTATAATAATAACAAGGGGAAATCTGGCATCATGTATACATTCAAGGGAGGAACAATGCCCCAGGTATTCTAGCCTTGTCTGTTTATTAGGAAAAGGAGATTACAAATCATTATACCATTTGGTCGTTGTCCTTGTCTGGCCACGCTGGGATGGCGTTGGCTCTGCTTTCTGCCAGCAGCCTTTGCTGGACTCGCTGCAGGTAGGAGGAAAAAGCCACCCGGGCCTGCACTTTACTGGAGAGAGGAGGGGGGGGGGGGGGGAATCGTCAAGAACTGCATAGGTAAAGCAATGGAAAAAGAAAGACGTAACGACAGTTATTAAAAAAACATTTACCATACTTTTGGCATTGGAATCTGTGATACAAGCAGAAATGAATGCTGTATATTCATTAGCTGACATAAGAGAAAACAGGTATGTATCACTTTCACCCAGAGGTTGTTGAAACACCCTGTATCTTGTCTTGCATCGGTATCAACATGATAAACTGTCTTTGTGACCCGGGTAAACCTGGAAACAGTGCTCTCATTGGACATTGAAATGAAGAAAATGTTTTGGAAAAAGGTGTCAAACACAACATTGATATGCTGTACTATAATTTCCCTGTTCCACGCACAGTCCTGGCAAGCACTGAGGAATTTCTACAAACTCAGACTTGTTATTGTAATTCCTCCTGCAATTATAATTTCAGGCTCACTTTAACGTCAACATCAGATCGCAGTCTTTGTTGCACTTCGGTGTAGTAGTATGTAAAGACTGTCATATGACAGTATTTGGAATATATGGTGTCTTTCATGAATTCAAGTGTATATAAAAAGTGAAGATGTCTTTATACTTGGCTATTAAAAGCTATATGTATGTTAATGTCATCTATCACTTCCTTCCTTGAACAGTCAGGCTGTAGCTAAAGATGTAAGATTCAGAGTGTAGTACATGAGAAAAAAAAAAAAGGTATTTTCTATACAATATTTTAGTTGTGGCAGACTTTAAGGCTCTCAATAAAAAAGGAAATTACATTTATTTACCCTTTTGTTGCAAATAAAAAGAAAGTCACAAGCGCATAGCTACACAGTATGAGTAGTGCTAGAACCATTTTTTATTTGGTAGGTGCATTAGTGCATGTCATATTAGAAATCACAGTGAGGGCGGCAGATGAGAGCAGCAGCGGTCGTGATAAAGACTGACCTGAGGTCCCACCCCTGCTGCAGGATGTTGAGCAGGTTGACTCTGGGTCTGGCACTGAACATGGCTGCCTCTGAGCTGGACAGAGGGTTGCCATGGCAGCGCTCCAATGGTGTGGCCACTTGTTTTCTCTGCTCTGCTACCAAGTCCCTGTGTGAGACCCGCTCCAGAGCTTGTTTCACCTCCTCTCTCTCCTCTCCCTCCTGACTGCTGCTCTCCGCTGGGGAGGTCTTGGATTCTTTCCCTGAGGTAAACAGCATTGCAGGAAAAAGACAAATGTCAGTGGCATCACTGACAATTTGAACAAAATAAACATATACACTCAAAATAGGGTTCTGATGTTGCCACAATAAAATGAACTCATTCAGAGTCATATTTGGCCAACCTAACCGTGACACAGGGGAGTTATTTATTGGAAACAAAAGTGCTTTGGCATGTAATGTCATCACACTGCTAAAAAAAAGCGGTTTCTTGAATTGAGGCAAGAACACATCAGGCCTACCCGATTTCTTCTTCCCTTCAGCCGAGCGATGAGTCAGGTGGCGCTGTCTCTGCTTACGCGCCTCCAGAGACAGCAGCTTCCTCTCGTACTGGACGACGTGACAGCAGTGGATGGCGTCCACCTCCAGCTGCACATTCCCGCTCCCATTCCTGAGAGACAGAACAAGACATGTCAACACATTGGTAACAACTATTATGATTTATATGCGTAATATCATCAGCAATTACAAAAACAGTTCTCAGAAAGACTAATGGGGTCAAGCAGCGTGTCCAGAAGCAGACGTGAGAGAGAGTGGTGTTCCAAAGGGGAGAGGATAAAAAGCAAATAATAACTTGCAGCGATATTCTGGCTACCTTACGATCACTGGAAAATCCTAGATGGGATAAATTGGAGGGGTAAATCCCTTAACAATATTGTGCAATTGTCAACGTTGTGGGTAAAACTTGCAAGCCCATACTGATTCAAATAACATAGACGCATGTTGTATTACAATAACAAAAATCGTGGTTCAATAAAAAGCCACAGTTCATTTATAATTGTCTTTCCACTTCTGCCCCAAATCTCTGCAGAAATGCCACATACGCATTGGGCGCACGCTGGAAAAGTTGACTGTGCTTTGTCTCCTCAGCTGTTCCTCTCACCTATCCAATGGTAAGACCAAACAAACGCCATGTCGATTCCAACTGTTTCCACAAATAAAGGAGATTTATTCCCAAATCCCAACCACAATGGAAATGCTTACCTTCCATGGAAAAGTCTGTTAGCCAACATGTAGTTCAAGGATGTCTTGGACTCCAGATATCCACTGAGAGAAAAAAGATAATAAGCAATGTCAACCCTCTTAAAGGCAGGAGCACCAATAAGCCTAAGCTTTTTTCTCACTTGCAGAAACTGTGATTTAAACGTCTGTCAAGTAGTCAAGCTGTTAAATGTACCAATAATTCCCTCGGACCGCTACATAATATGCTTTTAAAAATGCCACAAAAACCCTACGGCTATGCAAGCCATGGATCGAATCAAACTTCATATCCTCATAAAGGAATATGAATATTAAGCACAAAAACAGATTTCTTCTCTAATAGGAGCTCAAATGCCCTTTTAAATATAAAAGTCGCTGTCAGTTATAAGCCTTTCTTTGGGGTACATAATAGACAGAGTTTAATGAATACAAACTCTGAAGCTACACCTTGGTCTGATGGTTTAATGAGTGACAGTGAAGAGAAATCAGGCGTTGATTATACTAATTTAGTGTAAGTGCATCACAACAATTAGTAACATTTTAATCAAACACCCTTGTGTATTCCTTCTTGGCTCAGCTTACCCATAGAGCTCCCATGTTTCTGCGGTGGGGAAGATCCTCACGAAGCCTCCACGTCTTTCGTACTCTTCCTTTATCCGCCTCAACACTTTGACCTTTATTTGAAAAAGAAAAGATCTGAAATAAGAGTTTTCACTGTACTTGTCTTGGAAAGTCTTTATCAAACACATCATGTCACAAAACTACTATCCTAAAGGCCTCACCTCCTCAGCAGTCATGCTCAGAGTGCTGTCTCCTTGCCCTTGTTTGGGTCCTAGCTTGTCTTTGGACCCCTCTGTTTCTGAGTTACTGGCTGACGCTGGCCTCTGCCGCTAAGAAGAGTAAAGATGAAATCCCTCCATGAACAGTCATTCCAAAAATAAATACTTGCCAATATTTGAGAATAACTGAGTTCTTTGTCTCTACAGTCTACAGGTTGCAAGAATAAATGCAATTGTAACACTTTTGTTAAAGACCTCATCTGTAACAAACAAGTAGCCTACTAATCTGAAACACACTCATTTATAAATAGAAAATGCTCAAAATACAGCTTTTGTAACAAAAAAAAATATCCTCTCTTATTTTCTCCCTGACACATTAATGAAACATTTTGTTATGCATTGGCATTCCTGGCTTCCTCCCCGCTGCATGCACTACCAAGCTGTGATTGACAACTTTGGCATTCAGGTTAGAACTCGGGCCAGACAGAGGGGCACAACCCTACAGGATCACATACAGAATTTGTCATCTAAATAGCAGGGGGATTACATTTAATTTGTCTGATGCGGCTGGGGGGGGATACAACGGCAGCCAAAAAGTGACAAGGCCTAATCCTTCAGAAAAAAGACTCATCTGTTGCCTCTAATCACAGCAAAGGGAAGGGAACGGTCCTTGTGGTTCTGCAACATCCTCTGTGGTTTACTATCAGGCTTGTTTTAGGTACGTCTGAAGAATTCTGGCAGTTTTGGCACGAGTGGTACATTGCAGCATTTAAAGCACTTGCCTACTGAGGCTACTTTTCTAATGTAATGAGCATTCTATTAAGTAAAGCATTAGGAATCGATACAAGCCGTCTGACTCTTTCTTTGACTCTGACAAATAGAAAAGCAATTTAATCAAATGAGCAAAAAGCAATTTCTTACCGGTAATGTAACAGGCGTCAGGGAATTGCAAAAGAAATAAAAGCAAAAGAAGATTAATACGTCTGAGTCTGATTAAGATGAATACGTCTGAGTCGAAGGGAAACTCAAACCATTCTGTTTGTGCTGTGTTCGGCCGTCGGTGCAGAAAGAGGTTTCTAAGAGACATGAGTGGGTGAGCATCAGCATTTACTGCTTAACCTTTCTGGAGGCGAACACAGCACGCTCCATCGACATTAAACAATGAAACCTTGTTGCTGTATGTCTAAACAGGCATTTACACAATATAGGGTGGAGCCCAAATGTGTCTGATTTAGTAATCTCCCTGCAGCAGATCCTGCGTCAAAGCTGGGTGCAGTAGTGGAATGGAGGGAGCCAAACGCATTAGCTGTTGTGGCATCATTAGGCAACAAGGCCTACAGAGAGCATTATTCACTTGATTAGCAATGATAAAACAATAAGCCACACAGTGTAGTGCTTACAAACTGATGTCACTCAAACTGTGTAATTACATTAGCAGTTGTTTTGCATTACAGTGAATTTTCCATGAGGGTAGAAGAAGAGCTCAATGGCAGTGGCAGGAATGTATTGTAAGCAACAGAGAGATGAAGACAAGAATGGGAATGTTTCACAAGGAAGGGTGAATGAGTGCAACTCTTGGCTTGGCTTCTCGCCGTGTGTATGAGTGTGTGTGTGAGTGTGAGTGTGAGTGTGAGTGTGTGTGTGTGTGTGTGTGTGTGTGTGTGTGTGTGTGTGTGAGCATCCAGTACCTGTGTTCTCCCTGCTGATGGGGGCTTGAGGCTGGGGTCCAGGGGGACTCGGTCAGCGCGTGGTTTTCTCGATAGGGGGTCTTGACACACAAAGCCTGAGGGGACACAGAAGAGCCATAAAGGGGTATATCAATGACATCAGGCCATTAACATGTTACTCATTCCCATGACCTTCATATATTGCATCAGATCTCCAATGTTAGTGCAAGAAACCACAGCAGAGCGGGGGACACAGAGGCAATAAATTACATCTGAGTCAACAATATTTTTTAGCAATATCATGTTAACTTAAACACATCATATTACATTTCAGAAAAAGGCAGACATGTTATGATTAAGTGACACGCCACACCCCCCCTGATGTAACCTTGTTTAAAAGAAAAGTTTCATATTTTGGTAGATACACCTATTCGCTTTCTTCCCCAGTTAGAAGAGAAGATTGAAACCACTCTTATATGTTAAATATAAAGTTACAGCCAGCAGTTTGTTAGCTTAGCATAAAGACTATAACTAGTATTTTTCTCTGGAAAACTCTTTCTTCCTCTTCCTGGAGATAATCCAATGAATTACCTATGAGATCTTAAAAATAATAATACAAAAGAAGCCCCCCTTAACGCCACCCATCAAATACAATGTAGGCTAATTGTCTCCCCTAAATTGTAATATTGATTATTGTTCTTAGTATTTTTTTTTTATTGCATATTGATTATGTAAATGTAGTATTTAAATTCTTATATATTTTTTATATTCTGCTATATTATGTTATTATAAAAACTCAAATTCTCTGAGATTGAAGTTACGGAATAAAAATGTTCTAAAAAATAATAAATATGATATTGTAAAAATTATTTTTGTTGTTTTTACCTTCAATAGAGTGCCACAGTGACGCGTCCTAAAACCTGAAAGTAAGCTGCGCATGGGTTCCTTCGACAAAAAAGCAATGCAATTTCTCCATAGGATTTTGGAAAATAGCTCAAAATAAGGTCTGTGGTTGACACACATTTCATAAATAATCATAAATCTAGATTAGAAAATTATAAAAGTAGGGTAGACATGTGGATATTTCGAGCTATTTTCCAAAATCCTATGGAGAAATTGCATTGCTTTTTTGTCGAAGGAACCCATGCGCAGCTTACTTCCGGGTTTTAGGACGCGTCACTGTGGCACTCTATTGCCCTAATACGACATGTACCCAGGGGGGGGGGAAAGCCATGTAAATAGAAATGTTATCCAGGAATGTTAAACAAATGCAACGGTAAGAAGTTTGAGATTCAAACAGCGTTCCAACGGAAAATGAGCAGCCTACAAAGGAACAAATCTGAGGCTACTGGAAAATAGCAAGGACTCCTCTTAACTTTAAAAAGAAAATAGCTATCTTGCTTTCATAGTTAGTGTGAGCCCTGTGTTTGGTGTTTCTCAGCCAAGTTAGTCAAGTCTAAGCGATTCCGGTACTTGGACAGCATGTGGAGGACCTGGCTGAATCCCTGTTCAACCAGATTCGTTGTGGAAAAGGAAAGAAGAAGCAGCTTGATCTTCTTCCAGAGAGCCGGGTAATGCTCGGCATATTTGAGCCACATGCTGCCCCAGCAGCCAGAGGTGAGGAAAGTAGCCTGGGTATGTATATGTTACTCCCTAGTCCCTAGAGTCTAGGGAGGTACAGATCATTCCACTCATAATCCTTGAACTTTTGAACATATGAAAAAGAGATAAAATATGTTTGTGAGCTTTTTTTGTTACTGCCCAGAAGAGCTTGGGTAGATAGTTTCCTCTTGTTTCCAGCCTTAATGCTAAGCTAAGCTAACCGGCTGCTTGCTTTCTACCTCAACAAAAAGCAAATACTCACATTTCTCAACTATTCCATTAACTTTTTTATGTAGGAAAGAAGATATGTTTTCGGACTGGGATACACTACTTGGCTCCATGCATTTACATTCTAGGGGTATTTGATAAGGGTTGGGAAAAATGTTTGTCATTTAGTTTTCCAGCTAAGATGTTCCCACCCGGTTAATAAGGTTTAAATCTCTAATCTACTGTTTATTAATTCCCACATTCCCTCAAGGCTAACTAATGGTAAAAGTATAAAGCTAGAGAAAAATGTTAATGTTGCATCTTGCCGTAACACTTGAAGTGAATTAAGTCTATTGACAGCTCGGAGCTTGAGGCTGTTTGTATTGCCTCATCTAAGCCGTCAGGTTAGAATCAGGCCCCTGCCAATCTCTTGCCTAAACACAACAATTATTACAAACACGGAGCTGACAGCTTCACACAGGCGGAAAATGAATGCTAATAGAATGCTGTCATTATTTACAGGCCTGGGATGCAGCCCAAGTGTTATCAGCCAACGGCGACTTAGTTTGTTTGGTACATAATAGATGTGCTATGTTTTACATGCCACTGCTCATTTTCCCCATACCCGCAGTAACGTCTCAGTCCAAAGATAACTGGCAATTTATGATTCTACGCTTTCATTTAATGAGCTGGAAGGGAGGGTTTCCAGCCACAGCATGGCCTAGGCTAATACACGTGCATATGTGCACGTACACACACACACACACACACACACACACACACACACACACACACACACACACACACACACACACACACACACACACACACACACACACACACACACACACACACACACACACACACACACACACACACACACACACACACACACACACACACACACACACTTCTTTAATAGCATTAGGCTGAAACCACAGACATAATGGTTCACTGCCAGTTGATATGGACGCCTGATAATCAGCAGGCTCCATGTATCCTATGAATAGTATTAGGCATAAATCAAAGGATTAAGTACTCAGGAGATGTGAAACTTTGGTTAATATTTGTCTATTATTTAACTTTTAACTCTCATCCACAAGTATGAGATTCTCCGTGGTTTAACCCTCAACATTAATATGTATTATGAACTCTTGTCCTGCATTTAAATGCAATAATTAGGAGGGGAGGAGACATAACAGAGACTCATCTCATTCCTGCAAGAAACACTGTTGCATAAACAGTGCATCTCAGCCTTGGGCCTGCCATTCTTTTGTATTTTCATGCAAAAGAATGCATTCATTTACAGTAACATGTTGGATCCAGTTTCTCAAGAAAGGTAAACGACTACAAAACAATTCTCTCTGTTGACGATTTGGTCCGCAAGTCATTTTCTGTTAATTAATGAAGTCTGTGGTTAGTTCTCTCAACAATGGAGCTCCTATTATGAAGTCATAACGCTATTTTTGCCAGTTTGCAAAAACTCAACGAGCGGAATAAGGGAAAACAATAAGCATTAAACAATAGACGACTGTCTCTGCCTGCTTAAAACCTGCTGGTTACAAGTGAAAGGCATCTATGCCAAACATATGAGTAATCAAGAAGTTCTTAGGTGGTTAATGCAGTTATTTCACAAGCATATCATTTGTGTAATGGATTTAAAAATGTCCATGAACGAAATGTGGAAGTTGTATTTAGTCATTGTTTCAGCATGTACTCACCCACAAGTGAAAACATGTCTGCAATCATGCTGGCCTTTATCTTCAGATCCAAGGGCGCATCACTGTAAATAAGTTGATGTAAGAAATTAGAATTTGAAAAAGGAAACAAAGACATTTTAAAAAAACGGGTAAAGATATTGAGTCAGAAGATCTGTTGCTTGACCTTGACTACTACTAGACTGACTCAACAGTTTTTGTGGAATTTAGCCTGAGGGTATATGCTTTTACAAACAGAGGGCATGTGCCATTTCCTTCAATGTGGCATTCATTAGCATTTCTTTTGGTTGCATATTAAAAAAACAAAAAACCTTGTTCCAATAACAGATTCTCCTGAAACAACTAAATAAAGATTCAGATGATTAAGACCGTGTCACTCACCATGCCAGGGAGGGAGAAAGATTCACCTCCAGCAACCAGGGTTTGAGGTTGGAGTCAATGAGCACGTCAAAGCCATACAGTTCTACACAAGGAAACACAAAATGAATCAAAATGTTTCACCACAGACTGGGAAGCAGAACAAGAAAAACCTCTTTACATCTGCTCACTGCAAATAAAGCATGAAGGCTATCAAAGTCACTAAAGTGTCCATTATGTGGCATTTGGCAACATGGCCTTTTACTGCTACTGATTACACGCATGTTATATCCAAAATCACACAAGAGAGAAACATTCACCGAAGCCTGCTACTGAGGGATTGGCTCAATTACATTAACTAAGTACATACACATTTCATCTGTCATGAAGTTCCTTACGCAAGACGGCAGATCAAAAACACAGTGTGGCTGTGAATATTTTCATACATACAGTCAATACTTTTCTCATGAGGGGGGGGGGGGGGGGGATTAGGCAGCCTATATAGTGTCACTACATATTAACAAGAGGGACGGCGTTCTAATGGATAGCAGAGAAAGCTTCAGCCCCATCATAACGTTTGTATCTTGCCCAACTGGGGCAATAAAGCATATAGTCCTGAAGTACAAAGCTAGAAGTTTGACAGCTATTCTAAGTGGCAGAAACCTGGGGAATAACAAATCCTTACGATATATACTGTATATATTTCACTCCAATAATAGCTAAGCTCTGAGTTGACACAGTAAAACCTTCTTACAAAGTGGTCAGGAAGTGCTACGTGTAAAAATCCATCCATTTCAATTCCAATTTTCCCACTTGTTTCAGTGACTGATATATGGCTCACTGCGACATAGCCTATGTACACTAAGAAAGCCCTCACACTGCTCTGGGGAGTGTCACCCTGTACGCCAACGACCCAACAGCAGCGTGCAGGGAAACCACAGTATTTTTACAGGGATAGGACAAAGAGAGCCAGGGGGAAAATCCTTCTCATTGCTCTTCAAAAGAATAGACTGTGTTGAGAATGGGCCAGGGGGGATGGAGGTTTCAAAGCTGCCATAACCAGCACTGTTTGTTCTAGCATCTCAGGTCAGTGCCAGTGTTAAGCACACAAAAGGCAAGCGTGACAGCGAGCAATGGCTTTATATTGCACTCAGTTGGATAATGTTAGGCTGGGCAATTCAGTTTAACGGGATGAGTTAAATGTATTTGGCTCTACATGACTTACATAACTTTTCATGACTTTCATAATTGTAGTTTCTCCACCCATACAGCTGTCAAACATCAAGTAGTTTTACTTGACAATGTGTATATATTTGGTCTTTTAATGAAAGTAGCACTGATTTTACACAACAGGATCAGGATTCTTACAAAACGGGGGCATGGGGTTTTAAATACGTGAGCACTTACCAGACAGTGAGACTAACAAGCTGCTATCAAATTGCATTATAAGGAAATGTAGTATCCAGGGTTTTTCCACACTGGTTACATTTTGACCGTTCTTTTTTTAAACTGTCTGTTGTTAGTTGCGCAATTCAATAGAGGTGTAATATAAAAAATCATTGGATTACTCTTTAATGACTTTCCTAAAAACATAAATGTATGTTTTATCAATATTTATATTTTTAAATTGGGGAAAATACATGGGATATATTCACTGGGCTTTACAACATGGGTCATGAGGTCCACATACTGTACGGTGGCAACATGAGGTCAAATTGGTGTAACTGTAAACTGTATTTCCATCATGGAGGTGAACTCGGCTGGGTTCCAAGATCAGTCGCCAAAAGCAGCAACTGAAGCTGCGGCTGCCATCTTTAACTTCTTTAACTTCTGAGGCGCGACAGGAGGGACCCCCACTGCTATACAGTACTCACTCACTCAGAGCACTAAGATTTTATTTTCCACTTGCCAGCTTATCCCCTTCTAGCCACTTCTGTATAAAAACATGCACATAAAACATTATGCATTAATCTTGGGGAACAGCGTACTGGAATAAATGGGTTTGAGGCTGTAGTGCTGCTGCAGCGTGGCACCACAACAACAGGGGAAAATGGGGAGGTGTTACTCCACCTCCCAAGCCCCCGACAAGCAGGCTCCATGTGCCGCTCATTTTCCCCCAATTAGGGGCAGACGCCGCTCCTGCCCCATGAGCCCGCTCCCTGCTAGACACGTTTGTTCTATAGCTGTTAAATGTGCCCGCAGAGAGGCCACAACAAGCATCACAGACAAGGAGAGGAGAGGCAGCATACACCCACATCACACCCATAAAAGAGGGAGGGGGAGTAAATATGTGACAGTGTAAAGAGATTCATTTTTTTCATTGTTGGATGGGTGCTGCTGGAAACTGCACCACAAAAGACAAAACGCCCAAAAACAATAATCTCCCTGCCCTGGCCATGCAGCCGGTTGGCCCACAACAACAGCAACATAAAGTGTTCCTTCATGTGTTTTCTTCATAGGCCACGGCAATTGGATCGCTCTTGCATCATTCTGAGATATATGACTGCCTCTGAAGAGTTTCCCTGCTGGTGCAGTGATCACAGCGGAGCAGCTTGGAGCCACAATCATCATAAAAAACACTCTGACGACAACAAATTAAGGCTAACACAACAGCCTTATTATGATAGCGCGACCCAAACCGTGAATCACTCTTGAACATATTTTGAGTTATAAATCAGCCACACTGTCATCACAGGCAGACAACACTGTGCTGCAGTGCAGTGTGGGAGTCTCTGACAAATGTAAAACAGGGAGAGTGGTTCACAGACGGGGGATCCAACCACACTCAGCACTTAATGAGGGACGTTCAGTGGAACACAGGACCAGAAAGTGGAATGTTTTGTGTGTAATAAAATAGGTCTTTGGCTTGGCTAATCAGATCTTAGTCAAAACATCTCGTAATCAGCATCCCTCAGCAAAAAGCCTGTCCATTAATCACACGGCAGCGGTAAGGAGCAGCATGGGTGGTATTTTCTCCCCACAGACACACACACACACACACATTTCTTACCGATGTAAAACAAAAAAAATCTGTTGTTTTTATTTCTTCCCACATGAGACATTACGGAGCTATAAAAAGGTTTAGTTACAGTATGCCCATTTAGATACGGATGTGCAATTTGAGCAAAGGGAAGAAATCCCATTTGAAAACAATAAACATAGTATTAAAGCCATTAATAGACATTAAAATTGCAGGCAACAATTTGCAGTAAATTAAGATTATAATGTGCTTTATGATCCTGCGGGCTTTATGATCCCTTCCAGACAAGCCAGAGAGCGTATGAAAACCTCTTAACAATGGCTGCTTTTATCAACACATTCGCTGCCCTAGCACGCATGTATTTGCTGCCCTGCATTCTGAAGCTTTACCTGTTTACAATTACTGGCAGCTGCCAAGGCCCAGGATGAATGCTGAGTGTATTGTAGGATACAGTAGGAGCGGGAAAAGTAGTAAGTGCAGGAGAAAGCAGAAGGGAGTCGGAGGGGCGGACTGAACATGACTCCTTGGTGGTTTGGGCGTTTTTTTTTAAGAGATACTAGACTGGACTCCCTGGAGCTTAGACAGACCTGTGTGTTTGTAAAACTCTGGTTCCTACATGTCTCTGTGTTCATACTGTCCATACATACTCACTCACGCAATATGACCACACGGGGAGAAAGAGAGGAGCAGAGAGAGGATGAGGGTGGTCCTCTGGAACCGTCAGTGTCTGTCTCAGGAAACTTAATCCTGTATAGACAGACTATGAATGCTGTAATTAACTTGCTTGAGGCCATTTGAAGACAACAAAATTACACTAAACTCAATGGTAAACTGATACAGCTGAAGTAGGGTAATGGGTATGTTCACAGCAGACCACAGCATATAAAGTATCATAGAGAAGGTGTAGAAGCTAATTGCTTCTGTGCCACACAATGACATTGATGTAGTATCGATGTCTGTAGAAGTGTCTATAGGGTTGTGTATTAAATATCAACATTGTTGTACACAGATTTAAACACCCTCAAACACGAGTAAAAGTAAAAAGTCAGTATTTTGTTGTTCATGGCTTTATTTCCAATCTAATGTGGACTGAGACTAAATATGAATTAAATCTTATTAGTCTGTTGCTGCCTTCAAAGTTTCACAACTAACACATGAATAATATCACCGTCATCAGTTTTTAATTCCATATCCTTCAACTACTTTAGATGTATACTTTAGATTTACTTATGATGTAGTTTTCCTTTCTTCTTTTACATAGAAGTAATGGCAACCTCTCAACCAGTAAAAAACATTTATTTCCACAAAATCTCGAGGCCATCCCACTTAGTGAAGGGAAGTAATGTGTGTACATGGGCATGGTAATATATTTTCCTGCAACAACACATTTTTATTTCAATTCTATACCTGATTATAATCCCTATTTTCACTAAATGTATCACTAAATGTGTGTAAAAACAAATATCCCAGGCTTATCTGAATGAGTGAATGATTGAGAATTCGAACAAACTTGTTTTTCTATCACACCAAAGATATGTCTCATCTGGTTGTTTAATCATCACGTGTGTGTGAGAGCCAGGTTGAGGCTTGGTAAGCCACATTTCCCTGTAAATACCTGCATGGTCAACATTCACACCCTGGGCTAATGTGGTTTTTCAACATAGCAGTTATGCTCAGGGTGCAGATAGCATCTTTATGCAGGCGGCTGTCAGACGGTGTGAGTCGGTGCTGCTGCGCGCCCCATACAGCCCAAACAACCACCAATCAGGGGGGCTATTATGTCTACAGGAGCCTGTCACAACTGCAACAGCCCTTTGTTTTTTCTAACGTGAAAAGGAGTGTGAGCAGTCGAGGGAGAATCATAAACAAACAGTAACAGCGAGAGAAGAGGAAAAAGAGACAGTGGTGATGAGGGAGGCTTGGCCAACGCGCTCCTTTCTAAAACCCCAAATCTCAGAGAGACTGCCAGGGAGAGAGAGAGGGGGAGAGAGAGAGAGCGCCGACAATTAGTGCCAACACTAACATGGGTAATGGCTCCAAAATGGAGTTCACACGAGCCCGCTGTTAGGCAAGAGCAGCCAAGAAAACAGTCAGCCTAAATCAGGGCAGACCTGAATGGGAACGCAGTGAAGAAAACAAATGCCTGCTTCAGTCAATAGGCCCTCCACAACCCGGCAGCCAATCAGAGGGCAGCGACAGGCAGGAAGGCTCCACACTGAGCGACGACTGTCTACCAGCTCAGCTCGGCTCACTGGAGAAGGAGTATGGAGGAACTGCTGGACAATGCATGAAACTCAAAGGAAGTGCGAGCGCTGAGGTATTGACCATGACTAACAATGTGTATTTGCACTGTGTGAGCAGAGGAGGGAAATACATCTCAAGGAAAATGTTGTGAAGTTGCAATCGTTTACTTTTTTTTTTAGCATATTCACATAAAATCATATGAGACTTGACAATCCGGCAAATACCAGGTATAGGTTTAGTAATAGAAATATGCTTCACCATGTTACCTCCACATCTTTTGGTAATGCCCAAAAATAAACCAATTTCGGATTGATAGTTGGAGAACCGTGCATCATATTTTGGGGTTACAGATCCCTTTCTCATGTGTTGTCCTTTATTTGGGTGACCTACCAGAGGAACTAACAGGGAGTGATAGATAACTTCGGAAAATATTCACTCTTGCAGTTAAAAAAGCAATCCATCGTAAGTGGTTACAAGCCGATCGTCCTACAGTAGGCCATTGGATTGAAATCATTAAAGAAATTCACGAGATGGAGAGACTGGCATTTTTGTTAAGACTAAGAAATTACTTGTATACTGGAAGATGCTCCAAATGGTTAAATATCACAAAATGAACATGACATTGAGAACCCTAATTCTGTTAACCTTGATTATTTGTGAACTTGATACGCTTTGCATTTATTATGAGTCCATAATAATCAGGATTTTATTTCTCATAACTCTAGATCGCATACTGTCTGGCAACAATGTTATTGTATTGTGCTAATGTCGGTTGTTTATTGTTTATTGTCTCAAAAAACTAAATTAAATTAAATTAAAATATATATATATATATATGCTTCACATTGCAATGGCCCTATATCCATATGCTAACATTATAATTGCCTCCTTTTTAATATAATTATGAATATGTAGAATATTATTTAGTTTATATTTGTATGTATTATTTAAGATCTTTCGGCTGTTTTTACATTTGCTCGTAGTTTAAAAAAATAAATAAACGTTTCATTTTGTTAACCTCAACATGTTACTATTGTTGCCTTTGAACTCCTAACTAGGCACTGATGTGGTACTGAAGTTTGGATCAGTGCAAGTGTAAGAGCCTACAAGGGTAATACACACTTTAGTGGTAAACTCCGATGGATTAGATTACAAACTGTGTGGTGGAAAACATTTTAAGAAGAATATGAAAGTATTACCAAAGCAGTTAGTCTTGTGGGGAACATACGTCTTGCAGGCGGTGGCTATCTGTAGCTCAGCACTCAGTAGAGCTTTGATGATGAGGTCCTCCACCTGTCTCATCAGCACTGGAACACACAACATGTTTGTGTCACTAGCGTCCAATCATTCTTTTTTTTTGGGTCATTTATAGACATTTTAGTTTGAATCTAAAAGGAAAACAGATCAGGCTTTTAGAAAAAAACATGTGTAAACTAGTTCAAATTCCCTCCACTTTACTTGCATGGACATCAAATCAAACAGGGAAAGATGAAAAGGATGAGAAAGGGAAGACAATGAAGTTTTGACTCACATGTGGTGTCCTTCCCCTCCTGCTTCAAATACCTCAACAGTGCACTCATACTCCACTTGTTCCCATAATCCTCAACTTCAGGGTCATCGCAGCTGAAAGGCAGAAATGCACTTCAAAACGGCTCTGCTCTAATAAATGGATGAGTCGATGAGGCTTCCCATAACAGCTCCACATTCACCGATGAGAGTTACCTGACATAGTCGCTGCTCTTTTTGTTCACGCTGTAGTTAGTGAGATGCATGAACGTGTTCTTTATGTTCTTTGAAGTCCGGTCATACTTCACTGTGGCAAATCTGCGGACAAATGAAAAAAATGTCTGTCATCAAACAATCTCACAAAATATCTATCTGCTATAGTGACCACATTCATAAGGCTTGACTGAGTGACGGGGGGGCACTTTGGAGTTTTGTTGGAGATAAGTCTGGCAGTGTAGGAGAGGAGTGGATGCCACATGTGCAACAGTGAGAATTCCTTGGCAAACACCGTGTACCTGAATACCAACACAACCCGAAGGAATGTCAGGAGATAAAATAGGGATTCAGAATTTTGACCCTGATTTATTTCCACACTGTTGATCATCAAGCCAGCAAACAACAGGGCGGTGGCACACTGTTTCCAGCACGTACCTCTACCCGATCAAAGTAAAGAGCTAGTCTATAATCCTGACCTACCTGTGCCACTATAATAACCTCTTTGTGATTAATTTGTTATTCTTTCTCTGAATAAAAACAAATAATATACACAAAATCATCCAAGATAATCTTTGAACAATAACACAATCAGCTACATTTGATAAGCACATCCTACAGCTGGAACAATAGAGCACTTTGTTTTAAAGTCACCACCACAGTCTGAAGAGTTAAGACTGCCCCCTTCTGGGCGCTGATGGAGCACCTGTGGGTGCATCTCAAGTGAATTAACTAAACAAACAGTGTCTTCACGAGATAGGGCTGACACTACTTATTATTTTCATTAGGGATTAATCCTGTAATTGCTCTTTAGATAAATGGATTAAACATTTGGTGTACAGTATGAAATGTCAAAACATTTAGGAAAAATCAAAGTCCAAAGTGATGCCTTTAAATGACTTGTTTTGTCAGTCCAAGAGCCAACAATATTTAGGAGTATCTGATACAGAGAAAAGCAGGAAATCTCCATAATTAAATGGCTAAAAACAGCCTTTTGTGCCATTTTTGATGATTATCTTTGATGATTCATCGAATTAATCCTAACTAATCGTTGCATCTCTTACACCAGACCACTGAAAAACGAATACCTAGCCTTACACTCTTACCTATAATTTAATTAATAAAACAGTGGTATATTTTCTTTAAAATACAAATGTATCGTTATGGGGCCAACATCTACAAAAGCAGAAGTGAAGGCACTATTGAGTGCTAGTTTTGAATATCAATTGTGATGTCATATTGTTTTTTAAGAAGATCATTGATGCCTGTATGGTGTCAGGTCATCATGTGACCTGATCATGTCACATATAATGCAAAAACCCACAGTCAGCTCACCTGGCCAGGCCCTCCTCATACACGTAGATGAGAACAGGGTCGTATGATGTCACCAACACGTACAACCGCACATCAAACTTGAACTCTATAAACAACAAAAAAGAGTCATAAACACAGTTTATTCAAAAAGCCAAAACATTTCTTACATATTAAAATGTGTCAGCAGGAATTAGGTTGTGAAAAAGAACTCACCATCTATCAGTAGTGGGTTATTAATGTAGCGAGACACCAAGATGTTCTCATCCATTGAAATCTGATTTGGCTGCAGATGATAAACAGAAACAAATCTATTATTAACACAATGAGGAAGATGAAGGCAGTAGATCATTATCACCTTAACACGGTTCAAAGTGTTGAGTATGCGGACATTGGTTTGGGAGAAAATGTAATAAATTGACTAATTAACATAACTAGGGATATTGTAGATTATTTACAACAGAGATGAAGTGAAATGGCATTTTCAAGAGGATAAGTGTCATCTAACAAACTCAATAGAAAATCTCACTGGCAGAGTATGAAAAGCATTTTTATGGCCAATGTAGTGATTTTATGTTCCACAATCCCCCGTACTGTAACTCCAATCAAATACAACAGCATTCCACACAGATGATGTGACCCTGCTGTTAACCATTAACATCAAAGAATTATCAAGAAAAGTTGGAGCCTGCAACGACACTGGCCATAGCGGGTCAACGTTCAATAACAGCCTATAAAAACACAACGTGGTGGTGGGAGATGGGTCATTTATGAGGTTGAAATGTGTTGCAGGTGGCGAAGTTGAGAAGGGGATGGGACGGAGGGGGGGGGGGATAACCTCAGTGCTGGCTACAGTTCAGAGAAAACCTGAACCGAAAAAAAAACTGAACGTATTTCTTTCTTCTCTCCAAATATCGCCCTGACATTCTTTCCACTGTTTCATAAAAATGCCTGAGAAGAAGAAGGATCGTGCATATGTTTTCCAAGAGTTAGAACCGTGTTGAGCTCCTCCAAAAGCCGAGAGTGATTTACTCCACAAAGCGTATTAATGTCTGAATCACTGGTTGATACTTACTTCAAAGGCAGCTGTATACACACACACACACACACACACACACACACACACACACACACACACACACACACACACACACACACACACACACACACACACACACACACACACACACACACACACACACACACACACACACACACACACACACACACACACACACACACACACACACACACACACACACACACACACACACACACACACACACACACACACACACACACACACACACACACACACACACACACACACACACACACACACACACACACACACACACACACACACACACACACACACACACACACACACACACACCACACACACACACACACACACACACACACACACACACACACACACACACACACACACACACACACACACCATCTGGCTAACTGACTGCTTTAGTCACAAAGTATGTTTGTATGTCATGATGCTAACAGTTAACTACCACTACGTTTTTCATTAATCTGTATTAAAAGTTTAACACACAACATTTGGTTAGCTTAACACACTGCTTTAATCATACACATGATCTCACATGCAGGTTAGTGGCAGAACTCGGTTTAAACCCCCCTTCACTGTTCAATGTCCCTATCCATACAAACACATGTCGATCAATTCATTCCAGCTTCAAACATTTATTTTGGGTCGCTGCATTTGTCTGAAACGCGTGATGGAGCAGTGGATAAGATTTAAGGGATAAGAAAGACAAAAAGACATGTTTATGTTGCATGAAGCGATGCATGACATTGAGGGTTCATTCTGGAAAAGCTCAAATGTTTGTGAGAGCCTTTTAGCTCTGGAGAAATGATATTCACTTTTATTTATCATTAATTGTCAATAATTCATTAATTATGAACAAAAAAGGCCGAACACTGTGAAACCAGCTTCCTAATTCTGATTTATCTTAAACGTGGAATTATGATGTTTATTTTCTCATTTTTACTGATGTCCTTCATCTCTCCTAAAATCTTTTAAAAGCACAATTTGAGGAGATGAAAAAAATACTTTTTACCAAGTCCAAGTCCAAACTTTGGGAGAGTCTGAGGATGATAACTCACGTTGCTGACCAGGTAGATGCCTCGCCCTCTTGAAGATGCCACTGGTTTAATAATCCAGGGGCCCTTGTCCTTGGCAAAACAATCTGAGATTGAGGCAGGAAGGTTGGGAAGAGATCCAAACAGAAATACAAATGTACATGTTTAGAATGTGCAATGCTTGCAAACATAAGGAGAGGTCTACTCTGAGAAACATAAGGAGAGGTGTTCTTACTGCAGAACTCCTGGTACTCCGAGGGAAGCACAAAGGTCTGAGGAACGATGTGGAAGTTTTTGAAGCCGTGAGTCTGCTGCATTCGCTGGATGTTTTTGTACAGGCGGTCTTTGCGTGTCAATTCATATGACCTGGAAATGAGCAGAGTCTCGGTTTTAAAATGCTTCAGCACTCCACTTCACAGCCTCGACACTGACAGAACAAAAATACACGCATACATAACAAGCAATAGATCGCCCTCTGCCTGACAGCGTGATTCATTTCATGTTCCAGAGAGGCACCGGTCCAATCTAAGCGCGCTTTGCAGTGGAAGCCAACGAACACACCGCCTGAACTGATGGGCTAAGAATGGCTCTGTGGTGATATTTATAACACAGAAAGCAGTGGCAACACACTTACACTCTGAAACACTCTATTATACCTGGGAAAGTGGTTGACCTTCTGGAAATCTTGAAGGCTGCGTAGTATGTAAGGCTTGAGGTGAGACCCGGTCCACATGAGGTTAAAGTCATTGCTGTTTGGGTGAACCTGAAAAAAAAAAGAAAATCAGATTCAGTGCTCAGAAAATCACATAACAAAGCCATTGCTCTCCACGTTGAGTTTCAGATATCTCTTTATATATATATATTCAGAAGTCCACCACATATGAAATCTCAGTTAAATGTTATCCAAGAAGCAGATCGTACACCAATAATCTGGAGAAATACAGCTCTTTTTGAAATGATCACATATGAAAGGCCAACTGACAGATCTTCATCACGCTGACATTATTTTATCAGTTTTATTTTTGTTTTACTCCAACAGTTCGTTGGGAGGCAGACTTCACATAGGTTCAGTTGAGAGGGGAGACAGATGTTTGCAATAAAAGGCTTATTGAAGTTTGGTAGTGGTAGACCCTCGCCTGCCTTTGATGATGGGTTAGCGGGAGTCAAGGAGCATCGAAATGAAAAAAAAAGGGAATTAATTGTAACTGCTATGAAAGAGCCATAATGGGTATTGTGTGCCCTCGTTAAACAGGATTAATGCTCTTTAGGTCATTTTTTTCCTCGGGTGCATTCCCCAGCTTTGACATTGATATTTATGTTAAGGCAAATTAAAAGAGGTCTACCATACATTATCATAAAGAGCCGAGAGGTGCATAAATATTATGTGCATATTCCCTATCTATACATTTTTGCACATTTTGCTGCCAGTGTCAAATTGAACGTATTTGTAAAAGTATTGTTTTAATTTTTGGATTGTAATGCTCTATTCTATTTTATGTATCTATAGTATACAACAAAACAGTAAAAAAAAGTCCTTGCAAGTGACAACCTACTTGGCAATAAATTAAATGATTCTGAATCAGATAAAACCAAAGGGTTATTAGGCTAATCTTTTCAATTTGCATGATTTATTGGAGAACATTACCTCATGGAATCCATGATTGGTGAGTAGTCCTCGTACCAGGCGGCTCTCTGTGCGCACAATCTTGAAGGCCAAATGATATCGCTCTAAGGACAACAAAATAGAATTAGTATTAAATGTATTAAAGGCTCCCAACTTTCAATATCCTACCATTACTTTTCTAAAAGTCATTCAAAGACTTGTAGTGTACCTCCAATAGAGCAGATTTCCTCATCTTTTGAAACAGCTGCTTCAGGGAGAAACAACAGAACGGGGATTGCCTTGCTGACACCGCTCCAGGCAATGCAGGGGTGGTCTCTAGTGGACAAACCATTCAAAGATACATTTAAAAAAAAAGAATCCAGAAAATAGAAAAAAAAGTTGCGAAAATAACAATCTTACGGAGAAAACTTCCCATTAACAGTATCATACCAAATCACTGCAGGATGATGTGAATAGCTTTATTTCAGTCAGGCAGATAGAGACAGAACCACACACATGTCCAGGAGGTGCTTGACAATAACAAACCCATATGCTGTTTTAATAGACACGCTTGTAAAACTGAAGACTATCTGATAGTACCAGACACAGCCTGCTTATCAGGGGCTGAAAACAAGATAAGGTACATATAGCATGATGATGGAGAAGAACTCAACCAGGCATGGCCGCTGTTGATAAGGTGCCGAGGCATGTAAACAACTGCTGCCCCTAGCTTACATATCTAGGTGTGTCAGACAAAGCTGCAGATAGATTTTTCACTGTGGTGGTTTTGTTGCATGTCCCTTAAATATTCAAGCTATTTTGAATAAAAACAACTATAACGACTAGGGACATTTTACAGGGAAAGAGGCTGTGGCTCAGAGAGTTAGTGCGTTGATCTTAAGATAAGGAGAGTGCTGGTTCAAACCCCGCTTGTATTGAGCATATGTAAGTTGCTTTGAATTAAGTGTCTAACAAGTGAAATGTAATGTAAAAGAGAAAGTATCAGACAAAAGGCCAAATTGTTGCCATCACATTGATAATTTGTCAAAGTATAACTATTTAAGCTACAATTATTTGGTTAAAGCCATATTGCTAGTGTGCTTGTATGCACTTACATGTGTTTGTCTTTATATGTGCTGTGATCGTCCTGTATGTGCCAGTAATGCTATACTTTGCATTACCCTTTGCATTATTCAAGGTTGTCTGTCGTCATAACCTTTAACTGTAATGTCGACTAATATCAACCCCCCCATAACAAATTAAGTGAAAACATTAGAGTCCAAGTTAAGCAGAAGAACAATTTTAAATAAAATGTGCTGTCCCTATTTGTTTGGTAATGAATTGAAGTCGGAAAGGATGCACTCCTGCAAATACTACATTTCTGCAACATAAAATCCAAGTGTTCTACTACAGCAGCGTGATAATGATTAATAAACTCATGTCATTTCTGCTCTGGTTGCATCTCAATCCAGCCCCATCAGTGAAGAGAGCACCGGTCCCTGGGAGGTTAAACCCTATGCAATCTATACTAAGCTGATGGAAGTTAGAGACACAGTGTCGCCCAGTGTATGACTAAGAATAGCTTAAGAGGGAATTAAAGACAAGATAACTTAAAGCAACTGTTGCAGCTATGATCTGGATGCTCTTCTCTGTCATTCAGTTAAACTTTCATCAATTATGCAAAATAAAAGTTTCCTTGAGGTGTCATTCTGTCTAAATGTAGCTTGGTTTAAATTATTAAACAGTGCTTCTTCTGTAATCCTGCACACATGACAGATAACATTACATGATCAATAAACTACGGAAGAAAATAGTTATATAATACAGCTATTACAAAATGAACAATGCTTACGGTTTGCAGGGTGACACACTGATACTGTATTTAGAGGGAAATGTAGTGAGGTACTACGGCTGGATCAGTTGGCTAAGGATCTTACTGACACAGAAAGAGGCCCGAGTAATTCAGAGAGCCTCGTCCAGAAGCTGCAAGGACTGTGAGCAAAATTATACGTGTCTCCACAGTTTGCAAACGTATAACTGCTATAAAAGCGATGCAAAAAATATCAATGGAAAAGCCTGTTTTAAAGGAAATAAATCATCCCACAAAAGTGTATGTGATCAGATATGAGATGTAGGTAGGTATAATGTTAAGCACAAGAATGAACACTTTAAGTTGTCAGTAGTGTGGTGAAGTTGCACAGAGCTGCTATTTAAAGGCTTAACAAGGCCACTGAGTTTTTCCACCCCTGCAAATGGTATGTTTTTCTTATCTGAAACAAGGATCTAACGATAGACTGTGTCAAATGCTGTGTAGACTCTAAAGCCCACCAAAATAAGTGTGTGATTTGCATTATTAGGCTAATAACTGACTTTACCACAGGTATTAGAAACATGACAACAGAAACAAAATTAAAATGAGTTCAGAAATAATCCTTATTTAACATCGAGATTAAGGATCAGTGATTATATGCTAAAATAATAGAGAAAGAATAATTAAATTGACTATTGCTGACTGCAGTACACCATAGTCTCTATTGTGTGACTCTACGGTAGACATAGTACTATTTGCAAACACTTACTCTTGCTCGTCTTCTGAGGAGGACTCAGAGTCCTCCTTACCACGGACCACAGCAGGCATCTTCACATTGAGAGAGGAGGACGAGGTCTCCCTGGGATCAAGTGTCTAGTTTTCACCATGGCACCTGACGCTACCAACACCAACTGCAAGAACACCTGCAATTGTATAGCTGTAATGTCCATTCATGAACAATATAATATTAATACAGAGGCTAGCGAATAAAGAATGCTTATTCGCAATGTCCTGAAGTAGTGTTTCACATTTAGCACAGGTAACCGAGAACATATGCTTTGTACCTCTAGCTCTACCTGTAGTGAAATTATATTTCGTTACACGTCCAGTTAAGACTAAACCCAGACAGGCAGCCAAACACTCGTTAGCTTAATAACACTCACTGACATCCTACTTCAGGTACAGGAAGCTAGCTATGTAAAGTATGCTTAGCTCGAGACGTTTTTTAAATGCAATACAAGCACACACAAACGCAAACTTGCCTTTAACTCTGAGAGCCAGCTAACTGCTAAGCTAGCTGTTATCACCAGGGCCAGTTGATCATCGCGGTTAATCTTCCTGGTAACTACAACAACTGAGTGGCAACAGAGCAGGGAGCATGCGCTGTCCAGGACGATATTTATTTGTCCAAATTACCAAACTTTGCTTTGCATTCAGTGGTTGGACGTACGGTGGACGTGACAGTAATTGTATGTTACTCGATGTACTAAAATGGTAATAATAATATAGGCTATTCAGTCCTTTGTGTTTTTGTACAGCATATCATTTTCAAACGGGAACATAAAATACATCTTCTGCACTGTCTATGCTTGACCAGATTTCACGACAACATAAGACAAGAAAAATCACTCTCTCGCTCGCCATATACTCTTTGTTCGAACACAGCCTAGCCTTCAGGCTGCAGGTGACCTGATATCTTGATTTCTATTGGTTGGCGAAGGAGGTAGGCGGAACCTGACTGCTCGTATGGGCCAATCATATGAATGGTACGATTGAATGGAGCCATTTCTTAAGCTTTGCTATTGGTCAACCCCAGAGTTCAAGATTGAAAGACTTGCCGTTGTGAGAATAACATCATACTGGGTTTGTTTGAGTCTCATTTAATGCGAAGTTCTCTCTTCTGTCGAAGGAACACGTTTACATGGTAGTTTTATAAAGGCCGCCAGGTAAATATAAGAACAAAATATTGTTGATACTATCATTATTTGTTATCTTAAGGCTTGTTAATTGTGTTAACCAGGTTGAAGCAGCGTTAGCCTGCTACGTCACGTTAGTTATTGCTGAATATCTCTTGTTAGACAGTCCTGTGGTGTGTCAGTCAGGTAACATACCACATACTGTACACCTGTTATTCTGCTTTTAAATGACCATCGAGCTGCACATGCATTTGCCTTCAGTTTGAACATGTGAATCCTGCACCGATAAATAACATCATGTTTTTTTCTCTGTGACAGGTCCGTCTTTGAAAAAAGAAAACATGGGTCGCTTTCTGAACGTCCTGCGGAGCTGGCTGTTGATGGTCTCGGTCATCGCGATGGGAAACACCGTGCAGAGCTTCCGAGATCACAGTTTTTTATCAGAGAAGCTCTACACAGGCACGCCAGAGTTTGGTGAGGAAAGCAGGTTTTATTGACAACACCAATGCACAGTACAACATGAAATGTCCCATCAAAACACATTTTACTCGAATGAGCCTGATGTTGGTGCTGGCAGGTGTTTATAAAATAGCATTGAATAGAAAAGGAATATCTGAAATTTGTGTCAGCTTCTAAGACAACATTTGGACTGTTTATCAGTGTAAACAGTCAGGAATATTAAGAGGCCATAACCCAAACATCTAAAACCATCTTTAATGTTTAGGTCCACACTGTTATTGGATGTTGGGCCAATATCAATATTTGTGATTTAAAAGAAGTCTGATGAGGAAACTCAATATTGGCACATTACAAAACGACATTTTTCACAATAATATATTACATTTTGTTTTTGAAGATTTAGAGATATGTACTCAACTGGCCCTTTTGCAGTTACAATGATAAGCATTGCTCACCAAGTGGTCTCTGTTGGAAAATATAATGGTTCCTTTTTTTACTCTTTCATTCCTGAGTTTCTGTTTACATTTAATTTCCTCAGTTAATGGTCTCCAAGCTCGAACATTTGGGATTTGGACGTTACTGTCATCGATCATCCGCTGTTCCTGTGCCATTGATATCCAGAACAAAACGTAACGACAGCTTCTCACTTTCTGCACCTCCTTTTGTGTTTCTGTTGGCAGTCTTCTTACTGTTTGTTTTCACTGTGTCTCCTGCAGGCTCTATCACATCACCTTATGGACATTTGTGCTGGCGTTAGGCCACTTCCTGTCCGAAGCCTTCATCTACAAAACTGCTCCTCTGACCATCGGGGTCATGGCTCCTCTCATTGTTGCAAGTGAGTGAGGAGTGATAGGAAATACAGTATCCCCTTAATTATACATTTACGGGTTTTAATGTATTAAAACATATTTCTTCTAAATCCTAATAGCATCTTTATGTGTTTTTCTAGGTTTCTCCATCATAGGAATGCTGATTGGGTATCAGTGCATCCCAGAGTCACACGAGCAAGTCGGAGCTCGACAGAAGAAGCGTAACTGAGTCCCGAGTTTTCCATCGCACCTCAAAGTGACCAGCTCCTAGAGTGCTGCTGCTTGCCTTGAAGAACATGAGATCTGTTTGAACATTCATTTCTCACTGTAACCCTCTCTATAGACTACATACAATTGGGTTTCGTGTTTTTAAACTGACATTTTACACTTCAGTGCAATCAAACGGTCGGACGGAAGGTCATGTTAGTGATGAATCTGTGCTGGTTAATAACTACTTAATTCACGAACGATCTATACATGGAGGTTTCATTTAGTTAGTATCTTTACTGTCAGGCTAAATGACAATCATCTGTATGTGTATACGCTCATAAATGATTCCACTTCCTAGAATTTTTTTTTATTCATTATCCACCAAAGAACACAGATGACTCTACAGTCTAAAACTATGCTCTTTATTACAAAGTCTCATAAACACAAATATAAAGAGTTATTCTGTATGTTTGTTTCGTGCTGTGAAATGTTTGTTCGCCCAATTATTGTCCTATAAAATGTTTAAAAGTGAAGCGTTTAGATGTTTGGTGTTTTCTAGTTTCTAATTGTCTTTTTACATGTTCTGGTTCATGATAGGAATTTTAAATTCAGTAAACATGAGCACACTTTTAATTATGAGGTATTTAAGACACAATATGTACATTTGTTTTAACTGCCCCATTATATCAAAAGAGGCATACAGTAACACCTTTTTGTTTGTCCACACAGATAGGGAACAAAACGAGCCCTATTATTCAGGTTTGTAATGTCAATGATGTCTTTACTCTATAAGTTCCTTAAGAGTCATAGGTAACACTACACTGTTTATTCAGTCAAAATATAGAATAGATAAGCTGTTGTGGCTGGTAAAATAGCAGAGTAAATTGTACTAAAAAAAGAGTGAAATAAAAACTGGCACCTCTTAAAATCTCATTTATTATAAAATAGTAAAATCACCTGACAGTCCCCACAGAACAGTGTGAAACCCTTGAATGGCACACTAGTTATTATAGCATGATCTACATTTCCCACTCACAAGTTGACAACCTAAGTAAAAGTTCACATTAAAACATTTATTGTGCAAAATGTCAACTGCAATAGATTCGCTTGCCTTCCGTCTCACTTTGAGCCGAGCTTACATTCCTCATGTTCCAGACTTTCTTGATTGCATGTTAATCTAGATATCTAACACCAAATGTGTTGTAGAGATCACTTACAATTACACAAAGACAAAACTGATGCACGGCATCAATTACATTTATAGTCAAAAGTATGCAGAAGTTATTCCTCCATGTCACCCTGGATGGCAGGCAGAGATGATAACATGAGACAAACTGTTTTAGTCTGCACTCTAATGAATGCCTTCAACAATGTAAAGACTGAGATCAGTTACACACAAAATTGATCAAGTAGTAGGAAACACATTTAAAATATTGCTTATAAGATTCATAGATCACTGAATTAACACTAATCAGACGGTTAAAAGTTTGGGAAAAGTTAAAAACACTAAAGTGGCAGTTGCATTGCACTGAAATACCTCCATTGGGTAAAATCAATGTTTAATAAGATGATGAGTTCAATGTTTTTAAAACATACGAGGATCCAAGTGTGTTCCTCTTGTGAATGATTGCCTTGTGCTTGGTTTGGGATGAGCTACATTGCACCTGGGCATTAGTGTGAGTCTCTGGTGTTTGAATCAGTGTGTGGACGTACAGTACATCAGATGTTTGACAGAGTGCTGCTCAGAGGGGTTCACTCTCCTCTGCTCACTCTTCACTGCTGCCTTTCTTCCTCTGTGGCACCTGTGTGCGTGTTAATGCATGTTCAAGTGACAGTATTTGTGATTAATCAGTCAACAGCATCTTTGTCAGAGTCTGTCCTCCTTATCACTTCCCCTCTTTCAGAAGTGCAGGTGGCGGTACGGCTCCTTCTAACTCAGCCGTGGCTTTCTGTAAAGGAAAAAAATATTAATTATCACAAATGAAAACAAGATGACACAAATTCTCAACTCATCACAGCATTCAGAAAGACAGCTACATGTTAACATAAACCATATTATTCATTTCTTGAGAATCAAACATCTTAAACTTTAATTCTACTCTGGCATTAAATCCATATTATCAATACCTTTTTTGTGCTCATCAAATCACTCAGTTAGTCATCAGTTAATCACAAATGTCTAATGATCGTTTTCATTTCCTTTTTAACAGATTTGATTAAAGCAAAAGAAAAGAAAAAACAAGTGCAGGAAATCATGATTGATTTTTATGATACATTTAAAAAAAAAAGGCTAAAATCTGGAGATAAAATATGTTATTCCACGATACCAGCAGGTGAACCTGTTTGACCTCCATGGCGATAGGTCATCAGTACAGTGCTTTAAAAGTTAAGGAATTTTAAGAAGCATATTTTTCTGTTTGATGTCAAGCATTCACAAATAACTCATCTTTTTCAATTAGCCTTTAATTTGTAGGAAGTTTTAATTAAGCCACGAGGGGGCATCTTATGAAAGATGCCTGTTGCGTGTGTAACACTGGACTAACAACAGTCATGCTTTAATTCTAAAATACACACTGTGTTAAAATTCCTGTTAATTTCACATGCGTACATGAGTTCAAAGTTGTTTTTACAGGTGTGGTATTTGGATAAGTTAATATCTTACCTGTCAGTACTAATCCTATTAGCAGGAAATGATTATCATGAGTTTTAAAAAAAGGCTGAAATCTGGAAATAAAATGGTTTATTCCACAATGAAGTGGATTTGAATGTACTGCAGCTCAGTAGTTTATAACATTTTCTATTACAAATACCAGTCCTGCTTTGTTCAGAATTGATTAAACCTTCTCTTTTGTAAATTGAAACTTAATGTGCTTTTTTGTTACAGTTTTGCATAATTTTCTAGAAGATTCAGTGGCTTTTTCATGTTAAAAATATGTTTTATTTCCTGTCAAATATCACTGTGTGTTTGTGTAGAGTATCGTCTTACTGGTGATGAAGAGGTTTTGGTTTTAATGAGGTTTTGGGTTTATGTCAAGATTGCCGTTGCCAGTGGACGGTTGCTGTGGCCCCGTAGTCCTTCCCCGATGTCACAGAGCCTGTAGGCTGGAATGATAGCTTGGAGGTCACTCCTCTGAGGGTCCCAGAGGGTCCCAGAGGGGCCACCTGATCACCCCCATGATCTCCTCCATCCCACACCACCACCACCAAACCCTAAACACCCAACTTAGACTTGCCTGCATTTCACCCAGCAGCCACACTTACACTGCCTTTAGTGAGGAAAATATTACCTGCATCTAGTCATTTAGCAGTAAATTATACCAAATATGATGAATTAACAGTTTATTTAGATATATTTTTCATAGATTTTCACCGATTACTTCTTATGTCAACTGTTGTGCCTGTATTCTTATTTATCTCACTGCTGGTTCTTTCATTCCATTAATTAAAAAGGAGTATCTGTTAAATGTACATTTGAGTGTACAGGATAACCAGAGCTATTATTTTAGTGTGGATTTAGAATTGGAATATTGTTAACAGTAAAAGAAAAAGGAAAGAAAGAAAAATAGTTTCTAAGTTGTTCTTTAAGAAGGCAATGAGTGATGAGCAGAAGCAATGTCAAGGTTTTTTTTTTTTTTTAAATGGCATTCATTTTCAATATATTAAAACCAATTGTATTTGATAATTGCATGTTATCACATAGTTAGAGTGATTTAGAAACGTTTTATCCTGTGACACTGTCATCTGCACTCTTTGCCAGTGATAGTGAGAACAGAATTAAATTGTTGAAGCACCAGATGGTAAACATGCTGTTAAGAGTGATTTGGAGAGCTCTCAGACAAAGCAAAAGTGTGCCTTGCTGTCTGAGAGTAGAACATGTTTTTAGTGAGTTTGGACAGAGTTTCATGCAGCGCTGCCCCTGTGCATGCCTGCAGCAGTGTGAGGACCACAGAGAAGCAGAGAAACCCACCTCTGACTTCCTGTAGCGCACACAGATGTACTTACACTCACTGTCCGCACCTCAGCCTGCTGGAGGTTGGCCTTCTGCCGGCGGAGGTCAGACTTGATTAATCCTACGATAAAGGGGACAGAAAAGGTTATTGAGGTTTTGCTCTTATTAAAGTTAGGCGCAGTATGTTTTTCCAAGTTGGCATGAGGAACATTTAAATGCGGAGAGAATTTGGTAATCACCATCATTATCAAAAATTAAATTAAATAGCACATCAGTGGCAACTTCTTTCAGGACGGCATTAACCACGCTGGTTGCAGTGTTACCTCCACAAATCTGTTACAACTTCAGGATCTTTACAATGAATTAACACAATTCATAGAAAACAGCAACAGGGGTTTAATTCCACAACCTGATGCATCTTGAAAGTGACTACTTACATGTCAAATGTCAGGGAATATAAGATATTTTTGCACTGTGTTATTGTTGATGCACAACCAATAAATGGAAAAAAGTAATCAGCATAATGCTTTAAAAGTGAAGAAGTGTTAGAAAGCATTCGATTTCAATTGGCTTTATATTAGTGGTTGTCCTTTATTCAGCCACTAGGGGGCTGTCTCATCTCATGAAAGATGCCTGTTGCGTGTGTAACACTGGATTAACACCAGTCATGCTTCAATTCTAAAATACACATTGTGTTAAAATTCCAGTGAATATCACATGCCGACATGAGTTCAAAGTTCTATTTTGTTTTTGAAACTAGTTTTTGAAACTAGTTTTTGAAACTTGTTTTTAGAGCTGTGGTATTTGGTTAAGTCAATATCCTACCTGTCAGTACAGATCCTATTAGCAGGAAAATACACAGGAAGATGTTTCCTGCAAAAGTGCCCCATCTATCAATAATCTTCCCCTGGGAGATGGTGAAAATGATTCCAAAGATCTGAAATGAGAATAAAACCTTTAAAGTTTACAGCCCAAAACCAACACATTTTGTATTTTGTGAATTTGTATTAAACGTTGCTCTCATTACTGACCTGAGCTGAGCAGTTCAGCAGTCCAGAGGAGGTTCCCTCTGACTCTGGATATGTGAGCTCTACTGCAAACTCAAAGCCTAGAGGAAGATATCCCGTCATGAAGAAGCTGCAGACACACATGCAAACACCGAAGGTCAAATTAAACGCCAAACTAAAGTGTTTTATCTGCACTTATTTTCAACCAAAGAAAAGGAGGCCAAGGCCACATTGCGTTTCTGGGTTTCAGAAATGAAAGCAGAAATGAAAGCAGACAAGGAAGTGCTATGGAAACCAGTTATTGACAAAGCAGCAGAAATGCAAAGAAACCTGAACTACAGACAGAATGTTTTTAAGGCATTTCAGCATTAGAAGTGTTCAGACTACAGAGCTACTAAGCCTGCCTTTTTGATCCAGAACGGTCTCCTTCTCTGATAAAATCTGGTAAAGACACTAAACACATTACGATAAAAAGTAAGTGTTTCTTTGAAACTGTTTTGCAGAGGGGTCTGAGAGTAGAGCTCCTGCTACTGTTTGCTCAGCTTGTTTCTCTGATAGCTAAAGATTCAGATGTCGGATGACATAAAACCCTTGATCTGGTGGTTTGAAAAAAGAGGTAAAAAACCACCAAGTGCATAGAATAAGTGGCTCAGAATTTGGAAAAAAAGTCAATTTATGACCCGTTCTGGCAAACAACAACACTGACCCATGCACAAAGGAGGTACAATGCCCTTTCAGGCAAATAAATAAAACAGATTGGTACCTTAGTTATATTTCTTACATGGAAACGTTACCTACTATACCTTAAAGTTAACAAAATAGGTGTGTTTTGCTATGAGGTATGGATTTATCTTCAGGATTTCTCAAACAGAAATAGCTGTTGATGGTTACACTTGTTCTTCCCCCCTGTCTGTGATGTGTATTGCCTTGCTCTCTAATGGTTACCTACCCTAAAGTTCCAGCTGTGACAAACACCACCCACAGGTAACCCAGGTTGAGGGTGAAGGTGTAGACGACCATCCCGATCAGAGAGAGGACATACACGGCCAAGGCGGTTTGTCTGGGGAAACAAGAGTGAATCATACAGTTTAAAAAGCGTGAAGAAGATACGATGAATTGCCATGCATTCACACACTGCTAACAGCATTTGTAGGTATACACCAAAAAAACATTGTAACTAAGGATAATATATAATAACATCATCTGAATTGACTTTCACATTAATACATCTTATGATAAGGCTCCTGATTACTACATGCCTGCCAGAGCTGACCAGAACAGAGACATTCTACAACATAATAATACATGCAAAAATCTGTCTTTCTTAATAATGTTTCAAGGCACCCAGTTTTAGTTTTCTTTTGTGTTAATTACAAAAGAAGCTGTTTCAATCTTTTTTTTAACAGCTTTGATGACTGTTGGTTATAGGGTTAAATGTTGCATTGCAAAGGAAACTTATTTTAAGACTTTTTTTATCATATATTCTGCAAAAAAAAAGTATTACAAGAAGCAAAACTCATCTGTTTAACTAGCAGGGTTAAACTTGGAGCAATAGGGGGAGCCGGTAGCACTTCTCCTCCAGACATGCATCACTTCATGTGTCTCGTGCATTAAATGCAAGCGTATAATGCATATTATGATACGCCCAAACAGGATTAATGCCAACAAATAAAACACGTTCACAGTCACATTTTTCTTTCTTTTTTAAATAACCTTAAAAGTGATGTGTTTTTTAGTGCCAGAGCAGGCATATTTTAAAAGATAGTTGTCTTACTTAACATGAAATTCCTGACTAATCCTTGCAAAGCAGAAACAATATTCCTGATTCACTGAAGCCCCCCCATCGCACCCAAACAGAGTGAGTCTGATGAAGCTGCCTCTCGTACAACCACGCGTAAAAAAATGCTGCAAAACATCTTTGTTACCATAACAGAGTCCTTTAACTCTCTCCCATATGAGACAATAGGCGTGAGAGGGTCAACAACCTAAATCTGGGCCTGACTGCTTTGACAGCAACGTTTTGTGATGGTATGTAAGGAATCTGAGGACCGAGGATTTTCCTAATCATAATACTTTGCATGCCAGGTCACTGTAGACGGTGTAGCAAACATCCAACACTCAGAAAACTGCTGTGGTCGTTACTTAGTGTATGGATATGCTTGATCTAGACAAAAGGACAGGATCAATAATCATATAGCAATGAGATATCTTCCCTTTAAGGTTGAATTAGTGGTATGTTCCATGTTTAATGTGGAGGGCTAAGATGTGACCCGGGAGGAGCAGCAGAGTACAGCCTGTCAGTTCAGATAAGCAGAGAGGGACATCACGTATAAAACTCAGCTTCACTGGATTCTCATTCGTGCCCACTTTTGTTCAGAGTGGGCACGAATCACTTGAACATTTCTCTTCGGACGGGTGATATAAAATACACCCATGACCCCGAGACTTTAAATAACTTTATAGCACTTTCTTTCGGAGTTTGCACTACATTTGTGGTATCCCAGACTCTCATTTAGCTTCATGAATGGCACTGCTGGGTTAGGGCTGCTCAATTAAATCGTATTTTAATCGCAATTACGATTTTGGCTTGCAACGATTATGAAAACAACATAATCGAAATAAAACGATTATTTTGTTATTTATTTTTTTGTATTTTATTTGTTGTTAAATTAAATTAATTTTGTATTGGTTTTTCTGTTGAATTATACTTAAAGTTCAGGGTAATCAACTGTTAAAAACATACTGTTCACATTTCTTTTTTCAATAAATTGATGTTTTCAAAGTAAATGGATAATCGTTTTTAATAATCGTGATATCAATTATTGACCCAAATAATCGAGATTATGATTTTTGCCATAATCGAGCAGCCCTACTGCTGGCCAGACTGTCCCAACACTTTCGTCCAGACCTAAACAACTAATTTTCCCTCTAGCGCTACCATGAGGTTAACATTTAAGGTTTTAAAATATTTGATGGCCGGTCATGGAATTTCTCCACATTCCCCACAAGATCTAAAGGTCACAATTGTATTTTACCTGAAACTTTGCGTCCAAATAACTGCAAAACTAATGATATTAGTCATGCTTGGTCATGTAAGAATGCTAACACACTTAACTAAGATGGTAAACATTGTAAACAACACAACTGATCAAACCAGAGCGTGTTAGCATGGTCATTAAGCATGTTAGCATTCAGATTAGGAACCACTATCAATGATAAACCGTTGATATCCTAATGGGACCTTGCCTAGACTAGGGGAACACTGTGTGTTTCTCAATGTCGAGGACGCTTGCTTGGTAGCACATGTCTTCCGAGTCACTTGCTTCAGAAGCGAGGCAAGAATCCTTCCTAGCCTCGGAAATGAAGAATTGTGGAACAGGCTAACAGGTGTGCAGGTGTGCGTCATATGCGAGGCCCCGCCTTAAATGGAGCGCGATTTCCGCCAAAGATTTGGAAATTGGTCCGTGCGCAAAGCATTGTGGGGATTTAAAGACCGTGGAGTCTACACATGTGCAGCCTCGAAATGTCCCGCTACGAAGTACGCCAGCCTCGGTAGAATTCCAAGTATGCTGGACATTGGAACAGTCCTTCGGCGGCACTCGATGACGTAGTATGCTTGAAATAGTGGCTCTGGAGCAGCCTTCCTCGACATTGAGAAACACCCCGAGTTTGGAGTTTTGGTTTCTTGTCGATGCCCTAAAGCAGGGGTCGGCAACCTTTTTGATATGAAGTGCCATTCTAAAAAAAATGTTTTATCAGCGTGCCGACGATCGTGAATTATCAACGGGGGGGGGGGGGGTTTGTAGAGCTCGACGAAAACACTCGTGAAAAGTGATGTTTAAAACTCAGTTAATGGGGCTCATTCACTGGCGCTTCCACAAACAACAACCAACATAATTGTTACATTCAAATGAAGTAGCCTACATTATTCAAGTGTACATTAACTTTGGATAATAACACGGGAGAAATGAGCGGAAGCGCTCTCTTTCCCTCTCTCCCCCTCTCTCTCTCCTGACAGCCTGTCAGTATCTCATGCAGCTCACTGATCCAGTAATGAGTGACAGTGAAGAATAAATATATGTATAACTAGTTCCAAAGGTAGATAAAATAGCTAAGTGTGTTAGGTCTAACTCTTGTGTGTTTTGCTCCGCTCACTGGTCCGTCACAGCGGGTGGAGCTGCAGGATTTCTGCTTCACACACACGTTGCAAACCGCTATTTTATTGTCATTTTCGGACACCTTAAAATACTGCCAGATTGGTGAAGCGATTTTTTTGCGAGCTTGTTTTGCCGCACACAGAGAAAAGTGTCATGTATGTTACGCCTCGCGATCGGCCTTTTTAGAGAGCACCGATCGATCGGCAGAGAGTGAGTATCGGCCGATATCGATCGCCACGCAAAAACTGGGGCATTTTTTACAGCTCCTTATGGGTAATGCAATTGTGAAGTGCTTTCCTCTGTGGTGAAACTATCAGCACTGCATTACGGAGGAAAGCGGCAGAAAGTCGCCTGGAGTTAAAGAGAGTGGGGCTGCGTTGCGTGCATGGCTTCCTTCTGCAGGTAACGGGGAGACGCGCTCTGGCGGCGGTCTCGTTCAGGATCCGAAAATAAAATAAATATTTTGTACACTTATTCCACTTATTCCTAGTGTGCCACTGGTTACGGTGCCGCGTGCCATTGGTGGCACGCGTGCCAGGGGTTGCCGACCCCTGCCCTAAAGCATTACATCCGATCAGTGTAGCATTATTTGGTCAAATATCTTACTTGTATGTTTTGGTCTTGTCTAGCCAAATGCCACATATGAGGGACCCGGCCATGCCAGCAACAACGATTGTCAGACCAATTCTCCCAGCATTCACCTCTTCACCCTGAGAGAAGAAAAATGATCTGTTATAAAATAGCATATTAAATAACATTTTGCAACTTGCAGTTATCTTTTCAGGAAACTCGGAGCCATAACAGAGCCCAGTTATCTGTGTTAGGGTCATCTGCTTGGCCACTTTATAGTTTACCAGTTGCAGAAGAAAACGCAAAAATGTCTACATGCTGGTCTTATTGATATACCACAAAAGAACGACTACGAGAGTAGGTCAAATAAATTAAGAAACACAGAGTGAAATAAGTACATAAGGCAATGGCATATTTTAGAACAGTAACACTGGGACTTACCGGGTATTGATCAATGATCATCCGATTCAACAGCGTGGAAATAGAATAGAAGCAGCCGACGTTCAGCCCTGCAGGAACAGACAGAAAACAGTGTATTTTGAGAAGACCTGTAGGGTCAGATAAGGTGCAGATGGGACCTCATGATACACCCTAAAACAAAGCTGACTTCCTCACACATTAAGTCCATTATAGCCTTTAGACTTTGTCAATACTGATAAGTTTATTTATACTGGAGCACAAAGACACAAAATGACCTTAAAATCCCATTGTCTTTGTGCTCCAGTAGCATCGCATCGTTTAATTATTAACTTTTGTTTTCAGTAGATAGTGACCTTTGAGGAACAAAAATAAGACATCTTAAAATAACTTTGAAATCAATACTACAGTACATGTGTTGTGATGACACAAAATGATTCTGGCAGCTTCTACTGCAGTAATGCATATTTTCTCAGGCTTTTACATATTTGTTGCCTTAAATCTACATTTTGTGATCCTTTATTATCCTCACCTGACTGTTTGATAACAGTAAGGTGTTGAAGTGTGGGATGATATCATCAAGATAGCATTATGACACAGCCTCTTGTAAAAAAAAACCTGGACTTACTCCGCCACTATTTTTATTCTATCTCTATTTAGATTAGCTTCCTATGAACCTACAGCATGCTCAAATTTGTTTTTTTGGACAGTTAGAATATTATAGCTAAGTCATGTAAGGAACTGTGATGCAAGTAAACCAGACACAACATTCTGATTTTTTAGGAATCATAATAAAGCATAAATGCAGAACATTTGCTAGTTTCTAGCTTGTAAAAAATATGAGGTCTTTGTTTGAGTGAACTTAGTGGCAGCCTCGGATAAACATCAGAGGAAAATAAAAGACCAACAGTCCTCTTGAGACAATATGTATTTAGTGCCTTGTTTGTGGAAGTAAAAGATTAAAGCAAGAGGAAGGGACCCACCATAGGAGACCATCAGGAGCATGAAGGGCTTGTTGCGCAGCAGCCTCAAGATAGAGGACATGTACGAGTTCTCCTCGGGGGGGGTGCTCCTGGCCTGAGCCTGCGACTGGGAGGGGGGGAGCTCTGGTTTCTCCTGAAACACTGGAAGACAAACACACAATGTTTCAGGAAGTTAGGAAGCTACTTGTGTATTTTTTTGTATTAACTTGTATTGATATAGCATAATCTTGTCAACTGAGGTATGGCCCAGAGTGAAGCTGAAGGTTACATTTTAGAGGTGGATAAGTAATAGGGGTGTGTGTGTGTGTGTGTGTGTGTGTGTGTGTGTGTGTGTGTGTGTGTGTGTGTGTGTGTGTGTGTGTGTGTGTGTGTGTGTGTGTGTGTGTGTGTGTGGTGTTAGCAGAAGATATTTCACTCTCCAAGTAAATGAATAACCTTTGTGTTAATTCCTTGTCGCCGATAACCATGCTGTACCTTTTCAAAAGTGTTAAATAAAATGTTATCATAATCCCAGCCCGGAGCCCTTTTCAACCTAATAGAGTTTTAATATTTTGATGGTAGGTTAATATTTTCCTTGAGGACTAGAGGAGTCTGTATATATTTACCAAGATAAACCATTTCATATTTTACTTCAGCAGGTTGCCTTTAATGCCAGGTAAAAGGCAATGTCAGCTGCTTCACACATGTATTCCATGTTTTTTTCAAATAAAAAAACTGTTTTGTAGGTTGCCTTATTAGAATTATTCTCATTACATGGCATGGGTATGTTCAAACTGTTGAATTTGTTTTGGCCTGACAATTTACCAGCTTGGTAATATCACATAGAGCCTGTAAACATCTCCCTTATAATAAAGTGCATCCTGTGATTCAGCTTCAGCATGTGTCTCTTACTGTCGGTGTTGGAGGTGAAAAGAGAGTCTAACAGAGCTGATGATGGCTCCTTGAGTGCCTGCATGTATTTCACATCCGTGTCTGAACACATCTCATCAAAAGGTTAACAATTACAGCAATTACTGCAGCTGCTCATCCAGCGGACTGTGATGCGGCGGAGTTTTCAGTAGAAAGCACATCTCAGGGAGACAGTAGTGCTGCCTGAGGAGCCCTACAGCTCGACCATAAAAGAATGAATGGTGTGTTAAACGTTCAACTCTAATGGTGCAGAAACCCTACAGAGAATCACCTGAGTTGTCATCTAAAAATACCATTACAATGTCATCAAAGATTGTCATTGATAATGCTGCAATGACTTCACGTTTTCATTTATTTTCCTCAAGTGACTGTGGGAGTTATATCACATTAAAAGGGACTTGCAGTGGGTCATTATTGCATGAATGAGCAAAGAGCCTTGACACCTCTGACTGCCTCTATGAGCCGGTGGGTGGGATCTCTTACCAATGACCACGAGGATAAAGATGAGGGTGGCCACCCCTGCGCTGGTGTAGAACATGATCCTGATGTAGTACGCCAGCTCATCCACATCGTCCACATTCGGCACAAGGATGGGCGGGGGAGCAGGAAACCCAATGGCAATACCCATCTGTAGGTGAGAGGCACAACATTAAAACATGTGTTCTTCTGCCTCCTGAACACACAGGAAATGTGGATCATTATTAAAAAAGTGGGAAATAAGAAAAAAACTAGAAAAAAAATCCAGAAAAGTGAACATTTTTTTAAGCCTGTCTTGAGGAAAAAGAATTATGCAACACAAAGCTTTGTGAGTGATGACTACTTGCTATTGTGAATACACTCATTAACTATATGTAGTAATAACATTCAAAATATGTCAAAGGGGGAGAGGTAGTAGGATATTTGCACAAAAACAGCTGTCCCACGACACTTAACTTAGCTTAGCATAGCTAAGTTGCATTTTTGAGTATTTTCCAAAACGTAAGACTATATCTTAATACAGCTAATGGAAGGGGTCATATTTTGGGACACGTGCCTGACACGAAGATACAATATCTGTTTGACGTCTTCGGATACTAAACCTCCCCCAACAACCTCCACATTTCAATACCATGAGTAGTGCCTGGCCTCAAAACATTCCAGAGGGGGACACCAGTTGAAGCCCCTCCGCTCTAGGGGAAAAGCAAGAGAGGGGAAGGGACATGTTCCTCAAGTAAAACAAATCTGTGAACAGTATTCACAGAAAAATAGTCAGACCCCCTTCAGTCTCTTAAATGTAGCAGCCCCCTATAAATAGCATAGTATATCATACCTTACAACTTTGCTACTCTTAGCAAGAATTGTTCATTTAACTTGTGGTCATTTTCAAACTGTTTTGTAACTGGGTAGTCAGCTCTGTAGAGAACTAAATGTACAAATACATGAACATACCTAAAGCAAAGAAAATACATTTTATCGATAAATCTTTTTGCATTTTGGATAAAACTTGTCCAAACTTAAGAACAAGATTGTTCTCACTTGCTGCAAAATCAAGGACCTCTTATGACATTTATTTTGGCACACAGTGTTTATTTGTCTGATCTTAAAAGGCCTTTATGGAAGTCCTAACTTATTTTACTGTATGTAAACAATTTGTAAACGTTCAAGGGGATATGTGAACTACTACAGCATGGAAGCATCGGATTTAGGAAGCGGATTCAAAGGAATAAAGTCGTGGTGAGAAGGTAAACATCAATAACAATGTGTCCTTTCATCTTCAGTGATGAAGAGCCGGACCTAAGCAGAAGAAAATGTGTGACAATCACAGATTGTATATATAAAAGGACAATGGCCGGTGTGCAGTGTTTGGAAAAATGCAGGGGGAGAGACATTTCATAAGAGGGAATCCGACCTCTTTTGTGGTTAATGTTTACGAAAAGGCTTAAAGATCCTGCTGTGATCAACAAGGCATACATATATAACCTGTTCTGGCTGTGTAGTATCCTTTTTTTGTTTGTATTGGCTTTCACAGAAAGAACCTTTTAGAGCTAAAATTATCTATGAAGCCAGATTCTTCCCTTTGTGGAAAATCTTTCTACTGCAAAACCTCTTGAGTTGTCATCTCTGTAACAGTTGTTTTGTTCCTGTAAAATGAAACAGAATATGACATGCCCAGATGTTCCTTTACTTCAAGCTTCAGATGACCTAGCAGGTTTATACACATTTTAGTATTTTTAGCTGTAGCTTCCAGCTTACTCAGTATAATCTCAATTTACTAATAATGTTATCCAAAGCCTCCAGGATTGTTCATAAACAGGCGTTCACGGGCACACTATTATTGCCTGATATTGGCTGCCATATTTCCTTGTTAAGTGTAGTATATAGCTACAATCTGTTATTTCTGCTTACTTCTTGTTGGGGAAAGTAATTTTCACATAGCTGTTGGCAGAGTCCATTGTAAGTATAAGGGGCACATTTGTTATGATTCATGAGTTTAGACCCTATTTTCTAGCAATTGTCTTTTCTGCAAAAAAATGTGCTTGGGTGCATTTGAAGTTCCATTTCCTCACATGCAATTGAAAAAAAAATTGGTGGGGGGGAGAATGGTTACACAATGCTGAAGGTATGTTGAGAGAAAGTAACTGAAATCTAAGATAAATTACTTAAATTAAAAAAGCCCTAACCCTGTAAAAGAAAACCATCATTCGACAAGTACTTTACTTCACAAGTAAACACCAGTGAGGCTACACCAGGCAAACATTTGCTCTAGGTCTGTTCATTGAATGTTCTCCTGGCAACTGACACACACATACAGTTCTCTTAACACCAATATGAGAAGTTCATAAAATTGTACACACACTGCCAAAGATGTTTTTTAGCACGAAAAGCAAACTGAGACACACCTGGTTTCCCAGAACACCAACGGCACAGGCGGTGGAGACCTCATGCTGCCCAAACCACAGGGATGCGAGTCTGGAGGGGATACCCAGGATAAAAACTGTGGCAATGGAACAGACAAACTGGCCGAAGAGGGTCATGGCAAACATGTCTGGGTGGGCTGTTCCCGTCTTGATCCAGGCCCCGATGCAGTTGAAGGCTGCGCCCACCACCACTACGTCCCTGAGGCCTCGGTTGTCGAGCACCCACATGACTGGCAGGATGAGGGGGATGTAGGTGAGGAAGAAGATCATGGAGAGCCAGTCAATGGCCAGGGAGTCAATGTTGTAAAACCGCATTATGATGTCGCCTATGATGCTGTACTGCAGCCACATGAAGGCATTGCCTCATGGAGTAAGCACTGAAGATGAATAGCAATGACCCATCGCCGCTTGTACACTTCGTCTCCATAACAGGGAAGATAAGCACAGAGTCCATGTCCGTAATGTCTGAGGTGTCGCTGTTGTGTGTCGAGAGGCAGCTGGCTGTATTCCGCAAACCGGTTCTCTGTTTTCTTGTTTGAGAACAATCAAAGGCCTCCATCATCGCAAAGGTCCTGAGGGAATTCATCCTGGAGAACTCATGTTGCTCCTATGAAACCTCTTTCCTATGAGGCTTCTGTTGCATATCATCAACTGGAGGGAAGAGCAAACATGTCTCCTTGTCTGTTGCTCTTTAGAAACCGTGACAGTTTATCTGACTCGTCCTTCCTACCACATGATGATCATATGAAGTTTTGCCAGATCTGCCCATTGTGGCAATTATTCCTTCCAAGTCCTTTTGAATTAGCAGAAGTGGAACTGGGGTGCAGTTTGGAATATAATTTTGGAAAGCTCTGAAATCAGCCAACAGTTTACCAAACTAACCTCTGGTTTTAACACAATCTTGGGTCATGTGATAAAAAAAACTTCTCATTCACACACCTCCTTGCATCATCTATCTTTATAGCAGGTGGTGAGTTTGAATATATGGTAGTACGGTCAGAGAGATCATCTTGGTTTTATTGCGATGTAAGGCAAAGTGCAGATTTGTATACAATATTCAAACAACACTTGAAGAAGCGCTAAAATCCCTAAAAAGAGTTTTGCACATTTTCAAGTGTAGTAAAATATCTGGAATTGAATTGTAATCAATGGGTCACATAACAGGTAAACTGTTTAAGTAAATAAGACTTTCCAATAGAGAAAATGCCTTACTTTCACAACAACATAAACAAATGTAAAATATAAATAGCCCTAGTTTTCCAGTGTAGTAATACAATTACGCAGTGATTTGGAGTCACTGACATGACATGGAATCTATTGAAGGTAAATTATCTTCTATTTAAATATTTAAATAAAGTCTATTAATGATTCGAAATCACAAATTGTCACTTATATGGGCAAAATAGCACAGAAATATAGGAAATAACATTTGATAGTCTATGGTTTTTGTCATTCAAATAGGACTGTATTGACTGCTCCTAAACTGACCGTCATGTGGCTGCCAACAGTCTGTGGAACTGAGTGACGGACAACGCTGTGAATGCCTGACGAATACACATTCTAAAGTAACTTCCCCCCCAATGTCCTGCTCTCTCTGCTGCTACACTTCCTCTGCGAGGAAAAACTCCATTCATGGAAAGAGAACCGGAACGAAAAACTAAAACAAAACTGAGACTTTCATGAAATTCAAACTGCAACCCCGAATTCACTTCGCTACTCCCAGGCGTCCTCAAGGAAAAACTGTGGCACGTCGATATGCTGTCAATGATTCAGGATCATGTCTGGATATAGTGGGAGGCACAGTACAGTTGTTAAAAAAACCGAGATTGCTTCGTTGTTACTCTCCTTAAAACGATCAAACAACACCGCAATAAAACGCTTACCGCGCAGATAACCCGGCCGTAAAACATCTCTCATATCTGAAACACTTTCGTCGGCATTAACGTTCTCGGCGTCCATTTACGCGTATCTAACGTGACGAAATGTGAACATGAGGCAGTAGGCTAAAGAAAACAACAGCCCGGTAATTTAAACTAGTGTTCGACGTCTAAGACCGTACTTAATAGTTCAGATAACCGTCTGTTTACCATACCTGGAGCACGGCAACACTGTCATAAACGTATGCTTCCAGCAAAAGATGCGAAGGTGTGCACGTCACCACCGATTTGGTTGGTGACGTGACAGAAACATATTGACCACTTCCGTGATTACAGCATTGGAATGTGGCTTTAAAAACATGTTTGTATTTTTCCTATGATGATTCCTCGAAACAGCTGGTTTGTGGTGGAAAGTAACTACAACATATCTTTTTTTTAAATTGGCAACTGTATGGGAGGGAAACACAACGTACTCAGGGCCAAAGTTCAGCAGGGTGATAGCTTTAGTTAAACACACACACGGCACGACGCTACTTCGTTTAGCCTCTGTATAATTTTGTTTGGACACCGACAAATGACCTTATTATGTTTATCACAGCAGACCATAACGCACGTAAGGGGCTACAGGGCGGATTGTATTCTCAAGCTTCTGCTCCGGGGGCCCACTGACCCACAGGGGCCATCAAAACCTTCCTTTCACTGCATGCAGTTAATCTGTATATTTGCAGATTTGTTTTGATAATTTGCAGCAATATGTAAGCAAAGACAGGTAATGCATAATTAAACTTGTATTAGAGACAACTTATTGTTTCTAATCAAATAGATAATTTAGTCAACTATTTGCCCAAATCAGGTTATGGTCGACTATAGTAATTTAATTTAAAAAGCCACATAATTATTACGCTGATGGTTTTGAAACATAATGAAAACATAATTTATATCAGAGGCTATTAGTGACTCTTTCCAGATTAGACTCACCTGATTCCCAAAAACTCCAATGGAGCAGGCGGTGGAGACCTCATCCGCGCCGAACCAGACTGAGGCCAGGCGGGAGGGCATCCCGAGGAGTGAAGACCTGAGAAAGGGAACTTGCGGCCTGGCCCAGCATGTGTCACACCAGAACAAGTTGGGGTTTGGCACTGGCCACTTTGATCCATGCCCCGCCACAGTTGAGCACGTTGGCCATCAGCGCTGTGACCCGCAGCCCTATTCTTATCCAGGAGCCAGGTCACCGGGAAGATGAATGGGATTAGCCGAGCAATGTAGATCATGGACAGCCAGTCGATAGCGTGAAGGAGTCCACGTTGTAGAACTTTATCAGGATGTTGCTGATGATCCCGTACTGGATCCATTGGTACGCGTTGCTCAGGGGAGTATGCGCTGAAGCAGCAACACGATCATCCAGCGCTTCTTGTACAAACGGGTGGTGTCCACAGAGCCTCCGTTACCGATAAGGATGCTGCATTTAAGTGCTCCGCCGAATCTGGACCCCCGGCTCCCAAATGTGGACCGTTCCAATCGCATCAAGCGCACTCCTGTCCTTCGACACAGTCGTATTTTCTTCCATTTTCCACTTAAGTGAAAAGTGCGCCCTTGGAATGTAATGAAATCTTTCACCGCAGCAGTAACCTACTTCAGGGTCTTTGAACTGCCCCTAATGTACACATTAAAAGTGACAATAAAAAAAAGATCTATGATAAATCTCTTGCCATGTGAGTCAAAACACCATTCACTTTTAGTACTACAAACAGTGAGAACTACTTCAAAATGCATGGAAAGGGCTCTGCACAAGCTCTTAATACTTAAGCTGTCTGAGAAATTCTTTTATCACACACACTAGGCACAGGCTGACCGAGTGTTTCTCCACCCAGTTGCTGAGAAAAGAAAGGACAGGGACTGTAGAGGGACACACCTACAAGTCATCACAGAGGAAACAGATCATAGAAAGCCAACCCAATACAGAGATTGATGTTTGGTTTGCTTTTATCTTTACCCGTTTTAGTTTATACGCTAATGCTATCATTCAGATTGGCATATGCTTTTTTATTCAAAATTCAAATCATAATTGATTATATAAGGTTGCACTTCATAGCAGGAGTTTTGTTTGGCTAATGTCTCCTCAGTCATCACCAGTTAAGCTGCTTATCCAATCCCCTGGTATGGTAAGAACAATGGCTGCACTGTGACTGCTTTGTGTTTGCTATGATGTATGTATTTTCAGGATGGAATAAATAGGGATAAATGGCCAATCGACACCTAAAGAAAACTGATACACTAAATCATTCAACATTTGAATTAAAAGGTAAAAGGTGAAGGCAATGTGAAAAGCTTGAATACGTAATGCTCAGATAAACAACATATATTATGTTATTTCATGAGACATAGATTTAATTTACCATATTTGCCACTGATATCATTTAAAATGTTCTTATAGCTTTCCTTCTGCAGGATCCATTGTGATATGGGAAACCTCACACATTAAAAATAGCCAAACTTTGTGGTGAAAAGGAAAGTTAGAAATAACACCGACAAAATCTAAGTTAATAACTGGCCACCAGATGGCACCGTTAACCAGAACGTTTGGTCACGAACATTAAACCCAAAATATAATACAGGACTGATATTATTTCCATTTTGTAAGACTCAAAGCAATCCTGTAAAAAACTCGATGAATGAATACAGTTCTTGAATAAATACAACGTGGGATTTTGTAATAGCTTGTGGTTATCGAATATACCTATATAATTGGTAGTAGGCCTATGGCATCAAAGTACAATGTAACCCAAATTGGATATAAACTATTATAAAATAATAGTTTATTTCGTTTTGCAACAAAATAAAAACAGGATGTATTCGAGGTATATCACAGTGACAGTTTCCTACAGTATATGACACCAACTCACCTGATTCCCCAAAAAACTCCAATGGAGCAGGCGGTGGAGACCCTAATCCGCGCCGAACCAGACCGAGGCCCAGGCGGGGAGGGCATCCCGAGGATGAAGACCTCGGCCAGGGAATTTGCGGCCTGGCCCAGCATGGTCACCCAGAACAAGTTGGGTTTGGCACTGGCCCACTTTGATCCATGCCCCGCAACAGTTGAGCGCGTTGGCCAGCAGCGCGCTGTGACCAGCAGCCCTTTCTTATCCAGGAGCCAGGTCACCGGGGAAGATGAAGTGGGATGTAGCCGAGCATGTAGATCATGGACAGCAGTCGATAGCGAAGGAGTCCACGCTTGTGTAGAACTTCATCAGGATGTTGCTGATGATCCCGTACTGGATCCATTGGTACGCGTTGCTCAGGGAGTATGCGCTGAACAGGAACACGATGATCCCAGCGCCTCTTGTACACACGCGTGGTTGTCCACACCAATAAGGATGCATACATTAGTTTGCTCTGTGCAATCTGGACCCCCGGCTCCCAAATGTGGACATTTTCCAATCGTATCAAGCTCGCTCCTGTCCCTCGAGGACAGACGTATTTTCTCCCATGTGGTTCTCAAGTAAAACTAGCACAGTTGTAAAATAAGTAGATCTCCAATCACAGCAGTAAAGCTGTTTTACAAAAACAGTAAGCTATTTATTCATAATATGTAATGAATTATAAGGTTGCACCAGGAGTTTAGTTAGTTTATATCCCCTCAATCCTCACCCTGATAATCTGCTAATTCAATCCCCTGGTTAGAACAATGGGTGCCTTATGACTATACCTTTGTGTTTTCTGTAACATACTTTTATTTTTCATGATGGAATAAATGGGAAGGGATATGTGAAATCTATACTCAAGAAAATGACATTTCACTACACTATCAGTCTCCATTTGATTTCAAGAAAAATAAAAAGGTGTGAAAGCAAGGTGAGAAAGTTGAGAAACTGGTGCTGAGATACACATAAAACACATACCTTTTCTTCATAAGACACAGATTCAATTTGACCATCTTTCCCACTGGTATAATTTTAAATATAATAACAGCTCTACTTTCGCAGGATCCATTGTGATCAGGGAAACCTCACACATAAATATAACCAAACTTAGTGCAGGGGATCCTAACGTGTTAGGCATATTAGCTAAAGTTTAAATTGTTAAGAAATTAACCTATAAAAAAATGCATGGAAATCATTCAAATATGTAGATTAAGAACGCAAATCCTCCACATTTTAATGCTACTGGCCAACCGATGGTGTTGTTTGGTCAAGAAAAGGATACCCAAAATATAAGACATGATTGACATGTTTTCAAATTTTGCAGGACTCAAAATATTCCAGTAATAAACAAACTAAACATTTATTTATTATGGAAATGCAAAATTGTATTTTGTAATAGCTTATATGCTTATATAACATCATATACAAAAGTATAAAATTGGTTGTAACAATATGGTAACATACAATAAAGTACAATGTAAACAGTCCATATATATAATATATGCATACATGACGCCTGCGCCAGGACATAGGAAAAAGAAAAGGATCATCCGCCATGCACCAAATGTATGAAAGTACAGAAGTTGTCATGAATTGTGAAAGTTATTATGCAGAAAAAAAGGCTTCTGAATGTGTTTGGGTGTGATTACATGCTTTAGAAAAATAAAGACTTATTTTTTTTAACTGAGGGGGCAAACAACAACTTAGTTTAAGCCTACCTTGTTGCCCTCTTAGTTGCATTTCACTTAAGGTCCTATGATTCCCAGAATGCATTGTAACTAAAGCAAAGCAAACTTTGGGGCCTATAGATCAAGCTGTTGTGCAACTCCTCATTACAAAGAAAAGGTAACCATGTGTCACCTAATGACTTAAGCATTGTATTACTGACTCACATGGACAGGTAATTGAAATGCTGTTAAAAAAAACTGTTGGATCTTGCATCTAAACATAAGGCTGTTGAATCAAATGTAGAATTTTTTAAATAGCAAATAAAAGTAGTTAATTTATAAACCACCAGATGAATTGCTAAAATTAGAGTTGCTCTACAAGTGAAGTGATGGCTGAAGTAAAGAAGAGATATAGTAAAAATCCATCAAAAAGATAAGGTAATGTGTTGGGTATTTTCATTTTGTTTAACTTTATACTGATAGTGGCTGGAACTCAGATGACCACAACAAGAAATAAATGGGAAAGCAAGAGAGAAAAACAAAATGAAGTTTGATTTAACTGCCAAAACAGTGTTCATTTCGTGGCGTACTGCTCTGTGAGACAGGGTGGGAGGCCATGGCTGGATCTCCAAAAGCTAAGTGCTGCTAGTTGGCTGCTTCTCGTCAACTGTAAACTGTACAAAGTTGTCACATCTTCACTTGTCCTCCAGCTGCTGCAGCAGAGGGTTGGCCTCACTCTCCGGGGATTTGACACTGTCTGTCCTGACGATGCACGTGGGGCGGTGCCGGTTGAGCATGAGGATCAGCTGCTGTCGCTCCAGCTTCAGCTCCTCAATCTGGGCTTTAAGATCAGAGTTTAACATCTCTAGTCGGTCCGATTCCTGTGAGAGGACGAGATGAAAAGATGTTAATAAAGCGGGGAAACATGAGGAAAATGTAGAAAATGTTGTTTTGGCAGCTCTCACCTGTTGTAGATAATCCGTTCTCTCCTTCTTTTTGTTTCGACATCGTGCTGCAGCCACTTTGTTCTTCTCCCGCCTTCGTTTCCTCCTGTCAACCTCTTCATCTCTCTGAATAACAGTGCAGGTAAAAAGGTTTGATGTTAAGTATGGATGGACCTGGGACACATCGTCAATGCTTGTGTACAAAATGATAAAAAACAATATCGTCTCACCTACTTTGTTTTGTCATTTGACTCTATCCCTTCTTCATGTTCTTTATGAATGAGAACAAAGATTGTAAAGCTTAAAAATAGAAATACTCCTACGTTTTCTATTTTCTTCTAGCTTTGCATGGATGTAGAGCTGTCACAGTATGTTAAACGGTTTAACATGACTGTAAAGAAGTAGAAATATGTAATAACTATTATAGTTAGTGTATAGCTTTTACAAAAAAATAACTCAATCTAAGTTTAGTCTTATTTTTTATTTGAATCTTTAAACGCTAATGACAATGTTTTTATATTACGGTTTGAAATTGATACTTGTACTTCGACATGGTGGGAAAACTCCAGAAGTGTATTTGACAACATTATCATGTCTCACTATGTCCACTAGGTGGAGCTGTTGATTAAGCTATGACACAATGCTTTATTTGAAATGGTGCTTTCACTTCAGGCAAAATTGTTTGTGACATATTAGCAGAGGTGGGAAAAGTACTCAGATCTTGTACATAACTGAAAGTAGAAGTACCGAGTGTAGGAATACTCTGTTGCAAGTAAAAGTCCTGGATTCAAAATGTGAATCCAGTAAAAGTACAAAAGTATTGGCATCAATATATACTTAAAGTACCAAAAGTAAAAGTACTCATTATGCAGATTATTCAGAATAATATATATTATATGTTTTGATTATAAATATTGATGCATTAAAGTGTTATCAAAGCTGGTAAAGGTGCAGCTAGTCTTAATGGAGTAGCAACAATTTGAAGTACAAGTCCCTTAAAACTGTACTTACAGTAAGTAAAGTACTTGAGTAAATCTACTTAGTGACTTTACACCACTGCATATTAGGCACATTTTACACTTGGTTACGTTAGAATCATTGTGATGCATTTGATATTACTGTATTTGATTTGTTACATCTGTTTTTGTCACTGTGGCTAAATCTCCCAAATGTTCAAAAGTCAGTTAAAAAAAAAGTCTTCAAAAAGGAGTGAGAACTCAAAAATGTAATTTTTATATTTACATGATCAGCTTCTCAATGTTTCCTTTACCTCTGTTTTGATAACCATGGGCCTCTTCCCCAGACTGTCCAGGAAGTGCAGAGGGGACAGCATTGTACCGTACTCCTGGAAGTCACCAAATTTGAGCCTGTCAGTCAGTGTGGTGGCTGAGATCCCAGCCAGGGGGCCCAGGCTGGGCAGGGAGCCTGCTGTCACAGAGGGATCTGGGATCTGTCCTGGCATCGCGTCAGACTCGGTCGGGACCACAGCTAGGAGGCAGAGAGGAAAAATGGAAGACATATTCAGACAGAAACCAAACCAGATCAATGAAAAACAAATACAATTCTGTCTGCTCTGCTTGTTATGGTAAACTGGGGCATACTGTATGGTATGCGGGTAGAAAAAGTAATTTTACAATAACAAATTAGCAGCAAATAAACATGTAAGTGTCACTACAGTCTGTAACATGGCTTCAATGAGGCATTTGCCTGAGGTGCACTGCTTCTATATAGCAGTCAGACCTTGTTACTGTACATTACTGTGATGAATTGCTGGTCTGTTACTGTATAGGAACCGGATGCTGAGGCTGCTCTCATTAGGCTATTTTATTCTTTTTTATTCTTTTTTATGAGTGAATATACAACCATTTACAGAAATCTTGGCAAGAATTTACCTCATGTACTCCCAGCGGCCAAAAGAGGGATGAACAACAGTGTATAAAGCAGACTCATACAAATTCCCCTTTATTCCAAGGAGAGCTTAGGCTAGCCTTCGCCAAGAAATCCACGTTAGCCGCGTTTTCCTCTATAGGAGACTTAAATTCAAGGGAGCAAAATGTGGCTGCCAAAGTTCTGCATAATGTGGTGAAGTATAAACCCAAATTTAGCTTGTTTAGTTTAGCCACATAACAAATTAAAGATGACACTGTTTACTTTAAATGTTTGCACAGAAAACATTTTGACTATGTTAGGGCTATCACTGGCAAATGTCTCGTTTGAAAAGGCTGACCATGAACATTTAAATATATCCAAAGACAATGAGAGAGGTGTGAGAGTAACGCCAACAAGAGACTCAGGAAATTAGCTCAGCAAATTTCCAAGGCACATGATGCAGCCAAAAACGACTATCTGAGGTCAATTACTCCCGGACCTGTAGACGACACTACACGAATAAACAGGCAACATCTGGTATAAATATCACTACAGAAACAGCCTGTGTAGACAAATCTATGGGAATTACAATTGCATCTTTTGGCTTACTCTTGTAAGCCAAAAGATGCATCTACTAAATAGTTATGCAGAGAACATGAGAATCCTACATGGGAATTACTTTCAGTTTTCACACTTCCCTAAACTACAGGTCAAAAAGTAGAACTCTGCAGGCCATGCTTATGGCACATGAACATGAGTCTTAAAAATAGTGCATGATAAAAAAGGAGGTCATTTGTGGTTACAGGCATTTGAAAAATGTTGGAAATATTAATGAAGACAAGACAAATTAACACATTTTTCCAACAAAGAACTCCCAAGCATAGATCACTGGCTGGCAATTTGAGTATAATAATCCACAGTGCAGCTATAATTTAGAACCATTGTATTAAACATTCTCTATGGTAATATATTGCCCATGAAGATCCAAGAAGCCAATACTGATACAACTGTATCAATGTTATGTTTTTGCTCCTATGTACTTTTACATGAGACAGCCCCAGGCTTGTTAAGTGATATGAGGTTTAGCTATTTTCAGAATATGTGCAGTCACTATGTTCAGTCGCCCTCAGTGTGTTGCAGGCAGCGTGCATACTGAAGCCATTGGTCAAGTTGAAAGCGGAAGTTTTTCTTCAGTGCGGCATTTATCTTACGTAACTTAGTCTTCCCATCACAGAGCTGCAGTGATAAAAACCCAACAGCTTTTCTTTCACACCGGATTTCGCCCCAGATTAAAACACATTTTAAGAATCAATGCAAAACCCCAATGTAAAGGAAAGACATCACTAAATAAGGACATTTTGTTCCAAATTGTGCACACCGTGGTTCTATGTAAGAGAGGAGCATGCACACAAAAGAAACATATCTTTCGGTAGCATGCTCAACAAGACGTCAGGTCTACTTTAAACACCGAAAACACTGCAGAAAAACACCGTTTAACTACTGTAACAACACAACAGAGCCCTTCGCTGCCTGTTCACAAACTGCTCGTGATGACCTATGCGTCGCGCGCCAATGAGCCTGTTAGTATGTAGAAAACATTCAGCTCCCGTTTTTTGAAACTTTTGAATACCGACCTGACTTTGATCCCAGGTGCAACAAATGTCCTCTCTTCTGGTCAGCCGATGGTCGAGAGTAGATTTTAAAAAGTGGAAATCGTTGCATCAGCCCGGTTTTAAACGTGATCCCAATCTGGGAGGATTTGGGAATGCGGAAATTAGGCTATGCCAGCCAAACGTAAGCAGGGATGTAAAAAAGTACATAGTGGGGGCAGAAGTGGGGAAGTCGCACCGCTCCTCCCATAAAGAAACACTGAGGCTGCAACCACAGAATAGGGCCTGGGCTGAACATACAGTCAACACAAAAACACATGCAAAATGGATCATACCAAAATACAAAAGCTAAATATTTGTTATAAGTTATAGTTAGACTGGAGGTTTACTTTTCTTACGTTTTTACCACAACTCTTCCTTGCATATTCATTGCACACTATGCGTTTTGTTTTAGAGTTTAATAATTGTGATTTTTTTGGATTTGTTATTTTAGCATTCAACAGCTTGATTAAGTCATGGATTGTTTAGGGACAGATTGCAAACACCAGCAGCCAATACCACTCTGAATATAGATTTATTGTAATTATTCAGCAGCATAGATAAGCAATCAATGCTCATTCTTACTTAAATTTAACCAAAAAGTCTGAAAGGTAAAAAAATAAATCATAAATTACATCTTGATAAGATATATAGTATAGCACTGGATGTTTTCATGGAAAACTTTCAATGAGGTCAAACCACAGTGGATGATGTTGAGGTATGCAGGTACTTAACATGGATGAATATGTTAATACAACATTTACAGCAATCAATACACTGTTCACACCAAAACACAAAACCATACTGATACATTAAATTCCACATTACATCTTGGATCTAGTAACAGATCAGATATATATACGCTTTTAAAATATTTGGAATTTCTCAGCATGCGTTTTTTAAAATCAAAACTGACTTCAGTCCCTGCTTTAAAAGTAAAAGCCATGCTTTTCGCTACATCACTCTGTTGGTTATGCATCTGGAAAAAAGCTTACATGTTTGCTTAGTCGAACACAAGACATTTCATGAATGTATTCCTCGAAGTATTACAGCACACTGTGGCATATGTTGTTCATATTATTTTAAAGTCAGGAACCTGCAAACAGAAGAAAGAACAGAGAGATCACACAGATCACTTCCCTCTGTGCATTATAAGGCGAGGAGGGTAGGGGAGTTGAGGAGATCCACAGAATCAGCCTTGCCTCCTCCGCCTCTATGACTGCCTAGCCCCTCTGTGAGAGAGTCCAGCTCGGGACAAGCGAATGTGAACACAGACAGGTAGCTGCTGCAGGTGGGGGTGGAGGTCACAATGGGGGTGCTGAGAGGCTCCAGGTCGCTGGAAACAGACTTGTACAGAGTCTCCCAGTCCGAGACCCCGAGAGAACTGCTCAGATCGATGTCTGGCACCGATCGAGCCGTCTCCATGGGGGTTCTCTCCTCGAAACTGGGTAACATGTTCTCCAGGAGCCCCTCTTTAATGTCCAGAGAGGGCTCGAGATCGCAGATGTTGATTTCACACAGCAAAATGTTGGAGTTTCCAGAGATGGCTGTGGACGGATCACTGGGGATGTCCATGTCCTGGAGCGAAGGAGCTTCCTGGGTGCCATCTTCTGGAAGTCTGTCCTCATCTGGAATGGCCGATAGTTCTGGGGACTCTGCTGGCTCCTGGAAAATACACTCCAACTCCTCTGACATCTGGCACATTGGTTTGTGTGTGGCGAGGATAAACTCAAGACGTTCTTTCTCTTTGAGGAGGTTGGCTATCTCCGTCTCCAGGGTTGCTCTTTCCTCCTCCAGCTCGTCTGTCTCCTTCAGATAGATCGACATAAGGAATCATCCACATTGAAAAAACACACATACACACATACACAGCTGAGTCAACATCATTGTTTACTTACAATTTGCAGCGTATCTGTGAGTTCCCTCCGTCTGTTGCGACACTTTGCTGCAGCCATTTTATTCCTCTCCCTCCTTATCTTTTTTTTCTCTTCCTCCTCTGGAGTCAGCTGAGATGAGAGAGAAATAATTCAGTTATTACCTTGAAGAATCCAGCCATATCATCCTCTAATCCGCTACATCCGTTGCCAATTGGCCCTCTAAAGAATGGCAAAAGCATGTTTCGCTGCAATGCGTCTAAAAATAGACCATTGTTGCAGACTTGCTGTGACCTGAATATAAATTGACTGCCTAAGGAAGGCACACAGACAGCACACGGCACAAGAGGATCATGCACAATAGCACTGAGGCACACAAGGAATTCAGATTGGCATATGTAAATTTACACAATTCTGTCCAATGGCTGATGGACATCCTCTGAGCTACCTACCTGCTCCGTTTTCCCCTTTCTGGCACCATTTTTTCCCTTATTCCCACCCTCTTTGGGTGTTGCCTGGTGAGAGCTTTGTGCTTCATTGGCTTGCTGCCTCCCAGTCGGGGAGACAGATGTAATGATCGTAGGCTGGACCATCCACTGGAAATCAGGGGTAGAGGATATTGCAGTGACTGTTGGAACAAATGGAGTGTCTTCAACAATCATGTCTTGGTAGAGATCCTGAAAAAGGGAAAAATATGTTTTTAATAAATCTATTCCTATGCTGTAAGTGTTATACTTATATCTTATTGTGATGACAGTCATCAATGACATCTACAATAATATGATCAGTCTGAATAGAGGGGAGCCTGCATAGTTTATATCTATTTGACACATAGCCAACCAGAAATAGCCTTCTTCAGATCAATATTTGACTTTATCATTGTTTCTGACGTCAACACTGACGCAGAGATGCTGTGGAGTCTCCTGAATGGATTTATTTTTCTCAATGAACCGCTGCATCAACACGCTCGCATTTGGTCCCAGGACGTCGGAATCATAACAACCCGAACAACGGCGCTATTTTCACATCTCCGTCAGCATTAATCCCTTGCACAAATATACATCAAATGTAAAAAAATATATATAAAAAATATATATGTAGCGCAGCCAGTTAATATAAAATCGTATCAATCAGTCCCCCTCCCCCACCGCGTATATAAAAATCATTCAGTGTGTGATCACATTTAAAATGTTTAATCTGATTGTAAAGTGTGCGCGTGCCGGGCTGCGTGTTGAACGTATGATCAACAAAGCCATTCATACCTTTGCACTGCTCTCTGAGCAGGAGGAGGCTGGAGAGCTCGCCTCTTCGGGCGTCTTCTGGAAGAGCGTCCCGACAGGAGACTCTGTCCGGCAGGTGGGGGAGGCTGAATCCATGGCAGGTTGTTATGATACACCACGAGGAAAAAAAAACACAAGTCCGGATCAATGACAGATATGACTCTGGCCTTCCGGCTGGGCAGAGCGGCGCGAGTCTTTTCTCCAGGTATATACCTGGTATCTGGACGACTAGAATGCAAGCCCCTCCTTTTATGCTCTGCTAGAATTTTATGAATGAACCAAGACTGTACCATCGTGCTGAGGGGGAGGGTGGTCACACTGACAGCCACGCAGGTCTATATTTCGGGGTAAAATAACGTTGTTTAAAAACATTATTCTTTTATATATTTACTCCATGTATGCTAAGTTTCAATTATTCCTCAGATTCAGAAATAACCTCGTCAAAACACGAAAGCCAAATATCTGTTTCCACTCCCATTCACAAATATCGGCCGCTTATGAATGCAATGTGGGGTGAGAAACGTGAGTCTATTTATAAATTGGCATAGCCCTTGTTACCATTTTTCAGGCTGATGAAAACTTAATGTCCTGGTGCATTCATTTAATCAAAAGTGAAAGATACTAAAGCATTTAATAAAAAGTCAAACAGCATCCACTGATTTCGTTTTATCTTGTAAAACATAGTTTCATTTCAAGGTCGACGCGAAGCATTTTCACGATCATTACAAACATATTGAATGTCGACTATCATTTGTACTACTTTTTTTAGTCTGTTAATTTTTCTCATTTAACAGACTAACTACATTTCCTTTCTCTATTTCATTTTCAACAACATACCAAACGTATTTTAGACGGAGCTCTGGATAAACTTAGTACTTCGGGGCTGGCTTTCCAAAGATCAGAGTCATAATGAAATGATGCTCAACTGTTTACTTGGGGAGGAGGTGGTGAAGAGGAGAGGTTGGACATGTGGGGGCGGAGAAGTCACGTGGCATGACCCGGAACTCAAGGGAGGGAGGGAGGGAGGGAGGGGGGGGCTGAATTTGACAGCAGCAGCAGCAGCAGCATCATCGTTCACTCTCATCACAATAAAGCAGCATGTCTAGACTTTGCGTTATCCTGCTGACACCTGTCCTTTTGCACCGAGTGTTTTCTATCACATTCTAACTGCCGACCAATTTTAGGAAATGTCTACAAGAAGATATCCAAAAAGATGTGCTGGTCTCAGGCGAATATACGAAGTCAGCGAACTTCCTAAAACTATTACTAATTTGAAGGTATGTGAACATGTCACACCAGGTGTAACATATGGCAAACTTTGACTGTTTTTGTCTTGTTTTTTATTTTATTAAACAACTTTAAAAGTATATCAAAAATACAAGTTTAAAAATACAACTACATTTTCCTCAGATCACCGATTATTATGGTGACACGTTGTACAGCAAGGAGAATGCCACAAAGGGGACATTTTCATTCATAAGAGAAAATCATGACCACTTTGAGGTTTGCTTCGATAGCACATCTTCAATGGGTGAGTGAGGTGTTGTAAAAATATATGATTTAAAATAGTATGAAAGAAATACAGAAAGTTGTCCACTAATTAGAGCGGGAGAGGGAATATTCCAACTCAAATGGACAAATGCTTTATAAGTTATTTGTGATCCACAATGGAAGCCAATAATGCTTGATTGGGGTGACTCAAGTGATGCAAAATCCAAATTATTTTCTGACAAATAACACAATATGCCATTAATGCTTGACTTTAGGTAGTTGAACGGTTTCAGACCAACTGGTCAAACTGAACATAAAGCATGGCGTGGGAGTGAAGACTGAGGAAGAGGTGAGAGACCATGTTAATACTTTAATGTCAGATATCATGACACTACTGATACATACATGTAAAATGTTGTAACCTCAAACATATAACCATTGTAACCTCTCTGTTAGATTAAACCAGTGGAGAAACTGACCCCCGCTAAAATATCTTGAGCACCTCTCTCAGTCCATCGCAGATGACTTTGAGTACTTGAAGAAACGAGGGAAAGAAATGCGACAAACAAACAGTAAGTTAAGAGAGCAATATGTTTAGTGTATAGGTAAGTTCCCAACGCTCTCTGTGGGTTTAAGTTTCCTGCTTTGGCTACTTCAATGTGTGCTTTGCCTTGAACAGCAGATGGAAATTACCCTCGGTTTGGGGTGAAGCTCGAGGGTTTGAAACTGGGTTGCAGCAGTTTTATTCTCTGTGTGATTAATTGTTTGTTTTGTCTCAAGCTATCCATTTGACTGAAGATTTGCCAAATTTGACTTTATTTAACTGCGTTTTTCTTTCTCAAACAGAGTCCACCCATACACGATTGCTGCTCTTCAACATTATCTCCATCTTCGGTTTTCTTGCTATGGCCCTGTGGCAGATTTTCTATTTTTCAAGACCAGGAAGTTGATTGAGTGAATATTATTTCTGGAGCGCAACCTGAGGAATGCTGGAGGAATTCTGTTTTGGGAACATTTACAAAGTCGCTACAATGTGCCTTTTTCTGTGTATCTGATAATGCAACACTATTTATCAATGTTTATTCTTGGCGTCATTTAAAAAAAATATATCTCTGCTTTTATACATTTTCTGAATATTGTTTTTCGTGCTCCCCATGGTATATAAATCAAACTGGTGTTCAAACTATGTACTTACGAAGCTAACTGTAGCTCATTTTCGACAGAATGTTATGTATAAATAGCAAAGTCTTCCTATGAGTTTACAGATGAAAAAACAAAAAAACAAAACAAACAAACAGTTAACAGCTGCAGTGCTTTGGGGGGAAATTGAGCCATTTAATAAAGGTAATTTCTATGAGTTATGATTCATTTTGTTGACAGTAAACAACACATTTCAAATAAAATACACACCCACTTATCTATTTCCATAAAGTTGCCATGCTTTATACATTCTTCTCAGCTTTTGGAGGTTGGGTTTCTGTAATTCCTGCAGGAGACAAGAATGCTGCGTCACCACCAGATAGCTGTGTTGTAAATACCTTTGAAAGTACATTTAGTAGTAAGTTAAGTCCATTTTAGTACCTGTTCATCTTTGTCCAAATGGAGGGTGTCCACTAAGGGAGCAATGGATGGACGGCCGTGGGCACACTGGAAGGGCAGCTGGCAGGAGGACAAGGAGGCCACCAGACTGTGGCATTCATCTCTACTCAGGCTGTCATTGAATTTGATGGCACCTGTTAAATACAAATATATAGACACGTTTTCAGTGTGTACATTTATGGAATCATCAAGTAATAAAAAGAAGGAGGGAGAGAAGTAATTTGACTTTACCATGGCATGCTAGGGAGGCTAGCACCTTCAGCACAGTGAGAGGCAGAGTTCCTCTCACTCTACCGGTGGAGCGGAGTAACTGAGACGAAGACAAATAAACAATACAATTGACCATTTACCGAGTAGCACAAGATGGTTTCTCCCCACAAAAAGGTCTAGGGGGTGTAAAGAACTTTCCAAGCTTACCTCAATTTGCTCTCGTAGATACTCCTGTCGAGTGATGACAGAAAAAGAGGTTAACATAAGGGGATGGAAACATAAAACAATAGATAAGAGGTTTTCATTATTCTTACCTCAACAATAGTCTTGATAACAGATGGTCTCCCCCGCCTGAGCTCATTACTCTCCTTTTCCATGAAGCAAAGTGGTACCTTCCCAACAAACACTTGTGGCTCCGCTGCCTGTGAGAACTTCACTTCCAGGCCCAGACTCCGCAAATGTCCCTGACATGATCTGAAGAGCAAAGGTTCACCAACATAAGCAATACAAAAAAAACTGCGATAAAACCATGCCAATGTAATAATGTCCATGTTATGAAATAAACAGGTTTGGAACAAAAGAAGTGTCAAGTTTGTCTGTACATCTCAGAATTCAGCTTATTTTACTACTTAAAGTGGACCTATCATGCTATATTTGAATAATATAGTGTAGGACCATACCTATATAAGGCCTATTTATACTTTTTTTTTCTTCAAAATACCAAACAGATCATGCATTTTAGCCATGCCTCATTTCGCTCAATTTGAAAAATGTTAGCTCTGTTTTTGCAAGGGTTGATTCTGTGAGAACAGCACCATCTAGAGGCCTGGCATATGTACTACAGCGTCTCCAGGGCTTTCGAACGGCAATGCCGTGGTTGTCTCCTCCTGATTGGTGGAGTTGACCCAATAGCCGTAGCGCCACTGTCCTGACGTCAGGACAGTGTTCAAATCTGGATCAGTTTTTATCAGATCCGTTGCAGCCCCTTTTTTAGAGATTTGGGTATGGAGGAAAATAGAGAGGGTTGTGTTTTCTGACACTTGGTGAGTTCCCTGGAACACCGGGGACACATATTCATGTATAAAAGACGTACAAAAGTGCATTTTGCATGACAGGTCCCCTTTAAAGAGAAAGCGTTTAAGAGCAAGAAAAGCTTGGTGGTGCAAAACAAAAAATAACAGCCCACAGCAATATTGAAAGTGTGTTTAAAATGTTTAAAGCTTAGCCAATGGCAAGAGTGTAGATTATTCTGTAAATTGAAGAATGACAATTGCCTTCTGAAGTGAATTTCACTAACATTAGAGGTCATTGTGTGAGACTCATGTCTGTTAAATGTTGTAATGTATGTATTTTCCTGTAACAAAATACATTTTAAAATGGTTATACTCTTATTACGTGACATTGTCCTATGTTTTCTAATACACCCGAGGCCTGACGACCCCCCGCATCAATAAGGCTACTGAGTGTTCAGTTCGTGTTGGGTAACATGTCCCTAGACACACTTACTCAAAATATTTATATTCTCAAATTGGGTAGTATCTGCCTTTAGGTAAGTGTACTGGTTTAACAGGAGTTTTCCTTTGCTCGTGTACTGTACAAATAGTAAAACACACCTGAGCAGCCTGAGCTCTTCTTCTGTTACAGTGATCTCGAGAGGAGGCAGAATAGTTGATGAACACAGACGTTTCTGCCCCGGTGCATCTGGGTCCTCCTCATATGAATCTATGACAGGACATACAGTTAAGACTGTGGTATCACGATGGAGTTGCAACAACAGCATTGCTAATTTGACATTTCTTCTCTGTGTTAAAACTGTGTATGGACGTTTTTGTTTTACCTGCAACTAGATTTTCAAGTCGAACTCTCTCGTGTGCAGCGTGTTGATCCACCAGCACCAAAAGGTTTCCTGGGGATGAATAAAAAGTGCATGCTGATGCTGATAAAAAAAAAAAAAACAACAAAACTGTGAATCTCCTATCCTTACCTTCAGTTTCAGTCATGGCTGCAGGCTCCTCGTCTCTCGTATTGATAAGACATGCAAGAAACTTCTTATCCACTTGATGAATAACCTATGAGGTAAATATATAACAATTACTTCATATATCAACGAAAGTTAAATGGCATTATAAAGAGCACTTTGTCAGAACATTCAAAAGGGAACAAAGAGAGAAACATGCCTTCATTGAGTGAATCATGGCCTTAGAGAAGCGGTAAGGAAACAGGATGTTGTGGATCTTCACAGCCAGCCCCACGGCTTGTCCGCTCGTAACGTCCACACCAACCTGTCGGCACGGGAGAGATCAGAATGCATCGTTAAAAACTGCATCAAAATTACATTGAGATTTAAAATTGATCAAAACATTTAAATTCACAAGGAAAAAAAAGGCATAGCAGCTTTTCTTTTTGCCATGTAAATGTATTTAAACCACAGCTGGAAACCCTTTAATTCAATTAATTGGCTCACAAAAATATCACTTTATGTTTTTCTCATTTCCTCAATCTTATTCTGGTCTCCATTTTTATTTTCACTTCTATATCATATATTGCACCTATGTTTTAATTTAGTCTATTTGCCCTTGTTTAAAGTTGTTGCTTTTTTTTATGCAACATCCCTTGCATGAAAAGTGCTCTATAAATGAATTGTATTATTCACAGTATTATAATAATATATTAATAAAATTAAAAAACAGATACAAGAAAAGTTTTGCAAAACTCTTAAACACACAAGCTTTGTTTACCGTAGGAGGACGAACGAACACAGGATTTTTCCATTTTGAGTACAACGACGTCAGTGAGTTGGAGCTCTCGACATTGGCATCTGTTAAGACAGACAACATAATACTTGATCACAAAAAGCAGACATTCATTTGATATATTGTGTGAGTTTTAGGCTCCCTATATCCCTCCCTATGTCTACAGTCTGTCTGTCTCTTATGTACCTCTGTCATCAAGGCCTGAACTAATCACTCTCTCTGTCCTGGATTTAGGTAGGAAGGGCAACACTAGATCCATCTGAAAAGGGTAACATCTGTACTCCATCCCTACAGTTTAAGGAACAGTGAAGTGGTATTCTTGGTTAATGTTAAATGCTACTTCAAGTCACTATAATGTCAAAATCACATTGCTTAAAAGCACAGAAAAAAGACTGACTCACCCATTTTATTGACGACACTAACGGCCATGTTGGTGACATCAGATGTACAGCGCACTGTTGTTTCTTCAGGAGGCAGGTCATCATATCGGCTGAGCCCGGTCACTTTGTTGACGTACACCGTCTTTCCCACAGATGTTTCGTAGTGATGGAGCCAGTCACCTGAGGCCTCTTCCCCCTCAGCCGGCAGAGGATTTGTACTGCAAACTGGGACCGCCTCAGGATTCAGAGCGGTGTTACAGTGATGCTCGTTGTTATTGCCGTCTTGGGGGTCATCGTTACCAGTACTGAGACACTTCTTGTCCTGTGGTAATACTTTTGAATTGTCTGCCCTCTGGTGTTTCAATTGGAAGAGTTTAGTTGCCAAAGATGTTTTGCCTCTATTCTGCACTGAGGCTGGTTTTAACTTGGTGAATGCGGAGAGTGTAAGGGGGCTGTTCGTTTTCTCTTTTTCTTTTTCCACCCCACCATGTTGCTGATCTTTCTGGCAAAGCAAATTGTTCTGGGAATGCATAACAAATCCGTCTGACTGAGAAAATCTATTTTTATTCTCCTGAAAGGGTAATTTCAGTTCATCAGATTTACCATACACTCTTCTGAATCTTTCAAGCGATCCAGACTCCTTGCATAAAGACAACTTTTGAGATGTTGAAATCCTGGGAATCTTTGAGGGAATGATATGAGTGAAGTCTTGTTTCTGACAAGTTCTGTCCTGCCTTGTTTCCAGTAAGATTCTGCGTTTTAATGCAACACATCTCTCTTCACATATCTGCCCAGATTTTTGCTGAAATACTGACTTGTTCATTTGTGACATGTCCTGAGTCAGCAGATTCTCATGAATATATGGATCGGACAGACTGATCTTTCCGTTACTTACTAAAGTGTGATGATGTCCTCCTGTACCTGGGCAGTCAGGTAATATTTGCTCAATATAGTTCATGTCGGGCTGAATTTGTTGAGTGAAGCAGTCTAGTAAAGTCTCATTGCCGTTTGAGTCTTTATTGTTAATCAACATGTCATTTTCTTTTGAGAGTTCCAGCTTTTCACCCTCTAGCTGTACGACTGAACTTGACTTACAAAAAATGTCAGAGCCTTCACCAGCTTCACTGGACTCCTCTTCTACATTATTCTTAATATCAGATGTAGGGTTAAGTCTAGCTAGATCACATGATGGCTCACATCTAACATCTTTATTTATGCTCTCTTCACTTTCCAACTCCTTTGCCGTTATCTTTTCCTTCCTTTGTTGTTCAGTCTCTTCTTTGCCCTCCATCTGACCAGACTCCCTGCTAACATCTTCCTCACATACACAGTCATCTTGGCGCTTTCGATGAACAGAATCAGATGCCAGTTTCATTCCAATACTGCAATCTAGTGTGGAAGCACTGCTTGTTGCTTGGCCAACATTGCCAGTGTTATGCCCCTCTTCAACTGTAATGTGAGTGCCAAACAATTCAGTAGGTGCTTTGTCGAAGTCATCTTGAGAAAGCACGGCCACCAAGTTCTCCCTTCTCAGGAAAGCTTTCACTGCTTCTTCTATGCACAGCAAAACGCCATCCCAATCTTTGAACTCTATTAGAGTTTTAGCAGGCTCAAGGCATATGTCATACTCGGAGTAAGAGCATTTAATATTGATGACGTACACTCCATGGGGGTCTTGGCTCCGTTTGGTCTTTGGACTTCTCACGGCTGACTGCATATCTGGACTGTCATTTTTTTGGTTTGAATTGCTCAGTCTGCGTAGGAGAAAATTAAGGAGCTTGTGTATCCGTGTTTTGAGGAGCAGCCTCTCGTTTACATACAGGAACTGTAAACTGTTGTTGTAGTGGCCCTCTCTGCCAATATAACCAATCACTTCAAACTGTCCGTGTGTGTAGCTGATTTCTCCAAGTTTCTGTGCTCTCCCAAGGCTGTGTATCTGAACAAACCTGTGGTAGGTGTTTCTAGCTTTAGGAAGCTGCACCATCATGGCCCCTGTGCAGTCATTCTTCAGGGTGAAAGACACTGAGGGGTGCATCAGAGAAATAGCCTCCACCCTGTGTCTGATCCTCTCACCCTCCAGAACAGCATCCATCCTCTTCCTCCGCACAGGCATGTTGTGGAGGAAGTTACAAACGACAACAGTTGTCCCTGCAGCGGGTCGAGCAGTCTCTCCTTCAAACACGTCCATGCTTTTGCCATCTTTGAAGATTTTGACATGAGTTTTCACTGTTGCTCTGGTCCGGGAAGAGATTTCAACAAGTGTGGAGAGAGAAACTATACTTGCAAGGGCTTCTCCTCTGAAACCATACCACTTGAGGCTGTCCAGGTCTTCAACAGAGCTGCATTTGCTTGTGCAATATCGATTTCCCAGGGAATCCATATCCTCGGAGTTTATCCCAGCGCCATTGTCAATCACCTGAACTTTAAACGCCTCCATGTCCATCCTGACTCCCACACAGGTAGCTTCGGCATCAATGCTGTTCAGGATGAGCTCCTCCACGCACTGCTGAAGTGAGGGCAGAGCGACACCGGAGCGAAGTTTCCCCTGAACCTCTTTAGGCAAACACTTTATCATTGTGTTCATTAAATTAAGTTATCTTACCCTATCAACTACACAGCAACAAAGTAGTCAAGCGGCTAAAAACTGTCCGTTGGCAGCTAACGTTTAGCTTAGCGCTGGCTGACGTAAGTGCCATGAGTTTCAACGACATTCTGACCACAACACATTAAAAACAAATAGCTAAAAACTAAAACATTAAGCTACAACATCGAAATCCATGCTAAAAAGCTGCTGCTGTTTACAGTCAACGTGTATAACCCATAACCAAGAGATGACCGAAGCGCCAGTCGAAGCTAACAGCGCCATCTTCTGGTGTGGACGACCTGCAGCTTCCGCCTTCTGTTTCCTTGGTGACCAGCTTTTATTATACCGCCACCTACTGTACGGAGTGTGCTATGTTATGTGTTCACTGACAGACTGTTATGTAGTTTTATAGCACTCAAAGTTGTATTGAATTTTATAAAAAAGATTACCGACACCAAAAGATATGAAACAAACAAATGTTGCTATACGAAAGTCAAATATTTGGTAATAATAAAGTTATCAGTGTCAGTAGCCTACATGGCAACAATTCCAGATGTACTTCACAAAACCGTCTTCTTCATTTTAATGAATCACTCAATATCCCAAGTATTGCCTATTTAAGGTGTAATCTTCATGCAGTTTCTTTCCTACATGACTTATTTCAGGTGTGTGAATATGTGTACAGATTTTGTATGCCTTGACTCATCCCTTTATTGGCACATTTAGTTTGTTTGTGTCACATATTTCATCAGGAGTATTTTTGTATTATTGTTATACAAATTGAGGATGAACTAATTGTACATCTTTGGCTATTCTGTTAGTGTTTTTCCACAGCTATATCCATAGCTCAGTTCTTTCTAGGGGAAGAAATTAGGATTCTGATAGGCATTGTCATTTTACATGCAAACGTGAAACAGGCCGATAAAGACGGCGGTGACAGATTTTAAGGTCATACAATTGACTGCTTTCCCAGCAGGGTTTCTGCTCGACTCTGATTTGCCTCAAACAGATTTACAGTGTAGCCTATTAACAGAATGTAAAATAAAGTGGTCTCCTAATCAAAAATTCCCTTGCGGTTCACACAAAAACATCCAAACAATGGGCAGGAGTTTGAAGGAATTTTCCATTTATTCAATGTAATTCCGTATATTTTATAAGTTAAGGAGACATAACATGGACACATTTTTTTAATAGATTACATGAACCACATTATAACTAATACAAAAAAGACTAAATAAAACATCTGTCAAAGTTATTGTTACAGTCTGAATCTGTAGGTTTTCTTATTCTACTATGTTAAAAGATGAATGTTCTAGTCGATCGACTGTCTTCTCGTTGTTGAACTCTGCCTTGGTTATGTGTGACTTGGGGCTCCCCGTGGATTTCAGCCATTCTTTCATTTCCTTCACCTTGCTGCATGGGCCTTGTAGCTGGCCCTGAACAGTTCCTGCGCTTGTGTTTTGGACCCATCCTACCAGACCAAGCTTCTTCCCTTCTGCCTGGAAAATGAAACACAGGGGATTAGAAAATAGCATGTGTAGGCTACAGATGGAGAATATGGCTGTAATAAGAATATTAGTAAGATCAATTGTCCAGGATTGGTCTTGAGTAATGTAGAGTTTTATATCTGAAAGTATTATGTAAAAAAAAAGAAAGAAAGACTGTACATTTCCATCTTAGAAAATTATTTTTTTTATTTAAAAGAAACATATTGTGGTCATTTTAGTTTCATATCCTACTTGTTTTTTGGGTTTCTAGTAGATGGTGTGTTACGTTCCCTACTGGGCTAGGGGAACTTTCATGCTTTAATGTACAGAAAATGAATACTGAAGGTCCACATAATAGCTTTTCAGAAGATTTCTATCATGATTTCTACTTTGAAAATAAACTGGGTTAACTCTATCAACAATACCTTGAGATGAGGTTAAAAGCTCCAGAAAGAGCAAGTTAATGAAACTTAAATTAACGTTGTCTTATTTGAATTGAAAGCAGATTATTCACATGTAGTTTAACTCTACTATTATACATAAACATATATCTCTGTCAAACTCACTTGAGTGTATTTCCGAAAAAATACACCTTGCACTCTGCCAAAAATTTCATAATCCACTGAAATGAGGCCTTCGTTAAACATAGTGGACCTAAAAAAGGAGAAAGAAACAGAAAGCTACTTAGGTGCTGTGTTGTGTATGTTAGGCACCCATCATGCATCACAGGGGCTAGGTTTTAGCTGCGACAAGCTATGCTAACATAATGTATGTATGTTCAAACGATGTGCCTCCTGAACAATTAAAACGTTAAGCTTTTGTCCTTTATTATTACAAGAGGGCTCACTGGCTGTCATGTAATTCACCTGAATATTGTTAGGATGCCGTGATACACCAGCCGGCTCCGAAAGATCTCGACTTTAACATGCGGGGCTCTGCTTCCGGAAGTGATGTTTAGTGGACCAATCAGAAAACAGCCGAGACATTTGGTTTCTAGGCAACGAATGTTAACGTTTGGTAGAGAAATCGCAACAGATATTACGGATTATTTGTCGTGAGCTAAACTCAGCTTCACTTCACGACATACAAAATACCAGTAAGTGTTTAAAATACTAGACAGGTTTTTGGGGTAAATGTGTCAACCACAGATGGAAACTTAAGTAGATCAACGCTTGTTTCTTTTTTGCTGACCTCTAGAATTTGGTAAACAAATGTTATTCAAGAAAAACAAAAACTGGCAAATTATTAACATTGTTTTGCTTGTTTATTCTTATATTGCGAAGGTTGTCTTAGTATTGCTCATTATTCCTGGTATGGAGTGAAAACAAATGTAGAACTGTCCACTCAGAACCACTTTCTTGCTTGTTTTAGAGGTTGTAAAACTAACAGTCGACAAAAATATCTCCAATCAATGTCCACTTTTACAACATATTCTGGAGGTTTTGACTGTATCACACGGTGTTCTTCAACAAACATCATCTGCTGATTTCCTCATAGCAGACACTCACCTGTGCTCTTACTTTATATGAACAGTGACACTTTTTTCTTTTAACTTCATTCCCTTTTTTTTCTTTTTCCTAGAAATTATACTGAATAAAACAGGTGTGGACGGCTTAGGTTTCTCAAGATCTATATGATAAAAATAATACCTCAAAGACATCCAATAAAGTCATGGAAGAACAAAGAAAAGGCAGCGTCTATCAAGCACAACATGGTGTAGCTGGTAAGAGAAAAGATGAAGTTGACCAGCCGTTTCCAAACAAACCTGTTAGCCACAGAAGACCTCTCAACCCAGGGAAACAAGACTCACTTGATCTGGAGGATTTTGAAAAAATAATTCTGACAGAACAACCAAGAGGCCCTTTGTTTCCCCCAAAATACCATTCAAATGGCATCGGAACAACCACTGGATCACGGCAAACAAGGAAAGACTCGCACATAGAGACCAGTGGAGAACTGAAAATGGCCAGAGCAATTCATGAAAAAGAGCTAATGCTGCAGGAGAAGCTGTGGAGCGTTGAGGAAAAAGTAAGACAGAAATACCAGAGATACGCTGCTGCACATGAGGACCCAAAGAGTAGGGAACAGAGGAACAACAGGGGACAAGCAGAGAGGGGAAAAGTTCAGACAAAAGGTGGGCTGTTTGAGCAGCAGAGGAGAGAACCAGAGGAAAGAGAAATGATGTTGCAAGATAGAAGACAGGAGGATGTTAAACAACTCAGGAGGATGCAAGATCAGAGAAACGATGACAGAATAAGTATAAAACATGAAGAAGAAAGGGCCAGATGGGAAAAAGAAGTTGCACAGTCACAAAGAAAAAGTCATAAAGGAACTCAACAGACCACAGTTCATGAGCAAGAAGTGAGTGGAGAGTTTCTCAAGTCAACTAGGGGAAATGTGAAGGAGCATACCGGAAGCAAAAGAGGGGAGGAAAAAGGTGAAGCCATTTGGGGAAAGACTGGTGTCAGGTCTCAGGATGGAACAGTAAAAACAAAAGAAAGAGCAGATAAAGATTGGTCAAGAGAAAGGAAATATAAGGAACTGTATCTCTCTGAAGATGAACGAGATATGCCTCAAAGTAGTCAACAAATAACTTCTCATAAGGCTGCAACAGGAAACAGCAGAGGTGCAGAAAGAAAAGTGCTTCCACCAGTTTCTCATCCCTCTCATTCCAGCAGAGAGCAAGGGGAGCTCAGACAGGAAGATAGCACAGACACCAGCCTCCAACAAGTCCCTTGCAGTGTCTGCAACAGAATGTTTACAGGTGAAAGATTACAGAAGCATCTCGAAATCTGTACTAAGCTGAAACAATCGAAGCGTACAGTCTTCAACATCTACGTACACAGGACTAAGGGATCCGCCATAGAGGAGTACTGGAAAACCCACACAAAGAGTCCAGAGGTAGGCCAGTTTAATTAACAGGACCACACTACAAAACACACATTGAGAGTTTAGGGTTTAAAAGGCATGTGCATTTACATATATACATACAGTCTAATGGAGAGGTGCTATTGGTTGCATTATTGGAAATGTAAATTGATTATTTAAGTAAGCATTTACTATTTTTGATGTCTTTTTATTTCAGGTTTTGAAGAAAAAAACCATTCGGCATCTCCACAAGACAAACATAAGTAATCTGGAGGAAAGTCGACTCCCAACTGGAACTTCCAAACCAAAATGGGCAAAGTGAGCCGAGACTTTAAAGAAGAAATCTGCAGGGGCCTCATTTATAACGCCTTGCGTAGGATTGACGTATAGGTTGCTTACGTAGTACAAAGCACAAAAATAGGTATTAGCCTCGTCTCAATACCCCTCCTCGACTCCTCCTTTCCCTCACTCGCGTCCCTTCCTTGCGTCTTAGCTCCGCCTCCGTAAGATGCGAGCGAGAGACACGAGGAGGAGACACGAGGACAGAGGAGTCCTCAGGTATTAATAGAGTGGCGAAGTCCCTCCCCTTCCGGTTGAGCCCCATGGGACCTTATTTCGGAAAAGTTATGCATTGAAGTCAATGGAGAGAGAAAGATTATCTTTCGATCCCGTTTGAATTGTGCCACGAATTACACATATGATGTTTGTCAATTTAAAAGATAATTTTGCAAGTAAAAAAAAAAAAAATGTGCCGTAAAACTGTGAAGTAACACATTTGTTTGTGTGAAACGCTAAATGAACTACATCTCTGGTCAACCACACACGTCACCAAGATGGCCGTCACTACTGTCTTGTCAACAAACGATTGACTATCACCACAATGAAACACGTCCTGAAGAATGTCATGCAAAGCTGCCTGCCTGCCTTCCTTTGATTCTCTCTGAACTGCCTGGTCGTTTTAATGTTTAATGTCAACCATTTGTGCAGATAGCATGAAGTAGAAAAGATCGCCGATGCTAACGTTAGCGTTAGCATTTCTCCCCCGGAATTAAATGGTGTATTATAGAATGATCACACCGGTGACAGTACTATTCAAAGGGTTCACGAAATATGACTACTACTCTTACTGTTTAACATTTTGGGTTACTTAATGTTACTTCATGTTAAGGCTAATAAAAATGACAAGGCTGTAATGCTAACTAACGTGCTAGCTACTAGCTAGGTAGCTAACTTGATCAAGCCACTCCTGGTCGTTTCATCAGACGGGAAGCAAAAGAACGAGCAAGACCCATTGCTGGTATAATAACAACCTGGTACTAAGCACACAGGCATCTTGTTAAAGTTATCTTATCTTAGCCAGCGCCATATAGATAGATTATATCTATATTGCGCTGATCTTAGGTATCTGAATGGTGGAGGTAAACAATTGTGACATCACTTACGCGACTCTGGGATTTGTAGTCTTTCTAGTTACGTATTTTTCATAGTCTTATATTTCAACAGTTTTACGACAAACTGTGACTTTTTTGACATGGAAATGATTTTTTAAGTTTGACAAACATCATATGTGTAATTCATGGCACAATTCAAACGGGATCGAAAGATAAGTTTTCTCTCTCCATTGACTTCAATACATTATTTTTCCGAAATAAGGTCCCATACCCCGGAAGTAAGTGGGAGGGACTTCGCCACTCTATTGGGACGTCTTCGTTCACTCAAACGTCACTCTTAAACGACGTCTGTTAATGATGACATGTGCACAGCTGTATCCCCTCTCATCGGGCTTAACTGAATAACCCCTTAGAACCGGCCCATTTGTTGTTAAATATTTATTTAAATGAATGAATCTTTATCTTGTTAGTCAAGGAATTCAATGTATGATGGTTGGTCCTGCTTTTGTGTTCCGTGTTGGTGTAAAATGTAGCCTACATTTAAATACAAATATAATTATAGTAATGTGAAAGCCTTTACTCTGAAAATGTGTGTCCTGTAGATCCCCACATTCACCACAAACCCACATTCAGGACTGTGAATTTTAAATAATTTAACTCCTGAATATCTTAACAAAAACAATACAAATAATTGTTATTTATCAAGATCTAGCCATTTATGAAATAGCTTTCTTAATAGCTATGTTTTAGTGACGTTCAAGATCATTAAACATGACTTAAATTGTTAGTATAACCTAAAGAAATGAATTGCACATAATAATTCCCACGGAACTGTGAGCACTTATACATTTATGTGACGCTTTTCCACTCATTCTTCCAGTTCTCCGTTTTCCTGTGTTGAAATCGACCAGCTGTGAAGGTGGGGGCGGGGCGGTTAGTGCTAGATCGTATACCTCCTGGGTTTTAGGCGGAAGTGACGTAATCTGCCACCGAGGACAAGAGACGACGCTGGCTGCTGCCGTCTTCACACAAATAAACCCCTTAAAACCTGTATGATTTAGTTTTCACATGTTTATTGAAATGAATTCGTCCATCTCTTTATATTATAGTATTAAATGTATTATTTTCGGTTGTGTATTTGTGTTTTGAAGTTTTTTTTTGGATGTTGCGATTTAATTTCTCCAAGAGAGACAAAAAATCACTAAAAGATCTGGTGGATATCTGACCAGTATTTCATCATGGAAGTTAAATCACAATCATTTCATTATCCTGTGGAGGATAATGTTGTTTTGTGACAGTTGCTCAATTTTAGAACAAACAAAATAACATACTTAATAAATAGCTAAATGTATATATATATATATATATATATATATATATATATATATATATATATATATATCGTATATCGTATATATATATATATATATATATACACAAGAAGTAAAAGTGTGAATTTCAAGATAAGAAAAATATAATAAAAAGATTAATGTAATTATAGGAAATAAAATCAAAAATTGGCAATGCAAAATAAAATAACCATATGTATATAAACATATAAAACAAACAAGAAATGAAAGCAGAAATGTTAAATATGATTTTAAATAACAATATTTATGTTGAAATAAGAAGTGAAAGTAAAAGAGGGCAATACAACAAAGATATAATAAAATACAATTAAAAGATGTACATTAACATAGGAAGTAAGAATACAAATGTGCAATACAAGATAAATACTTAATAAATAGCTAAATGTATATATATACACAAGTAAAAGTGTGAATTTCAAGATAAGAAAAATATAATAAAAAGATTAATGTAACTATAGGAAGTAAAATCAAAAATTGGCAATGCAAAATAAAATAACCATATGTATATAAACATATAAAACAAACAAGAAATGAAAGCAGAAATGTTAAATATGATTTTAAATAACAATATTTATGTTGAAATAAGAAGTGAAAGTAAAAGAGGGCAATACAACAAAGATATAATAAAATACAATTTAAAGATGTACATTAACATAGGAAGTAAGAATACAAATGTGCAATACAAGATAAATAAAAAGACTAACCTTACAGAGTTAAAGTAAAAATGTTGCAATACAAGTTGTAATTAAATAGAATAAAAATATGTATGGATAAGTTAATAGGGATTATTTTTTTGTTGAGACATCAGGACCCTTCTCTACTCCCTCCACATTCATGCTGACCCGGAAGTTCAACCTCATAGCTTCCGCAAAGCAGCCTACCCTTTTTGTGAATGGGTGCTTTTGTGGTACGGTTTTCACAGGTAGGTTGGCCATCTCCTTCTTCCTTTTCTTAGGTGTGAACGTCAGAGGAAGGCTCTGATCATGTGGAGTGTGTAGCTTCACATCTTCCAAGATCTCGGTCATTTGGTCAGTTAACGTTTTAAGGTAATCTTCATCTTGCAGATGGTATGTTAAGTCAGTAATCTCACGCAAGAGACTGGCACATTCCCTTCTTTGTTTAACCTTTCTTGGTCTTTTCCTTTCGGGCAAAGCGTTACATGGTGACTGCATTTCCACTGATACCGGTGTGTATGTATGATCTGTGATGTCTGATCTGCCGCTGTCATCCCTCTCACAAGAAGTCTGTCCCAGACATGCATTATCCAGGGAGAAGAGGGGGTTATCCCTGTAATTAGATGCCAGTTTCTCCCAACCCCATTCATGCACATGATTAAAAACAGCACAGAAGTGCTTGCAGGGCAACTTGTGCTTTGCCCAGTCTTTGCAGGTGCACGATGGCATGATGATACTTTCACCAAAGTTGATGTGGTGCTGTGTGCAAGGATGACTTTGGCTTTTGACATGGAACATGCCATTGCCCTTTGCAACAACGTCATTCGCCTCATAAAACTGGGCTTCTGTAAGCCTTGACATCACATGGTCTGCTACACTTCTTGGTCTGTCTTTTAAGAACTTTGGCATGTTCTCATTGTACCTTCTGTAGAATGAGGAGTACTTGACATTGAGTTCAATGTACCTTCAATAAGAGATGAGAACAATATCTTAGAAGTCTCTCTGTGACAGTTTGCTTTCTCTGACATATAGATATGGTATTTGATAATACAATTGTCTCAGAAACATATGCAACAATGAACAACATCAAACAAATATGTTGGAAACAAAGCTATCGAACATTACATTTATATATATATATAAAAATGTGTGTGTGTTTGTGTATGTATGTATGTATGTATATATAAATATATATATGTATAATCATAGTAATTCTTTTTTAGCTCACTTCCGATATGTCCTTGGTAGGAAGTCAGTTACCAACACAGTGAGCATTTCACTGAGGCTGCAGTTCTTATAACCTTCAAGATGAGAATGCTTTAGGGTTTCATTTTGTCTTTCCACCCCATTGTTGGTGTAGATGGCCACCTTGAGATCTTCATCCCGAAACACGTGCACCCATCTCTACACAAGACAAAAAAAGACAAAAAAAATTAAAAGGAAGACTCTTCAAATTCAACAAATGATATAATAAATATAATATAAAAGTAAATATAATATTTGAACTTGATACACACCTTAGCCTCTGGGAGCCACTTATTTGAAAACCACGCCCTCACTTTTTCATTGTCCTTCCAGACTTTGGCCTCCTGCAGGTTGCAAAGGCGTGTGCTGAACTCCTCTGGAGTTGAAGCAGCTGCAATGCTTCTCAGAAGCGGTAGGAGACTGTCTTGTGCGTGGCTCACTCCATGATCTTTCTTCCTGCACCATTCAACCCAAGCTTTCTCCCTATGGAAGTCGCAGAGAAGCACCTTGGAACCTGGATAAAATATAAGAGATATATTACCTGCACCATGTTGTCATTTTATTTTGTCGCGTTGCTATTACATAGTATACGCGACAAAATATAGGCCTGCTTTTTATACATCTGTCTGTCAGTGGAGGTGA